AATGATGTAGTTGCACTTGTTACTCTCAAACCCCTGCAGGAAAAGGCTCACGTAAGGCTCCATCCTTGCAGATACCCGGCATGCAGACCTTGTTCGACTTCCTGATAGGATTTCACTCACGTGGCCAGCGAAGTAGATCAGCAGCACGTCATTGCTGGCCATGGCGTTCAGTTGTTTCCAAAGCGCATCGCGTACATCTTTGCGAGTACTGTTACCAACACATAGCGATTCTATGTTCGCCGCATCGAACCCTAGCTCACATGCGAGCTTTTTGTAAATATTTCTCGCGTCCTGCATGGCAAGACTTGTCAGGCAGGACCTTCACAAGATGCCTACAAACAAAGTGCTTGTAAGCGCGAAGACTTGCCCTGACTGCTCCAGGTAACGGAACTAAATCTGAATACTGGCTCACTCCGATGACTATGGCCCTACGGGTTCGGTGCTGCTGCTGCATGCCCACGATGCTCGATGACGACGACATTTTGTTGCTCGTCTCTGCTGCCTGCTACCAAATTGCAAAGCCATAGCCGTAGCCAAGTTTAGCTGCAATACTCGGCTTACTTCACAGGTCGAGCCTGGCGGCGCCTTACAGGAGGATGATCATTACCACACCTGTGTAGTACTCCCAAAGATAGCCTATAGCCCTAATAGCAAGACAACTTACGGCTTCCGGGGTGGTTAAGGAAAAGTGCTAATGTGTTAAAGCGCGAGCATGGGCATCGGCACGATATTGCGGATATTCGTGAACGAGGTACGGCAATCTGATCGCACTTTAGTGCTAAAGGAATTCATGAAGGCAAATCCGGCATCGTATACAAATAAAAAGCATTAGGCTTGTGGTTGTTGGGGGTGGGGCCCTCTGCCAATGCGACCTGCCCGTGCATCCGCCTGCCCGTTTATTGTGATGACAACTTTTGTGACTAGACCGACCTGAGGCCTGCGATTACAATAATAGGAATCTAGTAATAGTTTGATATAATGTTTGCCTGAAACCATGAAATATATATCACAGGAATCGATTTCTTGGTTATCCACTGTTATTGAGGGGGGCGTAACCCCTGTAACCCCGTGGGTGTACGATGCCTGGAACCCCTAGGTCCTGCAGCAAAACGCATGCTAGGTGAAAGCATGCATAATATTAATGTTTTGGGCCATTTGGGGAGGGTTACGGAGAGTTTGGGCCGACGGGAACTTTAAGACGCAGAACATAAGCTAACAATTAAGGAAAGTAGTTGTTTAGTTATTACTCTAATGGTAGATGCGTACCTAATGCTGTAAGCTTTGGTTTATGGTCGACTCGTTGCCATTGCCATAGAAAAAAGCGCCCAAAAGGCAACGTTCCCTACGCAGCCCAATTAAAATTATATAAGAACGTAGTCCTAGTTTGCTGGAAAGAAAAGCTGTCACTGTTTTCACCTACAATATCTGGCCCGGAACCCCGACGACCCCGACGACCGTACAGTCGTCGGGGTTCCAGGCCGTACTCGTCGGGGTTCCGGGGGGTTCCGACAGCCGACAGATGTACGGGTGGCAGAGGCCAATCGCTTATGGCTACTGCTTCCGCTTAACCGGTACCGCAGCTATAAAATAGTAAACATTGGAAAACTGCTCGTGCTAACTTGACGACTTGTGAAAGCTAGCGGCACCGTGCGTTGTACCTGACCTGTCCGCCTGGTACGCCTAGATGAGAGGGGACTGAGTAGCCTGGGTTGGTTTCAGGGGCTGACCGCGGTTGGCGTATGAGTGCCGGCAAGAAGGTAAGCACGTGCTTATGGAAAGGCCTGCTATGCGTTGCTGCCTTTGAGCCCCTTTGTGATGGACTTTGTTTGCGTTCCTGCCAAAGGATTGTACAATACCTACTGGTGTTTTCGCTGGACCACGCAGCATTTCGCTTGCATCTGCGGTGAATGGGTGCTATCCATGGCTAATCGCAACGAGACAGCGGCCTAGCATAAAAATGCCCTGTTTTAATGAAAGTTATCCACAAGGCTGCATGACAAGCTAGCCCTTTTAAATGCTCCAACTTCCCTTAATCTTAGCTCCCGCAGTGACAGTGAGTCTGTGCGCAGTAGTGGCCCCAGCTGCATTTAAAAGAGCATATAGGTAATGCGTATTCCCACGGCTTCGGCTCATAATTTGGTTGGGCTAAGGGTACAAAGCAATGTATAGATGTCGGTGCAATCGCAAGGTGCTTGCAATGGAGCGCGCCCACTAGATTATTTGTAATATAGGGCTTTACATCAGTGAATCGCAACTATCACAATAGGGAAACATTACACTCTACTTCCTTATCGTACGACAGTTGTCAGACACCTTCGTCACATAACCTTTTAGCTTCTGCAGCAACATTCTTGTTATGCAGAGCACTGTTGCCGTGACAACTTTCAGAGCTTCTCGACGCTTCGCTTCTTGTGAAGTTGTCCGAAAGCCAGTATGCTTCCGGGTTGCTGTGTTCTATGCCGCACACAACATGACCTTCATTTTGTACATCTGGCCCTAAGGTTACATCACTGCTTGCGAATGGATGGTTTCGGTGAAATACCCTTCCATCGGCCGGGGTCAGTAAGGCTGTTCGCTTCTTTCCACGCCGCCGGCGTCGTGGAGCGCCAATCCAATGAAGGCCGAAAAGCGTTAGGGCGCGTAAACTGTGACTGCGAACCATGACCTTTACGCCACATAAAAGTTCCCCATGGCCTCCCTCCAGCGCTACTCACTCCCAACAACAGTACCGTGAACTTACGGTGGCGCTCTGCCACGGAGCAACGACATCGAGACACATGAAACAGATGAAGTAGCGATGCCATAAACAGCAATACATTAAACAATGACGCGCTGCGCCGCACCGCTCTGCCTGGGCCGACCCATGGGACTACTGGCCATCAGGCAGGCCGACAACAAATTCGGGCAAAGCTAAGCCCTACGCTCGCTCCTAATCACGGGGTCACGGCGAAAACCTGCGGGTGTTTACCCCTGGTCACTTATCACTGAAAGCGCCAGATTACGCCTAATGGGCGCGAATGAGTACTGCATTACGCCATTAATATCAGCATACAAAACATAGTCGTCGGCCATCCATGCACAGCACAGCTCCACACGTGTACTTGACTGTGTGTCACAAGCTGGTTTCAGTACACTAGCAGTCACAAATGCCTGCCCATCAAATCGTTGCCGTTGTTGCTAATAAAGTGCTCACGCATAAAAGCGGCTGACATGTAGGTACGTTTGCACGCACATCACACCTACACCTCAGTCCCACCACCTCACTCCTTCAGAGCATGCTGAAGCCGCCGCCAGCTGAGGTGTGTGTGGAGTGCACCGTACGTTGCAGTACGGCATCAGGCCAAGTTTGCGGCTTCGCCTGCAGGTTATACATCACGGGTGGTGGGGTATTGCAGGGGCTCAGGAACATGGCCAGCTGGTGACATACCCATTACATTATTTACATAGGAAAAAGATTCCAAAACGATATTGCGCAGCAATGCCTTGCGCATGGAGCCCCTCGTGTCTAGCTTGGGATTAGTAGCAGTACCGTATGCGACTGTGGAACCAGGGTCCACTTTGCAGGCATGTCCAGCACAGCATCCGGGTGCATGTGGTGTTGATGCCAGGGGCGGCTATACCTGTGTTGTTTCCAACCTCTCCCCGCCGCATGCTTTCTCCCTACTCAATCGTAAGCTAGCAGCGAATGGAACCTGGTACTGTCGGTGGCATAACGCCCCAAACTGCTTACCGGTCACAGTGATCTTAAATCCCGGCTTGACTCGCATATTTAAGCAGTCCCACTCCTCCGCAGGCTTCTTGTTGAGGCATCTCTGGATGCTAATATAGCCGGGGCCACCCAAGTACACTTTGTCTGGCGTGGGTTCCTGTGGGCTGCCCGGAGCGACGATTTTAAAAGCTGGTGATTGCTGTTCCTGATAGAGCTTGAAGGATGCCCTCGCTTCAAATGCCCCGCTCAGATTGGCTCCAAGGCCGACGTCAAAGGAGTCGACTCTGGAAGCACTGGCACCACTGAAGTAAACCAGGAGCATTTGGCTGGTATGGTTGCTTATGAAAACCCAACCTGGTTGCCGGATAGCGCGCATGCAACTTGATGTTGGCATAGCAGCTCTTTCCTGCGGTGTTAGCAGTCATGCGATGGCGCAGGGATATTAGGGAAATCGCTGTTCCCCGTACGCTGGGACATCGCTAAATAACATCCTCGTGTCAGTGGTTGCCGCTTTGTAATTCACATCTGCTATGTAAGCAAGCCGATAGAACGACTCATGTATTAGTACTCACCCTCGAATCTTCGTCTTCCACGCCTTCGCATTCCTTTCCAGGGGTAGACGTTTCGTTAAATATATAGTATTAACCGTGTGCCCTTGGCAGGCATTAACATGAAGACTCACCGTCACCTGCACGCCAGCAGAGACCCAGGATACCAACAAATCGTCCGACATAATCCTTCACAACTCCAAATTCTACTGTAAATAGAAATGGGTGTTATCGCGGTTGGGTCCTAAAAGTATAGGGCCGTTCTCATCGTACGGAATCTTGCCGTACTCCTGCTAGGCGTCTAGACTTCTAGAGGATTCAGTAACGATCAGTCATGCACAGCTTGCCAAATGATAGGAACTGCTTCGTCTAGTCACCAAGTGGAGTCCGTTCCTTACACGTCGTGCCAAATGGAGCGGAAAGAGGTACTTATTAGGGCCGGTAAGGCTCCGAAGAGCCCCGCCCAGACTCCGCGCACGGACGCCGGGCGAACCTTTAGGAACATGCCCAGTTTGTAGCCCTGTGGCAGCGACCTAAAGGCTATATTTAGGTCGCTGCCACAGGGCTACAAACTGGGCACTCGTGAGTAACCCGATGTACTGTTAATTGCCGGAGCATCCTAATTACTGAAGGCGTGGGTATGGTCAGGCGCCCACCATAGATGGCTGCCAGGGAGGGCCTCGCCTTGAGCTTTATTCCGACTGCCGTGTTTCCACATGACGTGGTAACTCTCCGGAGCCGGTCGAGCGGATTACAGTGCCCAACGGCACCAGCGCAAGACACACGCACCCGTACTACCGATCACACATTACAGTACGTTCCGACGTGCGGCCAGTTGTGTAATAGACACCGGTATGTGTAGTTCTTCACAACACCCGTACGTAAGTGCTGCATATAGGTATGTCACAAGCAAAAGTTGCAAACGCTTTTAGCTCGAGCTGTTGCTCAGGGCTTGTTTTGTAGCCTTGTGCATGCCTGTCGAGCGTGAACGTGCAAAGGTGTTGGCGCCTTGGCCTGGTTGCATTTCTCATTCACCCTACCACCACATCTGCCAGCACATCTGCCACCACATTTATCACCATCCCATGGCTTTCTCCCGTGCAAGATGATCTTGCCCAAGGGGGCTGTAGGGGCTCCTCACTCGGAGCCGTCCTGCTCTGATGCCTCTTCCAAAGCCCTCCGTGCTTGTGCCTCCTGGGCCCTCCGCACCTGGGGGCAGGTGATGCAGCATGGGGCCGCACGCACATCCTCTTCGTCATACTGGTCATGTACGGCAAATCACAGTACGGCGTATCTAACCCCTGAACCTCTCGCATTCCCAGATAGGCCGACCCACCATCGCTGCGTTGTCCGCGTGGACCTCCTCCACGAGCTCCCGTACGACACGTTGGTAGTTATTGGGTACGGCAGCGGCCCATACCGTGGGAGGCATGCCTGTACGGCAAGTAAGCGAGGGGCTCAGGAGGATTGCTACCGTTAGCCCGTTACCATCCTTACATACAATACAAAGGCCGTTATTACCGGTACAGCCGTACCTCGTACTGGTATATGACCCCCTCAAGATCCTCCCAAGATCCTCCTCACCTGCCTCCCTGTATGCGCTGATCACCTCCAGCACCTCGGCCCCCACCATGCCGCTCAGGAAGACCGTTCGCCGGGTGCCCAGCGGCGGCTGCGGAGGTGGCGGCGGAGGCCCCGGGCATGCATGGCTTTCTCAGTCCTTTTGTAAACCATGATGTGCGGGTGTACCCGGGTATGGCTTACATGGCTTTGGTCATGCGCCCACTTTCATGCACTGTGCTACAAGAATCAGCCTTACAGGCCACCGCCCGGAGCTAATTACCTCCGGTTGTACGGACTTCTACCGATTATTCCACGTACCTGCTCGTAGCTCCCCGGGACCTCCGCCTCCAGCGCCGCTTGCAACGTACCCGCCATCATGCCCGGGGAGCAGGGCACGATCTGCAGATCCAGCAAGGGACCAGTACCGGTACGTGACAACAGAGGCCGTCATCAGCACGGTGGCGCTTGCCAGCCGCCTACATCCGCAGCTCGATGCCAACAACTCCTACGAACATGCCTACTGCAATATTACCGTATCCTGGCAGCGCCTCAGCCTTCCCTTGGCCCTTGGGCCTTACCCCTACCAGGATCCTATTGCCTTAGCCCTGAGCTGCACTTCCTACGTTCCTAGTGAGTAATAACCCGGGAGTGCATCCAAGCATCATCCAAGCATCATCCAGGCACCACCCAGGCACCATCCAAGCACCGCCCAGGCCCCACCCACCTGGACCATGTCCGCCTCCATGTCGTCCATCAAGCGCCGGAACGCCGCCACCTCCTCCTCCAGGAACCCCACCAGCAAGACAGCCTGTGAGGTAAAAAGATAATGAGAAAGCGGGAGGGCATGCAGGCAACAGGGGCTAAGGGCAGAAGCAAGAGCGAGAACGCAGCGGTGTTGAAGGGAGGCTGAGCCGAGCACCAAATGTGCATCAACGGTGAGAGAAATACACAATGTGCATTAACGGTGAGAGAGACATGCAAGCAAATATAGCGGGCATTCAAGGCAGTGCTATCTGCCTGCCAGCTCCCTTGGGTAACCGCTAGGGCTTTTGCAAAAGCCGCTCCATCGCCTTCCCGTCCCCAGCTCGTAGGTCACACCCACCAGCGGCCCAAAGACGTCCTGGTCCTCTGCTAGGCCATCGCCCTCGGAGTCAAGCAGCTTCATGTCCGAGCCGCCCTCAATATCCTCGCCGTCATACTCCAAAACGTCCTGCGGCTCTTCAGCTGGCTCAACGTTTGTGCTCCGGCTAGCCGGAAAGAAGGTCTTCAATCCGTCAAATATCCGCGCTTTGGTATGACGGCTGGGAGCGGGAGGTTGCTGGGGATGGCGACAAGGATGGGTAATGAAGGGGCAGAGGCCTGCAACACGTCTCTGTGCCTCGCAACCTTGTCGCGAAGGAGGAACAGCTGGCAGTGTTCGGCTTGTTGCAACCAGCCGATTTGTGGGATGACCGGTGATACGCATGAGATGGCTACGTTTCAGCTTGGTTTAGCTTAGTGCACACTTTACGAGGGCAATTAAAGCTGTAAGAGCGTTTGGGCGAAATGTCTTTGTTTGTGCAATGCATGCAGAAACAGCTGAACTTGAGAATGAGTGATCGCGATAGCTTGTGGGTGTCCAAGCTGTACGGCTAAACGGAAAGGGATCGCTCGCAGCTATCAACGCAGATGCGGATAATAACCTAGCTATCAGCTGAGTTTTGATCCTAGCAAGTTACATCGGTTCGCTTTCCTTATAAAGGTGGTCGTGCATAGCTTTGTCTCGGCTTCCCTAAGGACAATTTCCCTAATTGGAGCTTAATTCAAAGGGTACATTTCAGGATTGTTAAGATCATATACAGTTTACTCCAATCCTACGTCTATAGCCGCCGTGAGCAGCGCCATTCTGCTGTCCGTCGTCATAAGTTGTGGCGGCACAAGTGACAGCGTAGACGTATATACGTAGGAAACAACTAGACGTGACCCATTCTGATTCGGGGCGAGCGACCGGCAATGCAGCAAACAGTTCTCCGGAGCGCTACCGGGCGGGCCTGCACACGTATTGAGGCCTCAGCCAAGTCAGCGGACACAGCTCGTGTAGTTCCGAATGCATCAGTATCTCGGCGCAGCGCCCTCATGGGCATGGGTGCTGGACTAGCGGGATTCATGGCGAGCACCAGCGGCGCCCGCGCTGCCGGAACGCCCCTGGCAGGTGCGTAGTGCAAGCGCAATGGCAGCTGGCGCTTATCCTCCGCGAGTGAGGGCCATTACCAGGACCATCTCTCTACCCTCTGCCTCCCTCCGCAAGCCCTACAAGCCCTACGCATCCCTTTCTCCACACGAACCCTCCCCGCCTTCCCTCCCCCCTGCCCACACCGCTCAGAGCTGGTCAAGCCGCTAGCCCGCTCGCTGGACGCCAACGGGGACGGTCTGCTGGATGTGGACGAGATGCGGGGGGCCCTGCAGCGCACCATGGGCGTGTCGGTGGGTGGGATGGGGACGAGGGAGGGGGTCATGCTGTGGGCGTGCAGGCAGGGCTGTACGGCACCTGCACGGCGCTTGCAGGGGTGATGAGGGGTGCTGGTGCGGCACCCTCTTAGGCCAGTTAATCAACCTCCTCCCGTTGACTTGCGTCTTTTGCGCCCTCCTGTTGACCCCTACTCGCGGATCGCTTGACTCCTCACATGCGGGCGGATGAGCCCCGCGGAACACCCTAGCCCGCTGCTTACAAGTGGCCTGACGTGTCCTCCCTACACAGGTCCCCCGCGAGAGCGTGGCGAGGGACGTTATGGCGGTTGTGGACTTTAACGACGATGCTGACGTCAGGTGGGAATGTACGACACAGCGGTGATACGTCAGTGGTACGGCAGATCTGACGGCGGATCTCAACATCTCATACAAGCGTCATTACATGACCACCTGCAGCCGCTCGGTTCAGGATCTGCTGCTGTGCCGTGTGAAAACACTGCTGTCGTGCTGCTGCATGTTGGCGTCGCTGTCATTAGAACCCTCCCTCCATCTCCACCACCACCTCCTCCTCCGTCGCTCCACCCCGAATTTGAGGTTGGTGGCTCTGCTGCTTCTCATCTATTTCTGTCTCACCTATCCCGCCCCCAGTGTGGATGAGTTCGCTCGCGGGTTGTCGCTGGATCTGGAGGTGGACGAGCGGTGGATGCGGCTGATGGAGCGGGACGGCGACCCAGGGGTCAGTGCGGCGGAGCTGGCGGCAGGGCTGGGCGACCTGGGCGAGGAGGGGCGGCGCGTGCTGCCGGTGGCGTTTGACATGGTGAGAGGGAGGGAGGGAAGGGGGAGGGAGGGGGGATTCGACCAAACCAACCCGCTGTAGGGAATGGGATGTGGGAGGCTGCGGCCTGGCGGGTGCATGTGTGTTTGCTCCGCTTGCGGATTGTGTGGCGGTGCCGCTGTTGCTGTTGGTGTGATTTGCCCGCGTGATCTGAACGGCCTTCCGCTGTTACCAGTTGGGCTCATCAAGCTAAGAGTCGCTCGCTGGCTCACTCCTCCCCCGCCGCTTCCCGCTCCACCCGGCCCCCCACTCAGGCTGACAAGGACCGCGACGGGCGATTGAGCCGGTCGGAGGCGGCTCACGCCATGCAGCTGGTGGCCACCGGGGTGCTTGGGGACTTTGCGGACATGCAGTGAGGGGGAGGGATGTGAAGCATTTGGGGGCGGGCGGTTGGGGGGCGGTTGGGGGGTCGGAATGGAAGGGTTTGGGACGCGGGTGGCAAGGGCCGGCGGGCCGTTTTGAGGCTTGGTGGGGTCGGGGATGGAGGGGAACGGTGGAGTGCAGTTGCATGTGTGTAGCGTGCCTTCTGAGAGGGGGCAGGGGGGATGTGGAAGTTGAAGGGGAGCGGAAAGCGGTGAAAAGTTGCAGGACTTTTCAGAAGAAACGTCAGCCGGCGGACGGCTTTGGGGCAGTTGACTTTGAGGCGGTTGGCCGCCATGCATGTGAGCAACGACACTTTGTTGTTTGTCGTGGCGTGTCGTGGATGGATGTAGGTGGTGTTGCCAGCTTGCCACCCTTGCTAGGTAGCCTGTTTTGCAGATGCAGCCAGAATGACAGGGACACGCCCACACTGTCACGCTGGTATGTGACCTACCTTTAGCAGCTGTCTGCTGCGATTTTGTCAGGGTAGAGCAGTGCTTAGCAGTGCATGCGTGGTGCAGGGAAGGAATGGCAGGCAGAGGCGCCCCCTAGCGATAGCGCAGGGGTTTGAGCCTTCTCTTAGATTAGGAGCCTGCATAAGCTATACTACCTAGCTGTGACGTACTCGAGCTGTGGTGGATAAGGGCCTTGCGTTGCAAGAGATGTTGGGTCATCGCAGTAACACAGTATCCAGTACGTTCCAGATCGCGCGCGGCTAGTACTCCTAACACAGCCCAGAGTGCCTTTCGCCAATAACACAACCCAGCGTAATGCCGTTCATGTGCTCGAAAGGGGCGCGGGGATGCGGCATGCGGGGCGATTGGAAGGGAGGCCGGGTGAAAGTACAGCAAGGTACGGCTTTACGGCAAGCCCAGTCTTGGATGGGACGAGTTAGGGTGTTAACGGGGGCTAGGGAGGCGTCAGGGGAGCGCCAAGCATGCGGCCCGCCCCGCTAGCCCAGACAGGCTGCAGCACAGAGCTGTGTACACATCAGCCCTCGTGACGTACGGCTGCTACTGCTGCTGCAGACTCCAGACACAGCCGCAGCATGGAGAAGCCTGCACGTGTGCAATGCAATGCATGAGCAAGGGGCATTTGCAGCGGTACGGCTCCCTCTTAAGTCTCGTCACACATTGCTTGCAGGGGACCCGAAGGAATGCTAGGAAAGGTATGCAGTAAACCGTTATTGTGTATTACAGGTTTACAGTGGAGTCTTGGAGATATATACTATAGACGAGAACATGTACAGCCTCTGCAACTGCAGGCGCACCTATGGTGGGTTTCATGGGTTTCGTAATTCACACATATGTTTCTGATTCTTATTTTCGAAGAAAAGGTAAAGGTCCGTCGCAAGTAACACTGGCATTCTGCCGACCCATGGGCCACCTCACATCGTCGATCATCCACCGTCGTCTGAATGCGCCATTGCTACCCAAGCGAGAACAGCCAATCGGGAATAACTTCCCAGCGCCACCTCCGGAACTTGTACACTAGAAATTGTGCTCACACATTCGTTAGATATATGTTCCAAATTACTCAAAAGTGCCAAACACCCTTGTTCCTCGTACGGCTTACCCACACGACCTCACCCTGCCCAACCCCAAAAGAAATGAACCGCAAATTAGATAACATCTATAGAACGCACGCACGTCACGGTCAAGGTAAATACCGTGCAGCGCATGTGTCTCTTTCCCTGCTGGACATTGTCTTAAGCAATTATGCATGAAGCACTCGCCCTCACATGCCCTGCCCATACCCGGGCGAATCGTCTGCACACCGTAAAAACCGTAAACCGTAAAACCGCTCATTCCACGCAGCATACGCCATCCTTTGCAGGGATCGCTGCAGCTCGCCTCCTATTCCAGTAAGCCAGCTGCAGGGCCGTGGCAGACCCGTCTAATACCGTCCACAGTTACGGGAACAAACCGCAACTCCGTTAACCGTCGTATCCTGCATAGTACAACGGCCCCAACGTCCTTCCTCGAGCACACCATTGACTTTGGGCCCACCCCACGTACTGCCGCACGCCATTCCAGGCAAACCCCGCAGCCCCACTTCCTACTACACAGCCCTTCCACTACTTGACGCAATACACCGCAAGACCCACCTGCAGCAAGCAGCAAGAAGCATGCTGCATGCGCACAGTTGTATCGGACGCATCGCTTTTAGCTTTGAGGAAACACCACCTCACCCAACCGCCCACCCAACCGCCCAACACGCACGCCTCCAACCACCATTGCCACCAACCAACACCAAAGTTAAGCTGCAGTAAAAGACGACGTGCCATCCGACTTCTGACCATTGCGGCCGTCGGTTTGGCACCCAAACGACAACACGCAGTGACAAGGCGCTGCCTAGAGGAACGCCCAAGAAGCACAGGAGCATGGCAAAACACATGCAAGGTCCTTCTTCTGCAGCTGCTGCTACTGCTGTTGCGTACGGCACAAATGAGCGCTCGACACAGCAACAGCAGCAGCAGCAGCAGCCAGCAACACTTATACCTGACAGACCCGCACGCCTGCCCCAAGTGATCGAGAGAGTAGTAGGCACATTAATAGGTAGCCAGTAGGACTACCGCGCAGCCGGAGGAAATCAAAATGGCCGCGTTCTAGTGATAGTGCCGTTGACAGCAGCAGTACCAATCGCCGAATCGCTAACGGGCGCTCATGCACAAGTGTGTACACCTAACAAAACAGCCGTCCCCTCCAATCCACGAACGCGGCGCCATCCGTACGCATCAAGCCCCTCTCATTGCCCAACCAGCACCGGAATCGGAACCGGCATGGGGAGGGGCATCCCGACCGGCGCCCCAAAGCCTCCCCGCACCCCCGCCCCCACCTCAGCTCCCGCCCCCACCCGCCGCCCAGCTCCCCCCGACTGCTGCGCCGCCGGCATACCCGCCGGCACCAGCCCTCCCCGGGCCGGGCCTCGCTTCACCAGGACCTCCTCCTTCCTGACAACCTCCTCACGCCGTACGACCTCCTCACGCCGTACGACCTCCTCCCCTCGCTTCACACCCTCCTCCAGGGCCACTCGCTCCAGCGCCCCCAGCAGGTCGGAGGTGGCGGAGGCGCCGCTGAGGGAGTACTTGGTGCGGCTGTGCGGCCCCGCGGCGATGATGAAGTGCGGAGCGGCCTGGATGCGCAGCCTGCGGTGGTCGAGTGGGTGGTTGGGTGGTTGAATAGGGGTTTAGAAAGCTTGTCGCGGCTAGGATTGGGACGAGGATTGGAGGGCTGGGCATGAAGTCTTCAAGAAGTAGATGTGTGTACACAAGCCACCCCAACCCAGCACCATCCCGCCTGCTGCACCCACCGTTGCTTCGCCGCCGCATCCCGCTGCAGCACCTGCGCCCGCAGGGACCCCTCCCCGCGCCGCCGCAGCTCCGACAGCACCGCCTCACGCGGCAGGGGCAGCCCCAGCGCCTCCGCGGCGGCGGCCAGCTGACCCGGGAAGGATACGTTGCCACCTCGCTCGTACCTGCGATCACATACGGATGGATGGGTGGGTGGATAAGATGGGTAAGAAGGAGGTGTATCGGTGCCGGTGGTGGCAAAGCAAAGCACCGCCGGCATCCCCCAAGGACATACGACAATTAAAGGGCTTATTATATTCAACACGGGGAGCGAGGCCCGGACACGTCCAATGTCTGGACTTACGTGAGTTCAAACAGCAAATCCGTCGCCCGGCCAACCAAGTCCAGCTGCTGCTGCTCCGCTTCCTCCGCATCCTCCACGTCCTCCGCCCCAGCGGCCCCAGCAGCAGCACCACCACCACCCGCCGCCGCCGCAAGTGCCACCAGCTGATGTGCGAGAAGCGAGTTGGGCACGACTCGCCAGTCGGAGAACGCGGCTCCGTCGGGGAGTCCCGCACACACCAACCGCCGCCGCCACTGGGCACCTGGCCCCGCTGCTGCTGCTGCGGTGTTGGTGTTGGTTGCGAGCGCGTTTGCGAGGGCTGCGGGGGAGGTTACGGATGGGGCCATGCTGCCCGGATGCGTCAGCAGCTGCAGTTGGTGTTGTTGCGGTTGGTGCTGGTGCTGCTGCTGGTGTTGGCTTAGGTTGCGTAGCGCGGGCTGTGGGTTGAAGTACTGCAGGCCGGGGAAGTACTGCTGTGGGTGCGGGTGCCGTTGGTGGCCGTTGAGGCCGCCTTCGATGCAGCGTAGCGCGTGGGCGTCAACGTCCTCGCCTGAATGGGTTGGTTGGGTGGTTGGGTTAGTTACAGCAGCCGTACGTTGGGGCGGGCAGGTGGTGGTTACAGACAAAGGCACTGCGGAGGAATTGGTGCATAGGATTGCTCAGAGCTAGGAGAGCAGGTGGGAGAGCAAGTGGGTTAACTGCTGCGGCGCTCACCCATCACGGCCATGTCGCTGTCAATGATGATGGGGTTCCTGCGAGCCAGGCGCAGCGGTGAAGGGGGCGCACAATCGGGTAAGAGGGTTTAGTCTTTTGGAGACACGTGTCAGATAGGATGACAGGATTCATCAGCCCTATAGGGGGACATGTCATCTGTGGCTGCAACAACTTGTGTGAACTTACCAGTGCAGTTTTAGGGGAGCAGCGTGGCCGTAGCGCCGCTTGTACTGCCGTACGGCCCGCTGTAGCCGTCGGGTTCCGATGTAGCACCTGAAAGCATGCAGACGAAAGAGGGCGGAAGATAAAGCGACGCCAACCAACTCTAACCGTTCGTCGAATAGGACATCTCAATGTCTTCAGAGAGGAAACGCTGCAAGGTCCCCTTTGCGAATGTAAAGTAATGTAAATGATGCAATTTCAGTTGGGTTAACAGGCTGGGTGGGGTACTCGGACATGAACAGCATCATCGGACCATAATGATGTGGAAGCAATTTGGGTGAAATTCAACTTACCAGGGGCAGGCGAAGTCGATGAAGGCATGAATAGTGACTGGCGGTAGCGGGCCTGGGGCTCGTAGAGATTGCGCCGAAGAAGCGCGACGTGACCCGACATGGCCTTTCGCGCCAGCGGCAGCCCAGGGAAGCTTCAAGCTTAGCATGTGTAGGGACGCGGTGGTATTGGTAAGATGTTAGCAAATGAGAGAGCGTTGGCTCTTTGCAGGCTGTTATGGTAATTGTCAAGATATCGCGAGACGCTCGCTTGCAGGTGTTGCGTTGCTTTTGTGAATTGAGTCGAAATATAGCCTTTAAGTAGCCGGTAAGGATACGGAGGCGTCATTTCTGAGACGTCGTCCCAGCTTGGTGACTTGACCCGCTCCTTAGTGAGGACAAGACTTTTGATGTGATGCTTGTACGGCAGTTTCGGAGCGTCGGGAGACGAGACTGCAGCGTTTTGCGTCCGCAGCTCCCACACTAGAGCTAGACAATGTGATGCCGCTCGACGTCGTTCCGTAAGCTTCCTTGCTCCTTATCACCGTGCGGGCATATCCTTGCCTGAGATAAATTTTGCGCGGGACACCCGCCACGCCCAACTTTGTTGAGGCCCGTAAGCCTTTGGATTTGGTTGCAATAATATTGTCTTGTCCTGAAAGATCTTCCCGAACAGCTGTATGGACAATGCCTGCGGGCTGACAACCTGACTATTATTCAAGTATACCGGTAATGCTTTGGCACCGGTAGTGAAACCCCTGAAGCAGGCTCTTGAAGTTTTCGTTTTATCTTAAAATTTGGGCTAAATTTCGTCGAGTGACCAATCCAACCTTGGGCCGATGGAGGCTTCAACCGCGGAGGATGCCTCCGCAGCGGCGACAGCCACCACCCTTTCCCACGACGCAAAGGAATACGGTTCCGGCTTTTCATCGGGCTTCTTGCGTTTTCTCGACACCGGAGAGCTGGCCGACGTCGTCGTGCATGTCGTCGCCGATGCCAATGGAACATCACCAACACCGCCCTCTACTTCTCCTAGCCTATCCCTTCCTCCCACAACCACATCATCATATCCCTCCTCCTACGACCCAAGCGGCCAGGACTACCACCTCCACAGCCTCATCCTCTCCCGCCAAAGCGCCTTCTTCGCAGCAGCCCTAAACCAAACCACATTCGCGGATTCCGCATCCCGTCGGATCCGCCTCGTGTTGGATCCAGCCGCCGCCCCAGCCTGGCCCTCACTGATCCGCTACTTTTATTCCGACCGAATCCTGCTGAACGACGCAAACGCGCTGCCGCTGTTGGCCCTTGCACGACAGCTGCTGGTTTCGGAGCTAGATTCGTACTGCACGGCATTCGTACGGGAGCGCATGTGCGCTGCCAACTGTCTGGAGCACCTGAGGGCTGCTGTGCGGTTCGCGTTGCATGACCTGCATGGGGAGTGCGTGGCAATGGCGGCGCAGGGTGCGTGCAATATGGGTGGATAGCGGTATCGCCTAGGAATGTTAGTGCGTTGGGCACTATGGGGATAACGTGGCTGTCTCCTCTGCGCTCTCTTACGTGTACACGCAGGCCGCACATACTGTCTAACAAAGAGTGTTGTGTTTTGGGTGGTTGCCCGCTGCGGCGCACATGCAGCCATGCACGCCTCTGCCGGCTGCCTCCAGGCTTGGTTTGCCGCAAGGCTTACTCCGCATCCATGCACCTCTCTCCCCCCCTCCTTCCCTCCCTCCCCAGTCTTCCCCCAGCTGCCCCGCCCCCAGCTGGCCGGCCTGCCGCCCGCCTCCCTGCTCGAGCTGCTCACCCACTCGGCGCTGCAGGTGCACTGCGAGGCGCAGGTGGGGCGGGGGGGGAGGGAGGGAGGGAGGGAAAATCATAGATAAGAGAGTGGGAGGGAGGGGGAGAGGGAGGAGGGAGGGAGAGGGAGGGAGGGCACCGCTTACATGTACGATGCCAAACGGTGCCCATGCTCTTTACCGTTGCCGTTGTCGTACCCGCTCCTATCGGTCTCACTGCCCTGCCCTCTCCGGGCCCCTCTCGGGGTCTGCCCTCACCCCCCCCCAGGTTGCTGACGCGGTGCTGCGCTACCTGGCGGCCACTGAGGTGCCGCAGGAGGCGGCCCGGGCGCTGTGTGCGCAGGTGGGGAGCACATGGAGCGGGTGTGTAGTTGAGCGGAAACAAGAGCAAGCATTTGGGATAGGTTAGCATTTGGGGTGTGTATGTGGGGCTTGTGCATGTGGGGCGGACCTGGGGACATTAGGCAACTTCGTACGTGACCTTCGGAGGGGTAAGGGAGGGTCCTCGGAGGAAAGGCACGACAAGCGCCTGGGGGAGTAGTATCTTCTACGGAGGGGGAGATTGTTTTCATGTGCGAGTCCTCGACTGCTGCATGCTGACAAGGAGGGGAGACGTGTTGTCATGAGCTCATGACATCCGCTAACGAACAAACCCACCGGTATCCACTTCTTAACACAGATTCGCTTTCCCTACCTGGATAACGCCTCCATCACTCGTCTAGCACTGGAGGCTCCCCACCCCGCCCTCCAAACTGGGTACGATGGCACCATCAGTAGTAGCAACGGCAACCGCAATAACGGGTGCACCAGTAGCAGCACCAGTTCTGCTGCTGTGCACGCTGGCGCTGCTGCGACCCATGGGTCACTTGCGGCCGCTGCTTCGGCGCCTCAGTCCGTTGCTGCAGAAAATCAAGCGGGTGCGGCTGGCGGTATTAACAATGAAGCTGGGGCCACCGCTGCTGCTCTTGAGGAGGTTGAGGAGGAGGAGGAGGAGGAGGAGGAGGACGTGGCTGCTGCTGCTGGCGCCCCCTCACCGGGTACCGCTGCCAGGACGATCTGTGCCCTCAGCTTCCCGCTGTCACCCGGCAGCACAACAGTGGCTGCAGCGGACAGCAACACAACATCGCCCTCGCAGTCGCCTTCACCCCCGTCCTCCTCCTCCTCCTCGACCACCGCTGCAGCGACGCCTGCAAAGACCGCACCACCCATGGCAGCGGCGGCTGCGACTCCCTCCGCATTGCCGCGTCACTCCTCATCCCAGCAACCTCAGCCCCGGCTGCAGCGACCGACTCCCCAGCCCGCCGCCCCCACCCCCACCCCGCATGCGATCTGCTCCTCCTCCCCACAGCCAGCTGCCGCACCCGTCGTACCCCGGGACATGGCCCTTGAGGGGGCCCTAGCTCGCCTGGCAGCGCTGGAGTACCGGGCCCTGCTGCCGCATCCCTCGCAACACCCCCTGCAGCCCCAGCAGCAGCAGCAACACCTGCATCAGCATGCAGGGAGGCTGCACCCGCACCTTTCAGCAGCGGCAGCAGCTGCTGCGAACGCAGCGGCTGCGCGCTCCGGCCCCGGGGGCTCACCTCTCCGTCAGCTGCAGCTGCAGCAGCAGCATGTGGGCCCTGCGGTCGCCCCCGCAGCAGTAGCAGCAGCTGCAGCAGCGCTTGCAGAAGCAGCAGTAGGAGTAGCAGTGGCAGGAGGAGGAGGCGCTGACCCGGGGGTCGCTGGCGGCGGCGCAATCGACGCTGACGCAGCAGGGGGAGCAGGGGCAGGAGGAGGTGCTGTTGGTGGCGCTAACGGCCGTCGTCCGCTAGCTGTTTTCCGGCTGGCAGGTCCTCAGGCGGCCCCGCCTCCCCCGCACCAACACTTCATGCAGCCTCCTCGGCATCATCATCACCAACACCACCAGCACCACCACCCTCCGCATCTCCACCACCTGGAACCAGCGCAGGCGGGTCAGGCGGCTCTTCCTGACCACCAACCACCACCGCAACAACAACCCCAGCTTCAACCCCAGCCCCAGCAGCAGCAACAACCGGTCCGCGCTGCCTGGTCTCCATACAGAGGAGGCGGCGGAGGCGCAGGGGCTGCAGCAGGAGTGCTGGCAGCTGCGGAGGCGACGGGGGCGGCATCCCTTCCGATGGCGTTGACAGCAGACCCCGCGGCGGCCTTTGCGGCGAGTTGTTTGCCGCCGCCTCGTCCCTCGTACTGCTGCAATGTCGTACACGGACTACCGGGCGGTTGCGGCTGGGTGGACGTGTCGTTGGAGGCGGTTTGGGATCAGCTGGTGCCGTACATTACCGTACAGGTGGGTGGGTAAATGGTATTAGAGGAAAAGCCGTAACGCTCCTTGTCCACACAGCTCCCGCTTCGCATACTGCCGCATACCCTAACTCCTGCTGCCTCACTCCCTGGCATTGCTCTGTCCTCCCCCTGCTCCATGCCCCGCTGCATGACCTGATGATATTTCCGTCGTCCTGCTCCCCGCACGTCCCCTGCTCCCCGCACGTCCCCTGCCCCCCGCACTTCCCCTGCCCCCCCGCACGTCCCCTGCCCCCCCGCACGTCCCCTGCCCCCCCGCACGTCCCCTGCCCCCCCGCACGTCCCCTGCCCCCCCGCACGTCCCCTGCCCCCCGCACGTCCCCTGCCCCCCGCACGTCCCCTGCTCCCCGCACGTCCCCTGCTCCCCGCACTTCCCCTGCCCCCCCGCACGTCCCCTGCCCCCCCGCACGTCCCCTGCTCCCCCGCACGTCCCCTGCTCCCCGCACGTCCCCTGCCCCACCGCACGTCCCCTGCCCCCCCGCACGTCCCCTGCTCCCCCGCACGTCCCCTGCTCCCCGCACGTCCCCTGCTCCCCGCACGTCCCCTGCCCCACCGCACGTCCCCTGCTCCCCCGCACGTCCCCTGCTCCCCGCACGTCCCCTGCTCCCCGCACGTCCCCTGCCCCCCAGGTGTCTGGGTGCTCTGAGGGCAGTCCACGCCACGTGGTGTCCACACAGCCGGACTGCTTCTTTGAAACCAATGACAGCGCGGATAGCCTGCCCTGGATCGAGGTAGGCAACGTCAGCTGCTTCTGCTTGAGTGACCCATGGGTCTCACGGATCAGTTTTGTCGACGATGTTTCTAAAACCCCCCGTTCCCTACACCCGTTCACACTCTCATCCCATCCGCAGCTGCAACTGCCGCACAACGTTCACGTCCTGCAAATGCACCGGTGGGTGGGGTAAAGCGGAAAAACGACGAACGAACCGTGTGACAAGGCATAGGTTGGGGAACGCGGTGACGGGACGGGGATGAACCTCCGCCCGTGCTTCTACAACTTCTGTGCGCGCCTCCCCGCCCCCCGGGGGTCATGTTTTCACCGCTCTTGCCCAATCAACGCATGGCACATGCAGGTACACCTTCCTCCATGGTCACCGGCGAGCGGGCTACTACCGGGCTCGCAGCTTCAAGACGCAGATCGCCGCACGGCCCGCCACACCCGCCGCTCCTGCTGCTGCCACTGCTGCTGCTACTGGGGCTGCTGCTAGCACCCCCAGCCGTAACCCCGGGGGTGCGATCCCCGGACCTGGCACCTCTGCTGGGCAGCAGGCGGCGACAGCACCTTCCTCCGCCTGTCGCTACGTCGACTTGGCTACCCGGTGCGTGTCGCCCACCCGCTGCTCCCCATGCCATGCCTCTGACTCGGTGGTCTACCTCTTTCATACCCCATATCACCTCAGATTGAACCCCCCTTCCCCCGCCCCCCCCCCGCCCCCCGTCCCCCCATACAGCATGACGGAGCAGTTCGAAGTGAGCATTCTGGCGGGGGGGGCCGCGCTGGGGCCGTGGAGGGTGCTGCGGCTGCAGGTGTGTGGGGTGTTGAGCACCGGGGACTGCATCGGGGCTGTGTGGGGAGTTGTTGCATGGAGTACATGGGCTTGTTGCAGCTTCCTTCAGGAGCGGCTTGAGGGTTTCCGCTCCGCTGCTGTTGCGCTGCTGTGTCCTCAACACCAACCCTGTCCCCGCAGGCAACGGGGCCGCAGGAGGACGGAGTGCACCGGCTGTGCGTCAGGAGCTTGCGGGTGAGGGGGAGGGAGGAGGGAGGAGCTTGCGGGTGAGGGGGAGGGAGGAGGGAGGAGCTTGCGGGTGAGGGGGAGGGAGGAGGGAGGAGCTTGCGGGTGAGGGGGAGGGAGGGGGAGCTGTGGGGCAGCCGTGACGGGGGAGTAGATGCGTACATGCGGGATTGTATCTTTCTATGGGTGGGGGAAGGGACCAGACGTCTTTGATGCGCCTTTCCGGAAACTATACGTACCGGTATTGCGGGATACTTCTCCTTCCCTGGCTTGGGAGTCAGGGGCTTACAGCTTTCCCGTCCTGTCGGTGCCCCCCTCCACTGCAGATGTACGGTACGGCTCGCATAGATCTGATGCAGCAGTACAACGGCTTTGTCGTACAGCCCGAGTGGATCTTGCCTGCCCGCGTGGACTGCAGCAGGTGGGGCGGCAGCACTGGCAGCAGCGGGAGCGGCGGTGTGGGCAGCGGCACAGTTGCTGGAGTTTGGTAGTGAAAGGTTAGGTAATGTAACACATCAATGCGACATAGCTTTAGTCGTAAGTTGTTGCAGCAGGATTGTAGGAGACTTTTTGCGACGTATTGTGCCATCCGTAAGCAGGAATGTAGTAATAGATGGACTGAACTTAAGCACAGCTGCGTTGACCTGTGGGTAATGGCCGGGTTGGGTTTCTACTATTCGAAATAGCTGTCGGAGTGTACTGCAAATTGATTTAGACGTGGTTCGCAAGACAGGGGCGAGAGGGGGCGTTGCCCCTCAACGGAGAGCGTGGAGGTCCGGTGGAGCCCCTGCATCTGGAAAGCATGTTCAAAGGATGCAAAGGGTTACCCCGTGTGTTAAAATAACTGGCCGCGAGGCGAAACCCCGTGTGTGTGTGTGTGTGTGTGTGTGTGCGATTGTTCGTCTCTCAACCAATTTGCTTAACCAACTCCAGTCATGATACCGAAGGCCTAGTCGTCGTCATTTGCCCAAATGCTACGTGGCAGATGGTGGTTAACTGTGGCGGCTTACTATAGGTTGTATTTAACCACCCATCAGTAAGGGCAGTAAGGGCCCTAGTAATCTTCGTCCAGGTTAGCACATGTCGGGTTGTGCACACAGGTGCTCCATGGCAACAGGATAAGCGCATGTGGTACATGGTTGGCACATCGGTAGTACGACAGCTGGCAGGCACGGCACTGCTACGGCCAACTGTCCGATTATTTACAGCCAAACCCCTGCAACGCCCCTTGCGCGGCACTTTCCTTCCAACTTTGATTTCCGAATATCCTCATTCCGGTATCCTCATACAGGCAAACAGCTTCATGGCCCCCTCAGCCCCAATCAGGACTGCACCCCCCCCCTCACATGCGTCCAAACATGGAACCCGTGTATGTCAAAATCATGATATCAGGTGTGTTAAGGCTACCTAGTGCACCTCCGAACGGCAACATTCGTACATCAACGTCATCCGTACACCATGATATCAAGCTACCGCTTCCCAGCGCCTGGCGTATGTTTACGGCCAACCAACCTCAGCTAGCAGTACCAACGCAGCAATGCAAGCAGCAAGGCCCCAGACAAACGCAGCAGCAGCAGCCCTTCACAGACTGCGTAAAGCAAACAACCTGCACGGCTATAGCGCTAGTACGGTAGTACAGTACAATATAACGCCACAGCCTACTCGCTTCCTCGCAAGCACAGCAACACAGACACCCGCATGCAACCTCCGCCTGCCCTCTCATCATTCGTTAACTGCTCTGGTTTCGCGGTTTTTTTCCAGCAAGCGCTCCAGCCAACCACCCTGCAAACGCATCCCGCCTAGTAGTTATGGAAACCCAGACAACCCGGGATGGCTGGGAACGTCCCCAGGACCCCCGTACAAGTCGTACCGTGTAAGCGGCTACCTAGCCAACCAGCCACCCCCCACCTCACCGCCGGCCCTTCCCCCGGGCCTCCTCCTCCACCTCCCGAGCCAGCGCATCAATATCAAAGTCCGGCGGCAGCAGCGGCGCAGTGGGGTCCTCCGGGTCCAACAAGAACTGCTGCTCCTCCATCTGCTCCTCGTACTCCCGAGGGTCGTTCAAATCCACCTCGTAGCGCTGAATGGGCAACCCAGCGTCGGCGCTGCCGCTGCCTCCGCCGCCGCCAAAGAGGCGTTGGAAGAGGTCTCGTCGCGAGGACAGACGCCCCTCAGATGTGGAGCCGCCTCCTCCGCCTCGCCCCAGCCCCTCTATGAGCTCGTCGGGTCCCCGGAGCTCTCCCGAGAAGGGATCCACGTAGGTGGAGCCGGGGGGCAGTGGCGCCGTGGTGCCGTCCTGTTGTGGGGGAGGTGAGTGGGAGAGGGAGAGGGGGTGAGGGGGAGGGAGGAAGGGGAGGAGAGGAGGGTTACATCCGGGTAGGTGACGATGGAAGCGAGAGGAGAGGAAGGGGGTAGAGGGAGGTCCTAGACAGGAGACACAGACAGGTGTTAGGACTACGACGTCGTGTCAGCTCCCAAGAGCAAGTCATGCAGTGTGCGGATCCAAGAAGCCCCACCCTGCCCGCCTGCCCTCCTTCCTCCCCCGCCGGCCTGCCCTCACCTGGAACGCCACCACATTCACGTCCCTGTCCAGCTTGATTCCCGCGATCTCGCTGATCTTGAAGCTCTTCAGATCTGCCACGTTGCCCACCGGGGTGATCTTCTGCTGCCCGTCCGTGTCGCGATAAAAGTTGAACAGATTGCCCTGGGTGTCCATCTGGGGGCGGGGGGGGGGGAGTGGGAGGAAGGGGATGAGGGGATGAGGAGGGGACAGGAGAGGTTGAAGGGCCATGCGTGCAGGGAGGAGAGGGTGGTAGCGTCTGCCGGGGGGCGTGTCGCTGCGATGCGTTCCCTGGAAACGTCGCTTGCAGGCTTCAGCCTCGCAAACTTACATATCCTGCTGAAGGTACATCACCACCCCCCTCTCCCCCTCTCGTCAGTTACCTCACTTGTACCCATCTCCCCGCCCCCGCCTCTCTCCCCGCCCGGCCCCCATGCCTCACCGCGTACAGCCCCACGTCCGGGTCCCCCGAGTCGTAGTACAGGTCGCCGACCTCATCGATCATGAAGAACCGGCCCTGCTCGTCCTCCGCAGCAGCCACCCAGCGGCCCGCAGGCGTCTTGAAGTAAACAAACTCCTGCAGGCGCGTGCGTGCGCGCGTGTGGGCAGGCGAGGAAGGGTGCGCAGCAGGGTCAGCAGATACGATACCGGTAGAGAGGTAGAGACGAAATCGGTAGAGGTGTAGAGGGGCAGCAAGTCAAGAAGAACAACGCAACCCGGGCCCATGCGCTGTGCCCCAGTGTGGCCGCCTGCCGTCCAGCCTCCACCTCCACACTGATGGCCTAGCGCCGCATCCCAGTGTCAATCCGCGTGCTCTTTCGATGTGAGAGACCTCCGTCCTCGCCCACCCTGACGCCCGTTCCCCCTGTTGCCTTGCCCTAACGGTCTGGTTGGCCCCCCCCCCTGCGCCCCCAGTTGGGCCTATCCTTTCCTCCCCCCCTGCGGCTCCGCACCTCTGGGGTGAGGTCCGTGTACCCAGCCAGCGAAAAGTCAATGGGCGGCCGCTCACCAAACGAGTCGATCGGAAACAGCACCTCTGGGGGGTACGGCAGGAGCGGGAGTGGAGTGGGGTGGAGGGCAGGATTCAAGAGGGATCCGGGGAGGGGTCGGGATCCGGGGAGGGGCGGGGGTGTAAGGGCAAGCTCGGCAGGCGAGGTACCCAGGCGGTACACCTTTGGGCGGGTTCCGCGGCCCATGTGTAATGGGCAGGACAGGACACAGGAGGGGAACAGGAGCTCGGACAGGACACAGGAGCGGTATGGGCGCTCCGTGCAGCAGCAGACGGCACCAGGCAGCAGCAGCGGAGGTAGTGTGGTGGGCGCCAAAGCACCAGCGGAAGGAGACGAGGCGGGACGCGGGGGCTAGCTACTAGCTGGAGTGTACGCCACTCACTGTGATTGAACAGCCAGAGCGCCGCGCTGCCCCCCAGCATGCTGAGTGCGATCTCACGTCGGCTCCGGAAGGGAAAGGGCATGTCGGTCTGGCGGAAGGGGGAGGGAGCAAAGGGGTAGGAAACGGCATGCGCGCGGATTAGGCAACCACTTTAGGGGTAACATAGCTGGCTCGTCATGACGCGTCGGTGCGCTTCATCAGCGCTACAGAATTCATGGCTGCTGCCACTCGTCGCCCGGCACCCCTGATGAATGATGACCCTGCCACAAGGAGCTGTCAGTCCGCGCCATCCCATCCCATTCTAGTGTTTGGCTCATCTCAGCTCCCAGCTGAGGGGAAGTTTGTGCTTTCGCCGCCCGGCTCACCAGCACTTCCGGAGGCGGCGGGGGCGGGGGCGGCATGTAGTTGGAGGAGGAGCCGGTTCGTGGCGGGGCGGCGGGCGGCACCTTCAGGTCGGGCTCCCAGTCCAGGTCGCGGTCAACAGCGCGGGGGCAGCTGCTGAGGGTGGGCGTGGGTGGGGGAGAGGGTGGGCTGGGTTGAGGATGTTGAGGTGGGCTGGGTTGAGGAGGATGAGGTGGGTGGGGTTGAGGTGGTGGGTGGGGACTAGGGAATTGGGGTTGTGTGTCCAGGATGACGGGGCACCCAGATGCGTACGGTGCGCGCGATGTTCCAGCCTTTTAGCAGCAGAGGGATGCTTAGGGTGGCTGGCTGGCCTGTCGGAGCGTGGGGCAGCGGCACGCTTCACGTACCGTCGACCGCGTCGTCCCTCTTGTGCCGCGCGAAGCCAGCATGGTCGAACGGTCCTGAATCCAGCCGATGAACAACTAGGTGTGGATGTGCTTGCAAAGCATGCACTTCCACGCATGGTATGTCGGCGGCGCTTGCTGGCGTGGCGAAGCGCCTAACTGAACAATTGAGGTCAATTACAGTTTCGTCGTCAATTTATCTATAGACGTTTGTAAATGGGCTGAAAAGTACACGCCGACGCTTATGTTTAAGGATTGTGGAGAGAGTAGAATTCGCCTATCGGTGTGTAACCATAGTTTATTGTAATTGAGTGGGACGTTAGATGAACCTATAGATAACTGTTAAGCAGGAATTATGTTGCCATCCTAGTATGATAACTTCAGCAAAGTCTCCTCACTCACTTGCCAGGTAAAAGGTGTGGCAAATTGTCCAATTACATACAAGCTAAAACACTAGGTTGGCTGAACGCTTGCGGGCTACCAGACGCATGGGGGGTTTCAACTGTGTCGTACGAGACATCATCTTTGACCAGCCCTTGACGCCCTAGTTTCAAGGATGCCCCTACACCAACGGTTTATACGCTTACACGCAAAGCTTTGGCAAGCCTTGTGCTGCTATACCGCGCGCGGCTTGGCCACATCTGGCCGCCGCGGCCTACTTCAAAATTTCCTGGAAGCTTTGAACGCACATTTCCTCTTTAGCTAGCTCTTCACCTACTGTTGAGATATTCTAGTTGTACAAGATGGGCAACGTGTGTGCACGGCCAAGCGTGCTGAATAGCCCGCGAGCTACAGCCGACAATTATATTGTTGTCCATGAGGCTGGAGGGACAGCGCCAGTCAGCTACCGTTTTGGAGCACAAGCAAGCAAGCCACCACCTGCTTGCCCGCCAAATGTTACTCCAAGCCCCGCTCAGCCGGTTCAACATACTCCATCGACGACAGCCAACACCGGGTCCTCTAGCCGCGACAAAGCTCAAAATAGCGTTCAGCCGCAGGCATCAGAAGTTCAGCAACCGGCTAGGCAGCCAGCTCCGCAACCTTGCGAAATCGCTAGCCAGGTTGCGCCCGATGTGGACTCCATGCTTGCCAGCTCAAACGTAACTATGATGCCAACAGCGCCATTCTCTTGGCAGAAGGGCAGACAAATTGGGCAAGGTGCTTTTGGCACCGTGTACATGGGCCTCGTTCACGCAACCGGCCAGGAAATCGCAGTCAAGCAGGTCAGCTTACCCCGCGACGCGGCGAGCAACGGCAAAGTATCAGATCACATCAGGTTGCTGGAGGGGGAGGTGGCGGTGTTGCGCAAACTGCGGCACGAAAATATTGTGCGCTACCTTGGCACGGAGCGCACGGGAGAGCACCTTAACATCTTCCTCGAGTACGTGGCAGGCGGGCCCATCTCCAACAAGCTCGCGCAGTTTGGGCCGCTGCGCGAGGAGACCATCCGCGTTTACACGAAGCAGATCCTGCGGGGGCTGGAGTACCTGCACAAGATGAAGGTGATGCACCGTGACATTAAGGGCGCCAACATCCTTGTCGACACCAACGGCATCGTCAAGCTAGCGGACTTTGGCGCCAGCAAGCAGATTGAGGAGCTGGCGACAATCGGGGGCGGGGCGCGGTCCATCCGCGGCACGGCGAACTGGATGGCGCCGGAGGTTATTAAGCAGTCGGGCCACGGGCGGACGGCAGACATTTGGTCGCTAGGATGCGTCGTCATTGAGATGGCTACAGGTGGGTCAGGCGGGGACTGCGGAGAGGGTCCCTGTGGACGATACCGTGAGATGTTGCACAGAATACGGCAAATTAAGTTGCCTTTAGGCACTGCCTTCGTATCAACTGCTCGCATTGGGCATGCCTGGGCTGTCTTCCGCTGCCGTCCTATTTGAAACTCACAAGCCCCAAGCATCCAGAGTTGACACCTAAGCCCTGCTCCTGCCACCCCTCCCAGGCCGCGCTCCCTGGTCCAACTTCAGGGACCCCTACGCCGTGATGTTCCACGTCGCGTCCACCAAGGAGCTCCCCACCATGCCGGACTGGCTCTCCCCGCACGCCAAGGACTTCCTCACGCTCTGCTTCAACCGGGTGCCGCACGAGCGACCCAACGCCACGCGGCTGCTGCAGCACCCGTGGATGCAGGGCGTGCCCGTGCCGCGCGCCACAGCAGCGCCGCCCGCCATGCTCCCCATCCCACCCGCATTGCCATTGCCGCCAGCCACGCAGGCCCCGGACTCCCAGCAGCAACAGCAGCCGCTTGCAGCAGCTGCACCCCCACAGCCGCCTGCTCCGGCGCCTCTACAGCCGCCACAGCAACAGCAGCTGCCGCCCCCGCCTGGCCTGCGCTCGCCGCCTTCTCCCATTAAGGAGGAGTGCGATTCGCGCTTCGGCTCACCGGCAGCGGCTGGGGCGACCACTGTGGGCTGCTCCACCCCCACCACTGCCCGCACAGCATTGCTGAATGCGGCTGGGCAGCCGCCTCGACCTGCGGTGCCCATGCTGCCCTTGAAGGAGATGAAGATGGGGATCCTGTCGGCGCAGCCGATGTCGCAGACCGCCAGTTCCTCAGCACCTGGCTCTCAGCGGACAGCGCCGATGCCGCCGACGCTTCCACCCATAGCGCCACCCAAGTCTCCGGCGCCAGCGCCTCCGCCTCCACCTCCGCCCCCTCAGCAGCAGCAACAGCAGCCCGAGGCCAGCTATCCCCAGAACCAGGTGCGTGGAAGTCCTTAGAAGTGCAACGCATGATGGATGGATGAAGCTCATGCAGCACGAATGGGTCATGTGCTAGCATATAACGCCCTAACCATCCTTTTTTCCTGGGAGTGGAAGACGCACCACGGCATGAGGCACGCCTGGTAGACGCAGCTTCAGACCTTCGCTCTCTGCACCCGTCCTATCCGCTCCTGCACGCCCCGCATCTGTCCCTCCCCTGCAGCAATACGACACGATGGTCGACACGGATGCCGTACGGATGCAGCTGCAGTACCTGCAGCAGCAGGCGCAGCAGCTCGACAATGCACACGACAGCATCTGCATGGGCGTGGGCATGACCATCAGCATAGGCGACCCCTCCGCCAACGCCTGCCGAGCGAGCACCATGACGCTCAGCGGCTTTAACCCGGTGGAGGAGCCCTCATGGATGCCGCACCAGTTCCATAACCACCAGGTGTGTCCCGGCAGGTTGAGCTACGGCATGCTCAGTGCGTTACGGCATTGGCACAGATACTTCCTATCCACTGTACGGAGCACGTTTGCCTCATGCATGCATGGACGCAGGGCCGTCGTTCGCTGCAAGGGACTGTATCCATGTGCATGACACGTCCGTCATTCTTGTCGCGGACTACATGTCGCAGCTCGCTTACGGTACACTCCCTCATGACAATTCTATGACCGCACACCTGGCCTCATCCAAATGCTCCGCTGCAGGCCTTCTTCCAACACTTAGCTGCCGTGTCGGAGCGGAGTGTGCCCGGGTCGCCCGCGGGAAGCTCCCACGGCTGCAACAGCGCTGAGCGCCCTGACATGGCGGCCAGCACCAGCCAGCCCGATACCTGCAAGGCGGCTGCTGCGCCGCTATCGGGGGAGTTGCAGCCGGCCACTGGAACGCCGCGAAGTGGGACAGGCTCGCAGCGCTTAACAGGGCGTGGCGGCAAGATGATGGGGGTGCCATCTCGACCGGCGCTGGCGGGGGTGTTCGCTGCAGCATACGAGGTATGATTTGTTCTGGGCAGCTACCTTCCGCTCCCCGCATTACTTCGTCGCATCGTCGGCGCTCATCTTGTGCGTTGTTCGCCTTTCCTGCCGTAGCCCGAGGATGGTGAATTTCCGCCGCCGGAGGTGGACCAGCCCTCGACAGCTGGAAGCGTGGTTGCGTCGCCGAACACCGTACGCGTAGCAGCACCTCAGCAGGGGACCCGACCTCGTGTCAGTCAGTCGCGCCGAGCGCTCGAGGTAAGATGCGTTGCATTACCTGCCTACAACATTGGCTGCGTGCGTTCCGTGTACTGTTATCCCGCTTCACTGATTGCCGTCTTAGCCGTTTCCCAATTTCCCGCCGCCCTGCTTCGGACGTGTAGGAGGCGGGCATCCTGGGTGGAGGCACGCTGGACCCGGCACGCGCGAAGCAGTACCGCGACGAGTTGGTGGCGGAGCTGGAGGCTGAACGCATGCGGGCAGCTGCAGCCGCCTACCCGCGGGAGAGCATAGCACAAACTGCCATGGCTGCGGTTGGAGGCCGGCCGAGTGTGGCGGACCTCTGATCCTCCAACAGTGTGCCGCCCGCTGCCGGCGGTATTGCAAGTATTGGTGAAAAGATGAGCAGTTGCGTTGCTTTCTGGGGGCTCGCAGGTTATGTGTACCTATCAGGGACCGGTGGGTGTCGGGCGTGTGATCTCCTAGTTGTCTATGGCTGCTGATATGGAGCGGTCTCTATGCTGCGTGTTTCCCTCCCTTCTGGGCTCCCCTTGAGCCGTGGTTCCTGTCCTGATCCTTTAGGATATTCAATGATCACGAAGGCATATACAGTCAACCTTCATTCCCATCGCTCTGTCGGTTTGTATCATCTTAGGTTGGACGTGACCCGTCTTGTTTGCGCCGAGATAAGATGTGTAGCAGGGGGTCGGTCTGTTTGTTCTTTACTATGATCGCTGCTCGGCAGCACCTATTGACTGACGACATGACAGGATGCTAAATGAGCATGGAGGCGGGGCAAGAGATTGTCTGCAATTCCGTGGGAGATAACGTATGCTTACAAGACAAAGGGGGTCAATGCCGCGTCGTAATCGCTTTGTCGGTGCTTTACTAGGTCAAATGCATTGGCTACCGTACATTTGTTGGAGAGGTGACATGTACGGAGGGACAAGGTGTTGGCATTGTCGTACATCTGTTGACAGATTGACAATGAGCGTTCATGGAACCATGGGTCGTGACCCCCTTGGTCTGCAGCCACGACCTGGCCTGGGGTTTGTGCAATCCTTACGTGTTTGATTCGTTAAATGTGTCCAGCTGTGTTTCCATGTTTGCGTCTTTAGCGGGCTGACACGCAGCGCTGTCACACTTGAGAATACATGCGACCCCTCATGCACTCTGTTGTTACAAGCGGCCTACGTCTCAATAGGCGTGCTGCTCGGCAAAGTATGACACATCTGAACATGCCTCAAAACCCCTCTTGGCAAACCGACCTTGCATGATCCCTTGCACTTGCCGCCAGGGGCGCTACTGAATGCTTGATTGAGGCGGGCTGTCAACCCCCATGCCACCGCCTGCGCTGGTGGCGCGTATGCTACCAAGGCCCGCATGTTGGAATAATGACATGCTAGGCACCCATGAAAAGACATGAACCTCATTCCTTATTCGAGAATATAAAGCCCCACAGAGTCACAGTCCCTAGCGTGCGATGTCGTTGTCTATTCCTTACTGCATTAAGGCGGAGAAATACCCAGATAGTCAATCCATTGCGACACTAATACACGGCACCTAGCCACCATTATGCACCATGTTAACGGGTCAACTGCAGATGCTGATGAGTAAGGTCACCACAGACGACAACATGAGAGAGAAAGACGTACAAGGCAAACTACGCGCGCACTCCGAAGCCAACAAAAACCAACGAACAATATACGATCAGAGGCTTGCGGTGTAACATACCGTGCCAAACGCCAGGCTGCCCTGCCTCCCCTGTCAAGCAATGAATGCTGCGCAATGTTAGCCCAAATAGAAGCTGCCATAGCCACAATGAATACATAAGCACAAACCATGAATCGGCTGTTATTAATAACAATGGGTGCTAAAACGATTTCTTGTCTACGTCTTTGCCAATAGCTGACCCGTGGGTCAGCAAGGCACGTCATAATCTGCTGCTTTACATTAGACCCATAGAACGGCCCCCCTAACAAAAGCTAATGTTGTACGACTTCTTGGGCGTTGAGGACCGCAAACAGGGACTCCCCTCCTCGACTTTGCGGGCTTCCCGCCGCCCTGTACTGCTTGCAAGGTACGACAACGGCTTGTCGTACAACATGCTGGGCGTATCGCACGATGACCGAAGCCTGTTGCCGTACATCAAGCGCATCCTCGCACCGCTTCGCGCAGCCGTGCTTCCAGCCATCACCCCGTTGTTGTTGCTTGCATGGCGACAACCGCTGCTGCTGCTGCTGGAGCTCACCGGCTCCATGCACGGCAGCGAGTACCGGCACGGGTTGCATGGCGTGGCTGGGGTCTTGGAAGTTGACGTTAGCGCTGGAGCCTGCTGCAGAGGCGGTGGAGGCGAATGTGGTGAAGCCAGCCATGGTGAAGGTGCGGGTTGCCAGCATTTCCGCTTGAGGGTGGCTACCGCCAGGTCCTCAGCCGTCCAGTAGATCAGGCCAAAGGCCTCCAAGTCTTGCATGTCTGCAGCCCAAAGGACCTCGTCCTCAAACGACATGCAGCAGTCGTCAAAGCGGCTCAGGAGGATGACGTCTTCCAGGTCGAGGGCTCGCCCGGCAGGGGTGCGAGGCGGGGGCGACGGCGGCGGTGGGATGCCGGAATGGGAGCTCCGGGGCGACCTTTGGAAGCCGGAATAGGAGGTTCTGGGCGACCGAGGGATGCCGGAATAGGAGGCTCTGGGCGACCGTGCGAAGCCGCAGTGGGAAGTTCTGGGCGACCGAGGGATGCCGGAGTATGAGGTCCGAGGCGATCTTTGGAAGCCGCAGTGGGAAGTTCTGGGCGACCGAGGGATGCCGGAATACGAGGTCCGGGGCGACCGTGCGAAGCCGCAGTGGGATGTACGGGGCGACCGAGGGATGCCAGAATGTGAGGTCCGGGGCGACCGAGGGGAAGGCGGGGGCCCGAAGTGCGAGGCGCTCAGGGCAATCGGTGCATAGGCCTGCAGGAAGGGGATGATGGCCGGTTATGTGAGGAGGGAAGAAACCAACAAAGCCGGCGTGAAGTAACTAATCATGTCGTACTGCGCCGGCCGTACACACCCGGCATGCCATCTCACACACGCTTGTCATCATGTAGCATGTCCTTTTCACTTATTAGGATTTCGCACGTCAGGGAAATAAGACCTAAATGCTAAATTACCTAATTATGGCCCCAACCAGCCAGCAGCGACCTCACCTTGGGAATGCGTGAAGTGCACCTGGGTGATGGTGTTGACGGACAAAGCGTGCATGCTTGCAAAGTCAAGGCGGAGCTTGCAGAGGCGAAGGAGGAAGCCTTGGCAGAAGCTGCCTCGCTATTCGTGTCGTCGTGGTTGCCGGTCGTTGAGGTATGGGACACTAGGTGCGGCTCTAAAGGTGTAGGCAGAGACTCTTCTTGCAGCACTTCATCGCACTCCATCAAGGGTCCAAGCTGCTCCTGGTGGTAGCTTGCAGCGAAAGCTTGTGGGTGTCGTGTTGAAGGAGGTGCGTCCTGGCGGAGCTCGTTTGACGCCATGTTGGATGAGCTCATGGAAATGCCCGTTTCGAAAAGCGGGTTCGGGAAGAGTTGAGCCGTGTCAGCTGAAAGTCCGTTGTAATATGATTGAAAGAGAACATTGTCGAAGCGTTGACTTCTGGGCTCGTATCCCTGAAGGTCCGTGTTCTGCGCCGGGCTTGTCCATGTGGATGGAAAGGGTACTGCAGCGGCCGCTGAGGAAGCAGCTTCCCAGTCAGCAATGCTGCCGTCGCCGAAGATGTCAGCTACGGTGGCAACTCCGGGCGTGAGCTCCTTGGCTGTGCAGGCGTCGATGTAGGTTCTCATGGCAAGCCGAGCACATTTACCAAGCCGGACAGCCATCGCGTGCACCCCCATCTCAATGATAGTCCAGCTAAGCTTGTGAAGATACTTGTCTCCGGGGAATTCTTCTACTAGGTTTTGCGGGGCGCAGGGACCCAGCAACATTTCTAATTCGTCAGCGGTAAGAGGTCCAGCTAGGTCGTCATCGCAGCAGCATTCGGTCCAAGAGTAATTAATCATGTTGAAATCGGTAAGCTCCATAGCGTGCAGCTTCCTAAAGGCCCCCAAGGCGGCACCTCGCAAAGTTTTGCGGCGAAGCCAGTCGCTTCTTGGGGACAAGGTCAGGTCAAACCAAATATTGGAACAAGTGCCTTGTACATATTTACTTGGTAACCCTGTAGCACGTCAATTGCACGTCTCTTCCTGGTTTGCTCGTTCACGCCCGTACAAACAGTTGTCGCCAGCCAGTAGCAGGGCCCGAGCCTCCACGAAGGCGTCCAGGAACAAAGGAGTACTTCCGACACTTTCAGTAAGATATTTGGTCTACTTGTTCATCCCTAAGCAAAACTACCTGGGCAACCTACGGGTACGTTGACGTGACTCATCTCTGGCGCGAAGTAAGTGACTCGTCGCCAAGAAGCGTCTTGAAGTCATAACTGCACTAGCGCAAAGCCCGCTTTCCTTGGGTTTTCTTAGGCTTGGGTATCAGGTGGTGGCCGCGATGAGTTTAGCATGATGGATGGCTACGAGGACTTCAGTTAGGTGACAACGAATTTGATGCATGTGTATTTTCTCAAATTCTAAAGGTTTGGCTTGGCAGGCGTTTTGTGTAGTAACTTCAGAGGGCCGCAGAATTGCCATAATACCCTCGCCCTTGCCACCTACAGTACCCTCGCCCCTGCCACCTACAAGACCCTCGCCCCAGCCACCTCAATACCCTCGCCCACGTATGGCGTACCCCAAGCGGAGCTCGCATAAGCTCAGTCTCTGGCCCAACCATTACAAGGATAAAACGTACGCAGTTGGGAACTGCCTGTAAGCCCCAATCATGCCATCCTAAACCATCCTAAACCATGGGCCAGCCTGGTCTTACAGCACGCCCCCGATCCCCTTGCCGTTTCTGACTGCACCTGCAGTGCCTGTGCAGCTGGCTGTCACAATGCTTGTTTAGCATTCACTTAGCTAGCTAGCCTAACACCGCAGAGCGCTTTCTGCTTCACCTCTGTCACCTGCGGACGCAGCAGCTTCCTGCCTACTTCAGCCAGCCTGGCACCTCAAACACTGCCATGAAGGGAACTGCACGCTCACATTCTCGAATTCGCCCGTGTTTGGACACTTGCAAACGCGTGCAAGCCCGACCTAACACCCCATCAGGAAACAACAGCAGCCCCTAAAATGCTGGCATCCAAGACGCACTTGTATGTGTACTACGTACGGGATATGTACGGAATTGTTCTAAGCGCACGCTCGCCGAACACCTCGCATCATCCTGCTGCCCCCCACGACTTCTCGTCCCTTGACCATGCAAGCAAACAGGTGCCGCTATTGCTGCTGCTGCTGCTGCTTCCAACCCTCTCGCCAACTCACCCGCAGAGCCTATTCAGCTCTCACCGCAATCCTTCCATCTCTTCAGGACGTCACCTCTCGCTGCTCCCCAACAGTGGCACACGTTCGCCAAAACCAACCAACCCCCCCACCCGCCCGCACGCGCCCTCCCCCTCTTCCCTCCTCCCTCTCCTTACAGCTCACATGAGTCAAACGACTCACTCCACCAGGCTATCCCCTCCGCATCCTCCCCCTCCTCTTCACCCTCCCGCCCGCCCTTGGCCATGCTCCTCAGCTTGGCCGCCAGCAGCGCCTTCAGCGGCTCAGAGCGCTGTGCGGCCTCCCAGTGGCCCAGCTGGCTGTTGCGGAGGAGCGCCTGCGCGGTTGTGCAGTTGGAACGCCATGAATGGTGTTGCTCCAGTCAGTTACAGTGTGCTTCCCAAGTAGAGGATGGTGGGTGCAATTGGCGGTGCGGGGTGCAGAGGGAACACGTGGAGGTGCGGTCGAGGAGTTAAGAAGCGGTACATGTGCGTGACAGTGGGGTGCGGTGAGGGACACAAACCCAGGTGGGGCGCCACACCCAGTCGTACCTCGGCTCCCAGAGGCGCCCACTCCGCGTCATCATCATCATCGTCATCTTCTTCAGCTGCCACCTTCTCCCTCTCAGTAGCTCCCACCACACCTCCCTCCCTCCCCTGCTCCTGCCCCTGCCCCTCCTGCTGCACCTCCTGCTGCACCTCCTGCTGCCCCCTGCACCGCCGCCCCGTGAAGATCATGAAGGTGGACCCCTCGCGGTCGTCCTCGAAGGAGCACCGCGCCCAAAAGCCCTCCGCCCCCGCCGGCGTCACCACCCCTATGTCATACACCGCGCGCGTCTGCACCTGCTGCACCAGCAGCTTCACCAGCCGGCCGCCGATGCCCCGACCGCGGAGTGCGGGGTGCACCGCCACATCGTACACGGTGGCTACCTGGGGGGGGAGGTGTTCGGGAGGGAGGACGAATAAGACCATAGGTTGTTATTCGATAACGATGGAAGAAGATGATGAAGGAGGAGAAGGCCGGAAGGGAGAGGGAGGGATGGGGAATAGGTAATGCCAACCCCAGGGAGGTCCTCCCAGGTCTCCACGCCCCCTCAGCCCTGCCCCTGCCAGTGGTAGCCCCTCAGCCCTGGGCACCCCCTCAGGCCCCTACCAGGGAGTTGTCTCCGGTGGCCCGGGCAAAGCCCACCAGACTCTTGCGAGGAGGGCTGGAGGAGGAGGAGGAGGCGGAGGGGGAGGAGAACGGCAATGACAAGGCCGGTCGGCTTGCACCGCTGTTGCTATTGCTGCTGTTACTGCTACTACTGCTACTATTGCTATTGCTGCTGCTATTGGTTTCGCTGCTCCAGCTGCTCCTGCCGCCGTTGCTGCTGCTGCACTGGCAGTGTTCGCCCGCATCACCAGCCCCGCTGGCGGGCAGCAGCCAGTTCCAATCCATATCGGGAACACCTGCGCGGAGAGGAGAGGAGGAGGGAGGTCAGGGCCAAGGACTGGAACTGGCTGTGAACTGGCTGACAGGTGCGGGAGGAAACAGGGAAGTGAGAGGGCAAGAGCGAGGAAAGGGCGGCATGTGGAGGAAAGGGAGTTCCGACATGCATGCGCGGCTGCATGGTTAGCTGCTCCTCCCTCCTCGTGCCCATGTCCACTCGAGGCGGCAGAGGCAGCGACCACCACCTCCCCCCCGCACCCTTTGCTGCCCCTCACGGGCTTTTTGTTTCTGTTCGACTTGCTCTGCACCTCACCGGGTGGTGTGGGCGGTTTCCGCCTGCCCCCCGAGCAGCCGAGTGCGTGTGAGGGGGCGCTGGGTGATGGTGATGATGATGGTGATGATGATGATGATGATGGTTCGGGCTGCTGGGACCGACCGCCGCCTTCTTCTACATGCAACTCCGCCAACCCCACCTCCTCCGCTGCCACCTCCGCACCCCTCACAGCCCCTTCGCGAGCGCCACTGGCAGCGCTGCAGCCGGTAGTAGCAGCACCAACAGTTGTCGTACGTGTCAGCGCCGCTGCCCCCACGTTGCCGTACACATCCCACGTGGTGAAGCAGGCGACTGTGGCGACGCTGCGGCGGAGGGCGAGCTCCAGCTTGGCGGCGTGGCGGAGGCCTGCGTGGGTTGGGTTTGGGGGAGGAGGTTTGGGGGGTTGGGACGAAGTTGACGGTGAGGTGGCATGCAGTTGGTGGCAACGGTTGGTGGTTGCCGCCTGGCCAAGCGCCTCTACTGTATGTTGGGCTGCAGGGCCAGAGCAGGATTGTAGCCCCCTTTTAGCCCCCCTTAACCAGGACCTTTGACTTCTCCTGAATGTGTTCGCGGCCTTCGTAGCATACGCGAATACATAGCTAGCAAGAGGCAGTGGCTGTGTACCTGCTTGAGAAGTCCAATAGCTGTAGTTTTGGCGGCACAGGGGCGGTCCGGCTTCCATGGTTTCGGCGCGGCAGGCCGCAAGCAGCATTCCAAGATCCGCCCCCATGATATCGCGGCGGTTGATGCTGTGGAAGGAGAAAGAAGGCGGAAGGCGACACGTCAGATGCAGATGGAGTAGGTGCAACCGGAAGCTTACCGATGCCTGATCACCTGTAGGACAATGGTGGATGCTGATTAGGCTTTGAGCTTCGACTACTCGTGCCCCAGGCTGCTTGCGATGCACGAACGGTCGCCGGGCGCCTGTTGAGGGCACCAGTTGAAGGCCGCATCCTCTAAAGGCAAGTGATAGGTCTTTTTGGTATTACATCTATTGTCCTGAAGGCTTTAATCCATAGTCAATGGGTAAATGCGCTAAATCAAGCAAACGGACAGATTTTATGCGTTATAAGACAGGCCATGCCATGTAAGATACAGATATTTGTATGTGCGTTCTTATTACAAGTCTCATAGCGGAAACGTCTAGCGAACGATAGTGACTCGGGGAGCATCAGTCAGCCATCCACTAGTCGTACCGGAGATACAAGCTTGGTATCGCTAATAGCCCATGCAAAGCGTTCTTCTGTTGAAGTGAATAGATTCTTAGGCAGCGTTCAGACTCGCGTATGGATTGGTGCCTTCTGTTCGGTATATTTCGTTCGCAAAGACACTACAGTACTGGTATTAGGTTCCGCTTCTCATGGTGGTTCCAGCAACAAAAGCTCGCTTGGCTAAGCACCTCTTAATTAGCCAGTCGCCCCCGGTGGTGTTCCGCCGAACCTTCGTTGTTGCTAACGCAAGCTTTCCCGGGCAAAAGGGTGAGCGTTTATCCCACCGTAGTGCAGAGATTCTCACGAGTGAGGATTAGCTCTTAACATATCACCTTAGGCGTTGGGGGAATGGTTAATTGGATGTTGCAACATCCAATCCGCCGATTAGCCCAGACGGCCTGAACAGCCCTAAAGCGTGGACTAAACATTTGAGAGAGGATTTATATACTAAGCGGTTTCCCTGTTGCTGAAACGCCTCGGCGCACGGCTGCAGCCATCCTTCAATGCCAGTTGTCAATGGCAACAAACAACATCCCACGTGCCATAATCCGATGGTGCTATTGTCCCGTCTGAATAAAGTCGTTTCATCCTGCTGCCCTCACAGAGAGCAACCCGCTCACGCTGGGTCTGGTGGCCCTCCTCACGGAGACTCTGCGCGTGCTGGGAGTGGGGTGAGTTTCAAGCATAGCGCCCTTATACGCTGCGACGCTTGGGATCCCCAAGCATCGCATAAAACGCACACAACGATGTTAACCCTGTAATGCACTCCCATGTCGAAATCCCCTTGTGTTCATTTCTTATGCGGGATCCTGGGTGTCCGTAACCACCCTGCTCGCAGCCAGGATCGTTACGCTGCAGTCATCGCCGCCCCGCCCAAACACAAGCCCCTTGCGCGGGGCGATGTCTCCGGCCTCATGCGCCGCATCACCGCCGACTTCAAGCAGGTGCGGACGTGAATGAACGACCGCTACAGATCCAAGTCAAGAGCTCCCGCCGCTTGCCGTGGTCCGCCACTCCCAATTCCCATGGTAGTGCTCAGGCCCCAGCCTCTTTATGGCGACCGTCCCCCGTGCTCCCTCACTCTCTCTCTCGCCCTCTTCCTACCACCTCCGTCCCCACTTCCCCCGTCAGGCCTACCTGGTCACCGGCCAGCTGGACGACTCCATTTACGAACCCGACTGCTACTTCGCAGACCCCACAGTGGCGTTCCGGGGTGAGGAGGTGAGGGGTGAAAGGGATATGCCACAACACAGGAGGGGGTGTGGTTGTGGGGAGCGTGGCGAGGGGGGTGCGGCAACCCCGTGTGTGTGTTGACTGTTTTGAGATAACTTGCCTGGCTCCCTTTGTCCTTTCCACCCGCCCCCTGCCTGCCGTCCGCAACCCATACCTGCAGCAACAGCCCTTTCCCTTCCCCCCTGCTGACTCTTGTCGTAACTTGGCGTACAGGAGTGGACTTGTGGAAACGCAACCTCGCGCTGCTGACGCCCTTCCTGCTTCAACCCGAGGTGCAGCTGCTCGGCATTCGGAGGCTGAGGGGGCGCAGCGCTGATGGTGATGAGGCGGGGGCGGTGGTGGTGCGGGTACGTCATCACCTCGCCTCACCAGGGGGAGGCGTGCATGTGGTCGCCGTACCGGTATTATATGAATACACGGTATTCTCACGAGCACGCGCCATCCCCCTGTAGTAGTAGAAGTGCCCATCAGGAGTAGTGCCCCCCAGTGCTCCCGCCGGCCCCTGCTGGCTGCACACACTCGTGCGGGCATACCGGTGCAGTCCTGACCTTGGTTTTGCAGTCCGGACACTTGAGGACACTGAGCAGAGCGTCCTTGTTGCTCCCTACTGGTTCTCTCCATGCTGCTGTTGTTGCTGCTGCTGCTGCTGCTGCTGCTGCTGCTGCAGGCTGAGTGGCGGCTGCGCACCCTGCTGCGGCTGCCCTGGCGGCCGCTCATTGACATCGGGGGAGCCACCGAGTACACGCTGAACGCTGAGGTGGGCCATGCAGGGTTGTTGGATGTGGGAACAGAAGCAGCACTATACGGCACTGCCTGGGGCACAGTGCGGGACATACGTGCTGCAGTGTCAACATGCCATGCATGCATGCGTGGCATGGACGCAGTGGCTGTGACCCCCACCTGGCCGCAGTCCGTCTGCCTTAAGCTTAGCTGGCTGGGAAGGTCACAAAGGCTGTTGCAGTCGTTACGGTTGTAGCAACCAACCACCGCCAACCGCTGCGCAGGGCAACCGCATTGTTCGGCACGTGGAGTCCTGGAGCGTCAGTGGAACGGAGGTGGGTAAAGAGGAAACAACTAACTAGCCGTGTGCTCACATGCGTTTGCCCTTCTGCTTTCGCTCATAACTGGCATCCATGCGATGTTGCGACCTCTCCCGCACCTCACCCCAAATGCAGGCCTTGCTCCAGATGTTCCGACCGTCCAAGCCGCCAACGCAGTAGCAACATACATGCTGGGATACCAGCACACCAACCCCCCCCCGCTGCTGCATGAGGCCACGTACGGGAAAGAAAGGAGGAATGCCCTCCTGAGGTCATGATGCTCATCCTGTAACCCCAAAACCTTGTAAAGATGATGGGTGATGACGGTTTACATCGTGCACAGGGCGATTACGAAGAGCGCACGAATGACTACCCTGGAACAAAGCCGAGCATCCAGCTACGCTTACTGCTTGGAAAGGGAGCCGGGCGCCCGGTCAAATCGTGTGTCGACCCGGGAAACCTCGAAGACGACGACGGTTACGGCTCATGTGGCTCGACACCACTTACAGGACGCTGCAACTGCAATGCGGCATCCTCCAAATGCGCCACACTCTCTCTCCATCTCAGGTCGCCCGTGCACCAGGGTGTGCAGCCGGCCAGCCGCTAGCCCTTCGTTCCTAGGCGCTCAACCGCTCCGGACAACCATTCAACTGCCGACGTGCATAGCAAGGGCGCAAGTGTTTAGTCTGTTCTGAACGAATAAAGCAGTCCTAGTATAAAACCCTGTGACAACAAGCGTCAATGTCTGGTGCCACTACAGTACGGCAATCGCAACACCCCGCATTGCTCCCCGCGGTCGTTCTGCTGCCGCTGCGGTCCCGCGGGCAACCAGTCAGGCCGTGCAAAATTCATGATGCACCAACGTCTGGCTAATGCCTACAGCTTATTGCAAAGCACAAACCTGCTTGCCTAACATCTGCTCTGGACATCTGCTCGTCCGGACATCCTGCTAGTAAACTGTATGTTCAATCTTCATGCCAAACTGTGCAGCCTCCGTGCCTTGGCTCCGGCATGTCGCCCTATTTGTTCGCCATGCTTCCCATCTGTACGCGAAAGACCACTGCACCCTCCCCTCACCTGCATGTCTACAACTGCCCCCTGCCTGTCCTGTAACGAAACTGCATGTGCTGTGCTGTGCTGTGCTGTACGGCGCATACACGGCTGCTTCACATCATGAACCTCATCACACCAAAGAAAGGCTTGCGACCCATGGGTCGCTCCACCACCACCCGCAACCTTTTCCAGCTGGTGCTCACTTGCGTTCCGAAAACGCCAGGCAGCTGCTCCTCAGCGCATTCGCCGCCTCCAACGTAGCCTTCGAAGCAGCCTCCACCGCCGCGTTCGCATCCTGCAGTGTCGCCCGCAGCCTCCTTACCTCCGCCTGACGCAACCGCAACGCAGCCGCCTCCGCCGCTGCTGCTGCCGCCGCCGTTGCGGCGGTAGCGGCGGCGGGGTCGTCCCCTCCTGCCGTTCTCTTCTCCCTGGCTGCCGCCGCTGTAGACGCCGGTGCGGACTCGCCTGCTCCCGCCCGTGCTGTCGCCGCCCCCGCTGCCCCCGCTGCCGCTGCTGCTGCCACCGCCTCATCCAGCTGCCGCTGCTCCCTCTCCAGCTCTTCCATTGCGGGCGGTAGGGCGGCGTGCAGTCCGCGGATGGACCAGGGATTGTCCGGGAAGTGGGAGAGGTCATCCAGGTAGGTCTGCGGGGCATGGGCCGTGGGGCAGGGGGTGGGGCGGGTGAGGGCGGGGCGGGGGGTGGTGGGGCGGGGTGAAGATGGCGAGGAAGGCGAAGGAGGAAAACGAACCATGTGACACGAACCCACCACCGAGGGCAGGGTGAGGCAAGGAGGAAGGGAGTGCGCAGGTGGCACGGCCAGCGGTGATCGTGTTGTTGTCAAGTCTACCACCTGACAGGAAAGAACAATGCCGTTCGCTTCACGTCGCTACTGCCGCCGCCGCTACCATCGCTACCGCCGCCACTTCGCTACGTGTCCCTCTCCCCCCATCCGCCCCTCCCGCCCACCCGCTCCAACCCACCTGCAGCGCCTCCCGCAGCCGTCCCGCCCGCAGAAGCACCCAGCCCAGGCACTGCCGCGCCGGCTGCGGCCCCAGTCGCGGCGGCTCGTAATAGCCCCCGCTCGCCTCCACATCCACCGCGCGACTGAGCGCCTCCGCAGCAGCACCCAGGTCGCCCTCAAGGACGGCGAGACGCGCCTCAGCCGTCTGTATGTGTGTGTTCGGGTGGGCGGGGGTCAAAGATCATACCGAACCAGAGGAAACCACAGGTGCGGGTAGTTGGGGGTGAAGGGGGGGGGGGATGAGGTCCGGGGTGAGGATACCGGTGAGCGTGTGGGTGGGCGGCCGGGTAGGTAGGTACCGGTACCGGCAGTGTGCTTCAACGTTGCATAGGTTGCATTCCTAACTGCATGCGCTCAGATGGGAGGCCTCAGATGGGATGTGTACAACAACAGACTACCGATGGTGGTCGCAATCCGCGAAAGCATGGCAGCCTCTAAGACCCACTCACCAGTCCCAGCACCGCCGACAGCAGCTTGTACCCCGGCACATCGATACCCAGCCCCTGACCCGGCGGCACCGCCACGTCAGGCGGCACCTCCGCCTCCGCCGCCCTCAACGCGCCAAACTCCGCCGCCAACTCCCGACGGCTAGCCGCAGCCACCTCCGCCGCCACCTCCGCCGCCGCCGCTGACGTCGCCGCTGACGCCACCACCGACATACGTTGCGGACCGTACGGCCGGCTCTTCTTGTACGGCAGGGCTTTCCGGGTGACGGCGGCGGCTGCAAGTAACGGCGACGTCAGATTGGCGGCCGGCTCCGTCGCTGCCTCCGTCGCCTCCGTCAGCTGCGCCGCCAGCGCCATGAGGCGGGCGAAGTGCCACAACACGCGGGCGTACTCGGCTCCGTCCTGCGGGGGGGGAGGGGTGGGGGAGGAGGAGGGGGAAGGGGCAGCAGGGTTTCAAGACCGAAGCCGCGGCTGGGGCCAAAGGAAGGCAGGAGCGGTTGGAAGCACCAGCCCGGGTCTGCAAGTCCCCACAAGTCCAGGTCCAAACACAGGCGAGGAACAGCTCCTAAGGGGCTTAGCGGCCCCCTAGCACCAGCAGCTCATCGACAGTAGCCCCATCTGCACGCAGAGGCCTCCCATTCGCCCATCCACTCGCCCCCATCCCACCCAGCCGCCCATCCACCCGCTCACCGGTGTATACTCGGTATCTAACAGGGGCCCCCGCAGCGGCCTCCAATCCGTATGACGGCTGTTGGTGCTGCTACTGCTGCCGTTACCCAACACCAGATCCAAGTTTGGATACCCAGCAGTCACATCGGCCGCCTCCGCCTCCGCATTCGCCTCCGTGGCATGCTGCTCCGTAGCCACCGCCGACCCATGGGTCGCGGTGGAGTGCGGCTGCTGCTGGTGCTGCATGCCTCGGATGATGAGTGTCCTGGGGGTCTTCCTCGTTTCCCTCGCCTTATTCCCCTCCGGCCGCGAAGGCCGCACCACCACCACGGTTTGTCCTGCTGCTGCTGCTGCTGCTGTTCTTGAAGGCGGTTTTGCCGTTGTTTGCAATGGCTGCTGCGGCGCCGCTGTGTTGTTAGTGGTCAAGCCAGGTGAAGCGGGCAACAGCAGCGACGGCGGCGATGACGGCGGCACGGGGTGTGGTGGCGGCGGCGCTGCCAGGACCTTCTTCCACGCCGCGAACCGCACCCACACGAGCAGCGGTGCGCTCCACTGGGAGCCCAGGCTGGCGGGGGCGTCGCGAACGAACCTGGGGGGTGGTGGGTGGGGAGAATAATACCCAATGTGGGCGGGGGGGACACGCCAGGGGTGTGGTGGGTGGACGCATCGTGACGGGTCGCGGGGGGGTGAAGGTGCACCCCGTGTTTGGGAGCCTCTCGGCGGTTGGTCGTTCGTCAGAGGCCTCCTACTCTACTCCACGGGTGGACCGGATCCAAAACGCCGCAGTAACATGAACAGCACCGTATCGATGTACGGTATCACGCTTTATCCCGCCCACACCCCCTTCCACCCCCCCACCCCCGGCCCCACCCCCGCCCTCTCCACCCCCTCCTCGCCCCCACCCCCCCCCCCCCGCACCCCCGCCCCCTACCTGGGCAGCTCCTTGAGCACCCGCGCGTACACCTCCGCCCTCCGCGCATCCGCCCCCATGCTGGCCGCGAACACCCCCAGTGCGGTGTTGTGGTCGGGGTAGAGCGAGGCCAGACACATGTGACTGCCGCGCACGGAGGCGCGCAGGGCGGCGAAGTTGGACTGCAGGGAGGGTTGGAAGGGGGAGGCGAGGGGGGAGGAAGAGGGGATGCGAGTTGTGCTAAGTCGATGCTTCGGAACGTAACATTTCTGGACGGGTTAGAACAGGGGTTCGGTCTGAACACGAACATGCGGTGCAGTGGAGTAGGACAAGAGCAAGCAATTGGGAGAGGTTCGCATGTGAACCGCGAGTACAGGCAAAACAGAGGTGACATGCTGTGTGGAGGGGGGGGGAGAAAACTGGCCGCGACTGGCCGCGTGTGTGCATGTGTTACCTCGATTGCACCCCCGCCCCCCGCCCCACACAAACAAAACCCGCCCCACCCACCTCCGCCGCCTCCTTCCAGCGCCCCACCCGCACGAAGGTGTGCGAGGCCATGTGGGTCAGGTGGTCGAAGGCGGGGAACAGGACGGACAGCCGGTCAGCGGAGGACTCCGCCAGGCCTGCAGCAGCAGGAAGGAGGGAGGGGGCCAGAGAGGGGTTAGGTTGCCGTAGCTGGGCTTCTTCGACCCCACCCCGCACACCGTCTTGCTGCGCACCTGCCCGGTCGGCTCCTCGGCCGGCGGGCAGCTGCTCCGTGGTATGGATCTGGGAGGGGGAGGGGGTGGGAAGGTGGGGAAGAGGGTTGCCGAGGTAAAGGTAGAGTGGCAAGAGGGGCCCAGGAGCTGTTTTGCGTGCTGTGGGGGGTCTTCACCCGGACTCACCCCGCCACCCCTCTCCCAAACCCTTCAGCCCCCTCCCTCCCCCCGCCCCCTCCTCACATGCAGGTGCAGTGCCAGCGGCTGCAGCGGGTCCCGAGTCAATGACATGTTGATCAGCTGCAGCACCAGCGGCGTCACCTCGCGGGGCTCACCTGCATGGGGGGGGGGGCAGGGGGTGGGGAGGGGGAGGGGAGAGTGTGTCTTAGGGTGGGTATGTGGGGATGTGGCTAGCCGCAACGGGCAGTAGCTGTCGCAGAGGGGGGGGGGAGCTCTGCACTGCGTTGCCACCCCGTCATGCGGCCCCCACCGCCGCCTCCTGCTCCTCCCTGCCCTCCCCCCCTCTCCCCTCAACCCTACCGGTTATCGGGTCCCAGAAGTCCCAGGGCCGGGTGTTGGCGAGCGCCTCCGCGGCCAGTGCGGGGGCGTCCGCGTCCCCCGGCCAGCAGGCGGCGATGTCCTGAGGGAGGGAGGGGAGGGAGGGAGGGAGACGGACAGGGGAGGGAGGCAGGGGAGCCCGGAGGGGGGAGAGCCCGGGAGATTGGGGGTTGGGGGAATGGGTTTTCGTGTTTCCGTTCGTGTTCTCCGCTGCTGAACGGCGGATGCTTCCCGCATGGACCGTCAGGGCGCTGAGCGGCGACATCTCGGGGGCCTGCCACGGGGAGGTGGCCCCCCCCGCCCCATCGGCCCCCCCGCTCGGCCCCCCGCCTCCCCCCCCCCGCCCCCCCCCCCCGCTCGCCCCCCCCCGCCCCCCTCACCGCCATGTCCTGCGCGTACCGCCGCTCCGCCGCCTCCCACTCGCTGCCCCACTCAGCCGCCACACTCAGTCGGTCGGCCATCGCCGCCACGTAGCGCCGCTCGCGAGCAGCCAGCGACCCACCGCCGCCGTCACCTTCATCGCCACCGACACTGCTAGCAGCATCCCCTGCTGCTGCCGCTGCCGCTGTCATGTGCCTTCTGCCATGGGAAGATGCGTGCTGGGACTGCTGCCCCCCTGCAGTAGCAGCACAGTGCCGCAGCAACCCCAGTCGCTCAACCAGCCTTCTGCCACCTCCACTGCCACCACCACTGCCACCTGATACCGCTGGAGCAGCAGCAGCCTCGCCCGCCTCCTTTGAGCCGCCGCCGCTTCTGCTGCCTCCGGTCTCCTGCACGCCTGCAGTCCGGTTTCCGCCTTCACCGCCTCCCGAGGGCGACCCTGGTGACTGTGAAGAGGAAGAAGCCGAGGGCTGATGAGCTCCGCCGGGCTCTTCCGCTGCTGCCGCTGCCGGCGCCGGCCCGGCTGGCCCTGGGGGCGAAGGAGGAGAAGCAGCTGGCTCGTGATGCCGCCCTGACAGTTCTGACAGCCCCAGCAGCCTCAGGGCGGTGGTGATGGCTGCGAGGGCCTCCAGCCGGTCTTGGCGGGTGTAGCGCGGGAAGGCGGGGGCGGAGGGGCCGGAGGGCGGGGCCACTGCGGGCTTGTTCTGGAAGGGACCTGTAGGGGGTGAGAGCGAAGCGGGGGGGGGGGTTGGAATCGTTCGGTAGGGCTTGGGGCGGGCAGGGGGGTGGTAGTAGAGCAGGGAAGAGGACGGGGCGAGGACACCCCCTCCAGCAGGCCAAACCTGGGTTGGGAACATATCCGGATAGGATTGGGGGATGAAACACACCCACACCCACACCCACACCCGCCCGTCCGTCCCCCTACCTCTCGCGTGCGCCAGACCCCACCAGCACATGACGCAGTCCGGATCGTACGACAACGCGGCTCGCAGGGAGGCGCGTGCCTCGGGCTGGTTGAAGTCGGCGGTCAGCAGCATCGCCTGGTCGAACAGCGACTGGGCCTCCGGATGGGTTGTGCGGATCCTGATGGATTGTGAGGGACACGGGGCCGCTTGTTAATAATAATTCCCGAACAGGTTCTGTTTGTGGATTGGTTCTCCCGATCTGCCGTTGCAGGCGCGGTGCCTCGGTGTTCAAGTCGTGTCGACGAGGCTCGTTAACGTCCGGCGCTAGGGTTCGCTCGCGCGACATATCTGGACCTCTGACAGTCACCTGTGAGTGTAATTGAAGTTCCCGTATACATAGAGTCGCTTCGCCGGCTCAGGACGGTCGCAGTCCAGCCCTCGGGCGATGCATCCCAAGGTGTGCAAGCAGAACAGCCCGACCGTGACCAAAAGCCTCTGCTTCCAAGCAAGCGAAATTTTAATTGTCATACTTGGGTTTAAGACTGCTTAGAAGCAACCGACTTTGGCCTAGCTACATGGCAAGCAGTTGGCTATACACATGAGCATAGCTGTATCGTTGTGAAGGATAAGCAAGACAATCGTAAGCCCCTGGCTAAACAAAACGTATTAAACGCGTCACAAAAGGGTCCCTGTTCAGCCCCGAACGAGCGCACTTGTGTTGAGATCCGGAACCAGCATGCCTGTCACGACAGCAGGCTGGAACTATCCCAAACTACGTGCACTGGCCATCATTTGCTTCAGTTTTATTACTGTAACAATACTTTAACAGTTGCCTAGGCTTACCAGGTCCATAGAAGAAGCTGTCCGCGTCTTTCTGCCCAAGCCGACAGCTTAAAACTAACAGCACTCGCCATGTTGAGCGTTCCACCGATACGGACTAGACACGAACATGCAGAAAAGGCGCAAGTCAGCTACAATTCTCCAATGGCGGAGGAACTAGATGCTTGGCATCGAACCAAGGCGCTCCTAGACAGCACCTCCAGGCAACAGCAGCAAATACTTGGATACAAACATCTTCCCGCGGATATGCTAAAGGACGAATTAGCCGCCCTTTCGCTGCTGAGGTAATTTTGTGATGTTTGGGCGCTGCCAGTTGTCTTAGCCTTTATCATTGCCGGTTCTCAAACACAGGTCGCTTCTGACGGAGCTCGAGGGCTGCATCGTGGAGCACGACCATCCTCCACCGTCCGTGAGCAAGGTGAGGCGAATTCGGCATCCCCGCTTGCAGCTAAGCTTGCACAGCACTAACTTGGAAACCCTGCGCGCAGCGAACGGCTCTTATTAAAGTTGAAAAGGCTCGTCGGAAGGTGCTGAGTGCCGTCCGTGAGTGCGCCAGCCATGTGACAGAAAGTCAGGTATGATGCCCTTGGAGCTGCGTGGCGTTGGACGCTAAATGCTATTTTCCCCTCAGAATAACATTTTTGGTTCTTTGCGTTGTATATAAATATGATAGGGCTTGTTCGAGGAGGTCGCGCGCTTCATTGAATTACGCCCGGATGAGGCGGTCTCGCCAAAGCAGTTGGGCATCAAATGGCAGCGGCAGGCAGCACCGAAGGAGGCCCTTACACGCAGGTAGCCTGCCCCGTCTGACCTTACCCTGCCGCCTGGCTGCTGAGACTGTTGGAAGCCCTAGCCTCTAGTGCTCCTGAACACAACTGAATGGTTCCCCCTGTTCCTCCTCTTCTCCTACGGCACTGCAGGGACCAGGCGCCCGTTCGCACTCTGCGACCGACCGATTCCCTGGTAAGCGCTGTGTAGGCCGCAATCAGGCCCATAACAATTCCTCAACAGCCCAACAACCAACAACCACTATCCCAACCGCAGGCCGCCTCCATCATTGGCCTCAGCGCGATCGCTGAGGGCCGAATCGGCGACCGAGGCACGCCCACCTCGGACGCCGCCGGCCCCTTTGTCACCCTCGGTCCACGAACCCTGGTCCCCTCCGGGCAGCCTCGATACCTCGAGCAGCAGCGCAGCAAGGTGCACAGCGGAACCGGCGCAGGAAAGCACCGACACAACAGCTTGACTGCGGCTGCGGGTGCTGCTGGAGGCGCTGAGGGCTCCGCAGCGGCGGCGGCGGTTCAGGGCAGCGGCGGCGCTGCGTCGGCACTGCAGCAGCTGCGGCTGCAGGGTGGGACGGAGCAGCGCAACCCTGGTGCTGGCGAGGGAGTGGAGGATGACCTGAGGTAAGCTGCGGGGTGCTCGGTGCGGATTGCGCTCTCCCTCCTGGTTATAGGTTATGAGGACTTGAAAGAGATTCCTTCCCCTTTTTCCTCTCTCCCTCCTTGTCCCCTCTCCCCACATCCACAGTCCCGGGCTGTACCTGGACGTGGCCCAATCCTCCGCCACCAGCACCAGCCTCTGCAACATGGACTCGTGCGCAGCGCCGGGGGCCAGCGGGGCGGCAACGGCAGGTGGGTGTGTGATGAGGTGTGGGCAGGTGGGTAGTGAAGAGGTGGCAAGTGGCTGAAAAGGATAAGACCTAGTTGGTGACGATAGTGACAACGCGTGACGAAGGTTCCTAATAATTGACAACGTGAGTTTCGGGAACATGGGGTAATTTTCATGTTCTAGCTGGTCCTAGGCGTAATTTTTGCGTGCCTTCCTGACCACGTATCTCCCTCCTTTACACCAGGTGCATTCCAGGAGGACGAGGTAGAGGAGGGCGATGAGGACGAAGACGAGGTTAACAGCGCCGAGGCCCGTTGCGGCGGCTACGAAGCCGGCAGCCCGAACCACCGAGTCATGCTGCTCGGGGGGAGCTCCGCAGCACTACGAGGCTGCGGCGGCGCCTCAGCCTCCTCCGTCGCCAGCACCGCCGCCGCTGCTGCTGCGGCTGCGGCCGCTGCTGCTGCTCGCAACAGCGGTAACAGCAATGGTAACCCCATCAACACGGCGGCGGCGGCAACTGGGGTTGCTGCAAGGGGAAGCAGCGCTGACCTGGGTCAACAACAGCCTGGATCAGCAGCCGGGGCCTTTGCAAGCTGCAACCAGGCGGAGCTGGACCCCAACGGACAACTAACTGCTCCGCACGCCCCGCAGCAACCTGGCTCTGCCTCTCGCTACGTTCCAACCTCAACTGCCGCTGCCAACGCCATCACAAGGCCCCCTCCAGCCCATTACCAGCTCCCCGAGCCGCCCACTACCAGTGGTGCCTCCGCGGCGCACCCAACACCCCAATCTCACCACCACCACAACCAGCAACAGCAGCACTCCTATTCTCCTCACCCTACCTCCGCCCATGCCTCCGCTGCCTCGGCCCACGCCTACCTCTCCCACAGCGGCGGCGGAAGCCTGGGCTACCCGCAACCCGCATCCGGCCCCAGCAGCCTCCGGGACTTCCCCACGGGCGGTTACGGAGCCGGCCCCTCCAGCTCCTCCCGCGGGGGCGCTGCAGGCGCCGAGACGGGCGGTGTCAGAGCGTTGGGGGCGAGTGCGGGGACGGCGGTGGGCGGTGGCGGCGGGGCCGGGGGGCGGTTCGGCGCCTCGCAACCACCCTCTGGGTACCCCTCCCTGGACGGTACGGCCGCGTGGGACAACGTCAGCGTTGCGGATACGGAGCCGCTGCCGGGTGAGGGTGAGGGTGGTGTGTTTGAAATACTGGCTTGATGTGGTGCGTGTGTGCTGCTGGGGCGGTGTGTGAGGGGGTGGTCTTGACGAGGCACGGGCTGCTGGATGGTGGGGTAATGCTACCATTGTCGCTAAAGGCAGTGCGAAGATGGCCGGGTGGAGCGGTACAGCTTCCGGACAGGGATACCCAGCGGTTGTTTCTTTCCCACGTCCCACTTGCTGCTCCCTTCCTCCCTCCCTTCCTTCCTTCCCTCAGGTGCGCCCTCGGATCGCCGCGGGGGCCGGCGGGGCGGTCGGCGGCGCAACGGGGGGCTGCTGGGCCTGGTACGGCACGTGGTCGGGTTTGTGGGTGTGTCGGTGCTGAGCGGGGCGGCCATGGCGCTCGGGGCGGCGGCAGTCAACACGGTGAGTTGGGGGGGTGTGGGTAATGAGGAAACGACTGACGAACCGTGTGATAAGGCATCATCGTGGGTGTGGGTTGTGGGAGATTGACGGAGTGGGAAGTAGGATGGGGTCAGAAAGTGGGGAAGAGTGTATAACCCGGTTGAGCGACGTGCCTTTGTGTTACTGTTCGTTGACGGTGGCCGTCGACAAAGGGGAAATTCCATAGGCGGGAGGTGCATTGGAAAGAGTGGAAGACGTGGCTGGGATTCGTCCTTTGCTTGCACGCCCCAAACCAACCGTGTGTGCCCCTCCGCAGGGTCTGGACGAGCAAGAAGCGGCGCAGAGGGCTCGCAGTCGTGGGCCCAAGCGGGTGCGTGATAAGGGAAAGGGATAAAAAAGACCCAACCATAGGAAACCACGACTTGGGGCTAAACAATGGGGGAGGGGGACGGAGGGAGACAGAAGTGGGAAGGGGGAGACGGGTTACTCGACTGCACCAGCTGTTCCTCAATGCTCCTTTACTGATCCACACACACCAGGCACTCGACAACACGCGGGCCGACGTAGGGGCGCATCTCCGACTTGCCTGAATGTGTAATAAAAGCGTAGGATCAACGCCCCGCCCTCCTGCCCCTTGCGTCATACCCCGCAGGTGGGCCGAGGCGGTGGCGGCGACATGATCCCTCAGAGCACGCTGCAGCAGCTCCGCAGCCCCGATCTGCTGGCGCTGGGCAGGGGATAACTCTTGGTGATGGTGTTGGTTCGCAGCCAGTGGCAAGCATGGAAAGCTTTAAATCGAAGGGAAGGGAGGAGGACTCTGAAGGGGGAAGAGGGTATCCTGGTACGGCGGCCGCGTGTTCCTCAGCGGAAGGGGTCAATGCGCGCCGTGTAATGATGGGGTTGGATGTGCGGACTGCAGAGGTGGTGGGAAGAGGTTGGATGGTGGTAAGGGGCCGAGAGGTAGGTGCGTTGGTATTTGGAAAGGGCCGAGAGGTAGGTGCGTTGTACCGTACGCGTGTGGTTGTGCATGGCTTTCTGTGATGTGACAAGCGTTGTGTGAGAAGCATACTTGTTTGCCAATGTGGTTGCTGTTGAAGGCTTGTAGTTGGCTGTGTTGCTGTCATCAACGGCACCCCGTAGCGCAGGTGGGCTAGCATGTTGGCGTCTTGGCTGTTACATTATTGAGGATTGTAGTTGCTGTGGTGTAGGTGCTTTGCTGTTGTCTCTCTGTCCGGCTGCCGTTCTACTACCGGGGGAGGGAACGTTGAGGGAACGTTGAGGGCCTGTTTTGGAAGCTGTGAGGGAATGGACAGCTCATACTGGAGCACTCTTATGTAACACTTATCCGATACTTCAACTAATTCATAGTAGACGTTTCCACCAGTTCTACATAAAACACAGAGCTCTTGATTAAAGTACGTCAACTTACGCACCCGTTCCAAACGCGATCCATGGGTCGCCATGCGCAAGATACGTCCTTAACCACCCAATGCGCATTACGACCATAATGTTTTAGGTATTAACAATTTGCTAAGATATAGCGAAACATTTTGTTTAAATTAGACGCTCGGAGGACGCCCCCTAGCTCAAGAGCTACAGTTTCGCCGCTTCTCGGAAGGTCCGAGCTTAACCCAGCTAGCGCTCGACCACGTCCCCTAACTCAATCCTAAAAACCGCCGAGGACTTTCTCTTACGTCCTTCGCTCACTGCTGCAACCGAGGAAGACGTTCCCATGTTCAATCGGCGACCGCTGTGGCTGAGGCTCTACAATGCGATAGGTGCGATTGAGTTCCCCTGCCCTGCCCTGAGGTGTCTGCTTCAGAGTGGGGCCCTCTTCACAGCGGCCCCGCTGACTGCTGGGGCGTGCGGGACGACCCGGCCACCAGCGGCTTCCGCTGCCGCTGTTTCCGCTGCCGCTGTTTCCGCTGGGCTCTGGCCCCCCTCGCTGTGTCCCGTCACCCTGCTACCTGTAGCTACTGGGTGCCGGCTAATGTCCGTATTACTTCAAAACCTTGCTTCCCCCGGCTCGCCCTCCACTTCACCCATCCCATCCCACCCCACCCCCACCCCACCCCGCATGCAGCCCGTGTGTTGGGTCTGACGGACCCCGCTGCGCAGCTGAATGCCACACTGGCGCAGCAGCCCGACAAGATCCGCGCGGTGAGGGGCCAGAGGGAGGCAAAGTGGGGGGGAGGGGGGTGCAGCCGCTCTCTGTCTCCCATGTCTTGGTCCGCCCCCCTGCTTGGAGCGTTCCCCCTCTTCCAACCTACCCGCTGCCACCACCACCCTCCCTCCCTCCCTCCTCTCCCCCTACCCTCTCCAGGTTCGCATGACTGTCCTCAACGGCAGCCGACTCGCCATGGGCCTGCAACCCAGCATGGTGTTCAACCCCGCATGGCACTGGGGGCCCGAGCGGGGCGGATCGCTGCTGGAGGTGAGAGCGGGGCGGGGCGGGGCGGCTGGGGGGGGGGTTGGGTGGTGGGTGGTGGGTGTTGTGTGGCGACTGGGGAAGACAGGCGAGCAGGGAGAGGAGCTCTTGGGGGCTTGGAACACCCCACCCCACCCGCATCGCCACTCCCTCCTCTCTTATTCCTTCATCCCTCCTCCTGTTCTTTTATCCATCCTCCTTACTCCTTTATCCATCCATCGCTCACTTCCTTCCCTTCCTTATCACCCGCAGGTGGTGCGGGTGGAGGGCAGCCGACTGCACCTGCGCGACCCGCACCCCGGCCCCTCGCCGCCCATGTCCTGCACCACCTGCTGGCTGGCCGCCAGCTGGCCGCTGCTGCCGCTGCCCGCGCTGCCGCCCGGGTTCTGCATCCGCATCCGCACGCTGCGACTGGAGGGCTGGCTGGATGTGAGCAGCGGGGAGGTGGATTTCGTGTTCGTGTCGAGCTTTGAGAGCGCCGTGGCGGGCGGGTTGTGGGCCACACAGCCCCTGCAGGTGCGTGAATGAGCGAACGAGTAATGAGTGACTGATGGCGCTACGGGAGTTACCCAGAAGAGACCCCGGGTGGAGGGCTTCGGAGTGTACGGACGACATTTTTCGGTGTAACCACTGAGGAGCCGTACTGCTGTACTGCCGTATTGCGGGGTTGCTACTGTTACTGCCGTACATTGTGCTGCTGCCGTACCGCGGCAGGTGGTGGCTCGCATGGCTACGGGGGAGCAGGAGGGGACCGTGTTTCACGCAGTGGGGGAGCGGCTGCGAGGCGCACACGCCACGTGAGTGTTGTGTGTGTGTCGTGCACACGTCCGTAGGCAGCTGGGCACTGAGGACGTCCTTTGCTGGGAGGGACGACCCATGGGTCGTCCATCCTCCCTCCGCTTTTGTTAGTCAATGTGAGGCTTGGGGAAATGCCAGTTTCACACTGCTGCTCCAGCCTATCCTACTTCCCTCCTTCCGCCGCCCGGCCCCCGCCCCCGTCCCCTGAGGCTCGCATCACTGGTCGTATCCTTTCCTTTCCCGCCGGTCCGCCCCCGCAGCTTGGTAGCTCTGTCGCAGGTTCCGCGCACCTCCGACCCCCTGCAGAACTGCATGCTGCAGCTGCCCACGGATGCGCTGTCGCAGCTGCGGGTGCGGTTGGAGTTCCTGCCGCGGGAATGAATGAAGAGGGACCGGGGGCGGCGGGTGGGAGAGGAACCAAAGTACCAAACTGAATGATGCGGATGCTGCATGTCGGGGGTTGCACTGGCTGGCTGGGGGGCTGCTGGCTGGGGTAATGAGAGGGAAGGTACCCCTAAGTCCTAACTAGCTGTGTGACAAGGCTCCACCATGGTGGGATTCACGCAGGTTGCCTTGCGACCGGTATTTGTGCAGGGGGGGCTGAGGCCTCAGTCTGAATGTGAAGTGGACCCGTTGGGTGGTTTGTGGGTTCATTCATGGCAGCTGTCGTTGAGGAAAGCGGCTAGGGTTTCGTTTACTGACCAGGAGCGCAGCGTTTCCCTGCGATCACTGTCTAGACTTGGTAACCCTCTCACATGTGCCCATGTACATGTGCTGGTAGGTTCAGGTCCGTGCCTTTAACAGCTGTGTGCTGCTAATCTGGAGGCCTCCCCAATTCGTGCATGCCGCTGCGACATAGTCCACACGCCCTCCTGACTTGTTATTGGGATTGGGCTGAAGTATGAAGGCAACAAGTACGATTACAGAGCAACTGAAACCTCCTCCAGGTTCGCATCCAAACAACGGGACACAAGCTTCCCGTATGATGTCCAGCCCAAACAACAGCGCCGAGCTAAGTTACGGCTTAAACGCACGAACAGGCGTGGACGCTTCAGCGCACGCCGTACAGTCAAATTGTACAAATTACTACAAAACAGTGAGCTTACGAGCGGCAAGTTGTAAGCTATACCTCATTACCTTCGGATTAGAGTCGGGAGCTCCCGAACCGCTAAGACGGCATTGCCTGAGTCTTCCGTTCACACCCATGTTGTTTCGGGACTGCGACAAACAGCCAACTACAAACAACAGCAACCGCCAACCTTAACCCTTGCATTGCGACCGCCTAAGAAAGATTAGCTACCACGGCAACCCAGCGGGCAACATACCAGGTTCTCTTCATCAGGGCTGCTTCAGCCCCTCCACCATTTAATCATGCTACACCATGCTATACCATTAAGTTGAAGGAATCCTTCTGTGGCGGGTCTACAGGTTCCCCCGTGCGTACACCGCGGTCACCATCCTAGGCTATACAATCCTCGTTCACAGCTAGGAAGCACAATAAGTAAACTAGCGAAATCCGCAGTCACATTTGGGCATGGCACTACAGCGCTCAGGCTTCTTCAACTGCACGCAGCATAGGGTGCCATACATGTACGGGGTCCATGCGGACCTCCTGTGCCTCTCCATGTGCTTCCCAAGCCCCCTCCGAAATAAGACTGAGGGTCACGCAGGTAGCTAGGAAGCACCTAACATGTCGTCTAGCGGGGCTCTACCCGGTCTTCTTCTTGGGTGGAGGGGGCGCCAGGTCCTCGGGAGGAGGGAAGTAGTAGTCGGCCGGCGGAGGAGCATCAACAGGAGGGGAGGCATCGGGAGGCGGAGGCCTCTTCTTGCCAGCCGGCGGCGGCGGCGACACCTTCACTGGCGGCGGCGGCGACTGAACGGGGGGCGGCGGCGACACCTTTACAGGCGGCGGCGGCGACTGAACGGGAGGCGGCGGCGACTGAACGGGAGGCGGCGGCGACTGAACGGGCGGTGGCGGCGACTGAACGGGCGGTGGCGGCGACTGAACGGGCGGTGGCGGCGAGCGGACCGGCGGCGGCGGTGACTGCACAGGCGGCGGCGGTGACTGCACAGGCGGAGGCGGCGAGCGAACGGGCGGCGGAGGCGAAGGCAAGGTTGGGGGCGGTGGCAAAGGTACTGACGGATGCGGAGGAGGCGGAGGCGACTGAACTGGCACCTGCGGCGGAGGCTGCGTCGGCGGGGGAGGAGGCAGCTGGGTGGCAATCTTGGGTGGCGGCGATGAGAGCTTCACAGGTGGCGGCGGGGATTGCTTGGTAGGAGGAGGAGGCTTCTTAACTGGGGGAGGCGGCGACTTCTTAACCGGCGGAGGCGGCGACAACTTCTTAATTGGGGGAGGCGGCGACTTCTTGACTAGCGGCGGCGGCTTCGGGGCATCCTTGATGATAATAACGGGTGATGGCTTCAGGGGCGGCGGAGGGGGTGGTGACGAGGGCGGAGGCGGACGAGGAAGTGACGGAGGCGGCGGGGGAGACGGAGGAGACGGGGGAGACGGAGGTGAAGGGGGAAGCGGCGCCAGCGCAGCAATGACTGAAGCCTGCGACAGAGATGGAAAATTGCAATGAAGTTAGGTAAGATAGCCGTCACTTCAAGCGAAGAGGCTTGCTGCGAGGCCAGCACTGTAAGCACTGCGATCCAGGGCTCATGCATGCAAAATACAGCCATGAAAACTATCGACAGCAGACAAGCCGAGACCAGCAAATGCAGCAACACCGGTAGCATATTGGTTCTTCGGCCCCAATCTGTACGACTCACCGCAATCCCGCTCAGCGTGTTGGTGGGAACGGTGAAATCAGCACCGACCCAAGTCATGGCGCCAGCGCCCACGCTCCAGAGCTGGGCAGCGGAAATGCTGGGCCGAGTCCTCTGTGAGTTGGTGGAATAGATGGCGGAGCCAGAGATGCAGACCAAGCCGCTGAAGCCGCCGGAAGCAGTGATTTTGACGCTCTGCAAATTCATGAGCGCAAGGGTGGTGAGGCAGGAGGACATAAGGAGATGGGCAAAAGGGACAACGAGATGGGACGAATAACGTTCGGGGGAAAGAGGTGAAGGTCTGTGGACATGTGAAATGACAGGCGGATAGTGCTGCCTTAGAAATATATCCCAAGACATCTCCATCCTTACCGCGGCCAAGCTGCCGAATGGGCTGGGTGGGCTCAAGCGACGGAAGAGGCCGTCGCCCGCTAGCAATGCAGCTGGTTGGCAAGGCGTGCTTGACTCGAGGACAGAGCTGATCAGGGGAAGGAAGGTGTTGTAGAGGTTGGAGGCATTGTTGCTGGCGCCGTTGACGAGCACCAGGGAGCCGCCGGCGCGAACCCAGCTTGTAAGGTTTGCAAGCTTCGAAGTATTGTTGAGCAACTCTTGTTCGTAGTAAGATGCCGCGTCCGTGGCATAGATGACGAACGCATTGGCTACCCGCAACTGTTCAGCAGTCGGCTGCTCGGCAATTGCGATTATGCTGCTGGCTTTGCCAGTCAGATACTTGGTGATGGCCTTCAATGTTACAGGAGAAACGATAGATGGCTTGCTGTACAGGAGGACGCGAGCTGCAAGCATTTGGGTCAAATGGGTTTGGCCTGTACTTAGTTTTGTATGCAAGGGTATAGCCAGAAGATAAGTAGCTCCCATTAGACAGACGATTGTTTCGGGAGTGCGCAGGCATCTGACGCCAGGCGCTTTCCGGTGTCGACATACAATTATCGACATTCATAAAGCACCCAGCACACCAGTGTGCTTGTTGCCGGATCCGACCCAGTTAGATAATCTTAGCAGTATACTAATTCACTTACGCAAAGCAGCGGATGCGTGTACCGCGAGTAGAAGTGCAGTGGCGATCACAAGCCCGCACAAGCTTGGGGGACTAATGCGCCGTAACCCCATTTTTAAAGCTTTCCTACACCAGCGCTGATTGCTATGAAGGACCCTCGGAGTTATAGGTCAGGCAGCCATCGGCTGTCGCAGCCGGTGTGTCACACTCACGCTAACAACTGTCAGTCGTAGTCTGTAACAATATGACTACCTGTACCAATTAATTTAATTTCAGAAAAAATGCGCCTTCTATGTAGGTGCAATTTCCGCCCGCCTTTCGTCGTACGAGTTCGCAAATCGGCCGCCTGTAGCCTGACAGCCTCACAGTTGCTACAGAAGTGGATAGCAAAGTAACAATTACCTCCTTGTTGTGCGAAGGTACCGGATTAGCATTGCTTAAGGAATTAGGTAAAGCTCGTAATGGTGCGACTCCTGGTCGTAACCGATGGAAGACATGCAGCACGTCACGCACTTCGTGTTTCTTTCTTGTAGATAATTAGTGAGAAGTTTCATACGTTTTTCTTTTGCTTGCGCCCACGCATGTATTGGGCGCAATCCCTACAAGTAACGACCGATTATCCGCGAAGTAGATGTATGAGGCAGACTTCTTCGCGAGGTAGATGGGGCGAATCTATTCAGTCTGAATACATTCAGGCCGCCCCTTTTGCTTAGCAGGCATTACTGAGCGCTCGTAGCTTGCTAGCTCCTTAAAAGGCGACTAGCGACATTACCGCTGCCGTGCATGTCCATTTTTACGGAAGACGCGAAGACCAGGCGACAGCAGGACACATTCACCCGAAGCAACAGCCAGCTCTTACGCCTATTTAATTGCACACGCGCTGTCAGTGTTACAGAAGGCATACTTGTACATGTGCTCCGCTGCCGTTGCCACACGCAGGAAAGTACACACGTCTTTACTATGGCAAGGACGCAAAAGCCACGTAAAGGGACGCATAGATTCTTCTTGTACTTGTGCGTTCCGTAACAAGGCTAGCGCACTTATCTAAATACACAAACCGGAGCGACAAGACAACAACCACAAACCATCCACTGCTCCGTCAACTCCTCTCCGCTCCTGCTCGCCACTGTAAGGCCCATTACTCCAGGTGCCGTAGTATTGTGCCACGCGGATACAGTACGCGTCAGGCTTCCACCTCACAACGTCATAAGCGGCTGTTGCCCCCATGCGCTGGATGGACGCGCATGCCGCATCTATCACGCCAACTGGCAACCCTTCAGCACCGGCTGCAACAAAACAGCAGCCTAAAGCCCCCATACAACAACCTGGGCTCCTGGAGCCGGGCTCATTCCCATTAGCACACGGGGCATGCGCAACCGCCCGCAATCAGCACAAAGTGCCGTACCAAGCCCGTAGCGATTTCGCTCCTGCTCCTGCATTATGCACTTGCCATAAGCATTGCGTTGCACTTAAAGGCCCACAAGAGCTTCTCTTGGTCTATAAGGAAGTCCTGGACACAACTTAATTTTAGTTCTTCGCAAATAATATCACCGGACACCTCGATATGCACATCCAATTCCGCACTCACGGTTCTGATAGAGAAAGAATAGCCACCAGCCATTAATGCACACCAGTTACTTGCACGCATAATTGCACAACACGCACGCACCACTTGGCACATGCTTGTAAACTGTAACCAACCTCACTTTCACTCGTCATCCCTCTTCAGCCGCACCTGTTCATCCTGCTAGTTGCATAGAGCTCCTAGGATTTAGCAGCAGGAGAAAACATGCGACTTGCGACGTGCAACCCAACCCTTAACATCATTCCAATCACAAACAACAATGGCAACAGAAAGCAACAGAAAGCAGTGGGAATGCGCAAACATCACGACCCATGGGTCACCATAACAACTATAACAAGTAGTGCATGGACGCGTGTCGTATAGACAGCTATGTAAACAAGTAGGAATATTCTTCACACGATACTTCTAGGACGCGCTATGGTTCAATAGACGGCGGGATATCAAAGGGCTTCATTTCATGCTGGCGAGTTACCGCATGCCATACACACATGCGCCTAATTATCTTGGTATAAGCAGCTGTAGTTGAAATCAGCATAAATGCTACTGCTTGCCGCACTGACCGCATTTGGCCTCGACGAGATGCGGAGGAGAAACGCAACGGCTGCCAGCAGCCACATGGAACGCTTAACCACAATTAATTGCCTGCAGCAGGAGCAGCAGCGACCCTCGTACAAGCACCATAACGCACTGCAGCACTAGCAAGGCAGGAAATGCCGCACCTTGGCAGCAGCAGCAGCAGCTGAGCCGCAAACAGCCAGGCTTCAACATGCGAGAAAGGTACGGGGTGGTTGGCCCCTAGCATAGCATGCAGAGCAGGAAACCTGGTAGTGAACTAGCATACATGCAATGCTTCACTTCGGACGTGTTTCTGGAAGACGGGGGGCACTGGTGAAAATGCCAACCTCGGAATCCTCGCTCCCGTGCAGCAGTCGTCCCATGCGCGCGCTTGACCCATGGGTCTAACCGACGCAAGGCCTCAAAAGCGCATGTGCTTCCCGGCCGTGACGCTTCCTACGATGCGGCAATGGCGCATATCCAGCAGCTCCCCAAACGATTCCTCGCGACACTGCCTCCTTGCCTGCGACCCTGCTGCATGTTGTACGGCCTACGGCCGATGACGGGCTAGATCCAAGAGACGGGGAACGCCTGCTGCGTATCTGCACGTTGTAAATGGATAGATAGGGACAAGCGCCGGGATTCTAGGAATCGGTGCTGGAGACAGACCTGCTCAGGACAGTTCAATGCATGTTAGCATGCATGTACGAGGAACACGACATGTGGTACATACGTACTTACATGCCGGCCCATGCAGTTATTATCAGGTTGACATACCACAGGAGCATGCCAGCCGCTTCAGCCTACGGACCTCCCTGTGCTTTGTAGCTAACAGCCGCACACCCGCCAGCCTCCACACACGACTAGATCAAACTGAAAGCGAGGTAGACCCCATGTACGCTGCCGTGCCATGCATCACCACCCTACCTGCCGCGTTGGAAGCGGCGCCACCCGCCGCCACGTCCCCTGCACGCCGCCCTGCAACCGCCACCACTGGCGACGACCCCTTCGCCCTCCTCGTCACCTCCACCGTCGCATGCATGTTCCCAAACATCCAGGCGTGCCTGCTGAGCTGCAGCGAGGTAGCCCGGTCCTCGGGCGCCTCCTCCAGCGCCCAGGCCACGAAGCCGCGAGCCTCAGCCGACAACCCCGCTGGGAAAACCAGGCCGGGGCCGGCCGCCGCTGCCGCCGCAGCGGCGGCTGCAACTGCGGCAGCCAGGTCATCTTCATCGCCTCCATCTGCTGCTGCTGCTTTACCGTCATTCCCACTAGCCTTGGCGGCGCCGGAGAGGGCCGGCCGCGGCGCCGGCTGCGGCTGCAGCGGCTGATGCCGAAGTGACATCATTGACGGCGTGAAGCCCACCAGCAGCTCGTAGGTTAGGGCGCCCAGGCCCCACACGTCGCAAGCGGTGCCGTAGGAAAGGGAGAGGTCGTGCTTGTTGTCTTGCGGCCGGAACTTGAGGGGGCAGCGGCAGACCTCGGGAGCCTGGGGGCGCGATCAGCACCGATGCGGCGAAGCGGGGTTGTGTGAGCTGTGAGGTGGACCCAGTGGTGATGACGTGAGGCGCGTTGGATTTGGAAGCTGCCGGGAAGCTGCTGGTGGTGGGTTGGCGGTACAAATGTGCACTCAAGCTTGGCTTGCTGATTGCGATACCGTTGGGGTTCATATTACTGCTGCTGAAGCGGCGGCACGAGGGAGGTGGCGACCAAGTGTATACAGGAATGAGGCTCAAGGAGTTCAACCCCTACCAGCCGTAGTTTCATCCAAGGACCTACCATGTAGTGCTCTACGCGGACCGAACGGAGCCGGGAAGAACAGTCCCCGAAGCAGCCGCAGCAGCCAGCAGCAGGTGCGCCAGGTACGGGGACGACGTGTGGGGGGGGGGCAGGGTTCGGTGGGCGGGTGGGCAGCAGCAGTAAGAGATGTGAGTGTTGAGAGCTGGCGACATGCACCTGCTGCTACCGGTAACCAGCAATACAAGCACAGCAACCGGCCACCTGCCGGCACCGCTTCGGCACTGCTCCCCCACCGTCCCTCGCTCCCTCCAACCCCAGGCGCATCCGAATGGAGGAAAGAGGTAAGGCGCACCTGTGCCGGCCCGCGTGACGGCTCGCTCCTTGGCCAGGTCGATTGCCACTCCGAAGTCGGCCAATTTGAGCTGCCAGTCGGCCGTGAACAGCACGTTCTCGGGCTGCAGGCGGGCAGGCGGGGTGGGCAGGCGGGGCGGGCAGGCGGGGTGGGCAGGCGGGGCGGGCAGGCGGGGTGGGCAGGCGGGGTGGGCAGGCGGGGTGGGCAGGCGGGGTGGGCAGGCGGGGTGGGCAGGCGGGGCGGGCAGGCGGGGCGGGCAGGCGGGGTGGGCAAGCGGGCAGCAGGCCACACGAGGGGTGTGGTACGGGCAGTTGGGGGAATAGGCACGACTGGGCTTTACAGCAAGGAAGGGAGGGTCTATCGCAGCCCTTATTGCAGCTAATGCATGCGGGCGGCCCTGTTGTCCGTACATACATACCGGTATAAGTCCACTGTTCACAGGCAATCATTCAGTCACCGGGTCTTTTTTGCAACCCACGTACCGCCATCCCAGCTATAGCAGCCCCGCCCGCCCGCCCCCACCAAACCTTAATGTCTCGGTGGCACACGCCCCGGCTGTGCAGGTAGACCAGAGCATCCAGCAGCGGAGCCAGCACCACCTCTGCGGCGCGGGCGGTTGGGTTGCGGTTGCGCTTTCAGTTGCAATGACGGGTGCATGGGAGGTAGTGGTTGGTTAGAAAGGATGGGCAGACCGGGCCAACAGCCGCCTCGGTGTGGAACGGAAGGAAAGGAGGAAGGGTTGCGTAGGTAGGTTGGTTGGTTTACAGCTCTTACAGCAGTAAGTAAGAAGAGTACTAAGATCCCAGAGTGCAGCAACATGCAACACAACCGCTGGCCCCATCCAACCAACCAACTGCCAACTGCCAACTGCCAACTGCCACTCACCGGTTACAAAGTGCTCATCCATGCGGCGGCTGCCCCGGCTCCGGTGGATGCCGTACAGATCCCCTCGCTCCGCATACTCCAACACCATCACAAGGTGTCGTTCCGTCTGTAAGGTGGGGTGTATGTGGGGAGGAGCAGCAGCAGTAGCAGTAGAAGCAGGAGGGAACGAAGGTTATAGAGTGTCGTTGTGGTGCCGCACGGAGCCGATGTGGCAGCAGTAGCAACAGCAGCGCGATGGCCAGGAAGTTTAGGGGTACCAAGTGGAGCGGAGCGGAACGAACTAGGAGGGTAAGAAGTGCGGGGTGCGACTCTTATCTATCCATACATTCTTCGCCCCCGCGGAACCCTACCAGGAAGGCTCCGTACAGGGCAAGGATGTTGGGATGTACGACAGCGGATTGGATCTCGATCTCCCGCTCGATCATGTGCAGTACGGCATTCGGCACGCGGCTGAGGAAGTAGACCTTGAGGGCGACTGGCACGCCGCTGCGCAGGCAGGTGGCCTGCGGGAGGAAGGGAGCAAGGGAGAGAGGGAGCAGGATGGGAGGGAAGACTGAGGAGGTGTGCCGCCGGCACTGTGTCCTGCTTTTGAGCAGGGACCGCCGTCAACGGAAGGAGCCTTTACGTCAATGCAGGCAGCAGTGCCAAGCATACGTATGCAGCGGCATTTCGTTTTCCCAAGGTATGTGTCGTCCGGCAGATCACTGGTCCTACAAGTTACAAGAGTGGTAAGAGAGACGAAAGCGGAACAACAGAAACGACGCACCTTGTAGACCGCTGATGTGCTGCCCTTGTAGAGTCGCCTGGGGAGAAGGACACGAAGAGTAAGCAGGACATGAAGTCATGGAGGTAGAGGACGCAGTCGAAAATGCCGGAAAGCGTGTCGAGAATGCCGGAAAGCGTGCTGTGTAACGAGTCTTTTCTTAGCTGCCCTGCAGCGCATAACGTTTGATTGAGCCTCTGCATGACGCTAAAGGTAGCATGAAGCGACAACTACTACCATATCACACCCCACAGCCCAACCACCGCCCTGATGACCCATGGTTCATAAGGGGATGCAGTTGCATGGGCCGTTGCAGGCCCACGCAGCTGTATCAGCGGTACCTCCGCCCCAGAACAAATCAAGATCCTGATACTCCGTTCTGCGCAGTACTTACTTCACAACTGCGTAGTCCTCGAGCTTCCAAATGGGCCGCCTCATCGCGGGAGGCAGCCGTGGGTTAACAGTGAGCATTCGGCTGGACGGGGGCTTGGCAGCGGCAGCGGCAGCGGCGGCGGCAGCGGCAGCCGCTGCATCCTCAGCAGCGGCAGTGGAGAAGGGCGAGGCTGCACTGTACGGCGGCAACAGTGGCGACGGCGGCGGAGGGACCAGCGGTGACATGGGACGACTACTGCTGGAAACGGCGACGTCGTCACTTGTACGGCTTCCTTTTGCGACCACTCCGGAGGTCTTGCGTGTGTCGGAAGGAGCCTTGGTGTCGCCTGGTGCTGGGGCGGCGGCGAGGGAGTGGTTGACGACGGGCTGAAAAAAAAGGACCTGCCTACCTGCAGCAGGCTGCTTATTAACGTACGCCGGCGCCGCCGGTCGTACCTCCACCCTTGCCGCCGGCGGGGGCGGCGGTGACTCCTGCTCCGACTGGGCCACAAAGGTAACGTCCCTTGGACTCGGCGGGTAGCTGGCCCCGGCGCCCTCATGCAGATGTTGGTGGCGTTGAGTCTGCCGGCGATAGTGATGATGTTGACGATGTTGTTGATGATGATGTCGCTGCTGGTTGTCAGGCTGGTGCAGGTGCAGACCCAGGTGAAGCACGGCAGAGAAGATGCGCTGTACGGGTGCGGCCGCCGCAGTCAGCAAACCGCTGCCGTACCGGTTGCGATGAACTTGGTGGTGTTGGTGGTGGTGGTTGTGGTGATTGCCGCCGCCACCGCCACCGCCGCCGCCGCTGTCACGGCGAGCTGCTGCTGATGCCGATAACTCCGACGCTGTAGATTTAACGACCGTAGCGCTGCCCTTGTGCGCGCTGTGGCTGGCGGGGTTGTGGCTGCGCGCCAGCCACCAGAGGCGGCGAGGAGCTTCTGGCGAGGAGGCGCCGTCGCTACTGCTACGGGTTCCGGCTGACCCTAAAGCAGGAACATCCTTGGTGCAGGGCCTGCAGAAGGGGTGGTCCTCCTCAATCTGCGCAATGCAGAAGTGCTGCGAGGCGGTCGTGTAAACGTCGCCCAGCCCCGATTCTTGTTGTTGTAGCGTTTTGCTTGAAGCGGAGGATAGCCCGGTGGTCGCCGGTTGGTAAGAACTCAGCAACAGCCGCGAGTTGCTATCGCGAGGGCGTGGGCTTTCGCCTGCGGCAGAGGCGCCGGAGCTCGAAATGCGAAGCATGGCGGGCAGCACGCTGTCTGAGGCGCCTCGGATTCTGCCCGTGGAATCTTGACTTGTAGTTCTGGAGGTATAAGTTCGCGGGCCAACTGCTACTGTGTTAAAGTCCTGGAGGCTGACGCTTGCTGGAAACCGTTTTGAGCGGCTGCCGTGCTCCTGGCCTCGGCCGTGGCGCTTTTTGAAGGTTGAAAGGAAGGTTCCGAGCTTATGGGCCATGAAGGGGCCAAGCTTGAACGCGGGAGGCTCGTGCGCGGCGGCCTGGCTGCTGCTGCCGGTGGCAGTAGAGCCAGCGGACGAGTCGTCGCGCCGATGAAGGTCCTTTGACATAGTGCCTGTCGTTGCAAAAATTTTGTTATTTTAGGAGTTTGAAGGCTTGAGCACGTTTGAGCCCTTGAATGGAACGGCAGGTGGCCTGGCGGTTGAAACAGCAGGCCCAGAGGCCCGGCGCTGGTTTCTCAAGGGCCTGTAAGGGGTTAAGCTAGCAAAGCTACTTATTTATGCTAGTACGAAAGACGAGTCCGCATGCATTCTGATGTTATGCCGACCTATCGTTCTTCACGCTCGCGACGTTGACAGTTACTTGCTGTGTAGCGCAGGTAGATCAGCTATGGCGAAGGTTAAAGCTTTTCGTAAATTGCTTGAATAAGGTATCGTCCGCTGCACAGGACCTTCCAGGGAATCTTTCGTATCTGGCGAGCCGAATTGCTCGCTGCCGGGAATGAAGTCGCGGAGCCAGGAATGAGGGCTGAGTACTATCCTGCGTTCTGAATACACGTTCAAAAGTGTATGTCGGTGTTTCCAAGTAAGTCTGTCCTCACGTCCTGGGAAGCCACGTGAGTTATGAAAGTTTCTTCAGCACGCACGTGGGTCCGTTAGGCAGACGGTCACCGACGAGGGCGCAACTGCGCGAAGATATACGAAGACAACGCTAACAAGCGACATACAATTACATAAGTTACTTATATAGTACATGCTATAGCACCGCCCTGCCGCATCGGCTGGATGGCGTCGCGACGGACGACGACAAGGCGATAATTACCTAAACCAGCAATAGCAGAAGACTTTATTACAATGCTTTTTTGTTTTTATCTTTCCAAGTTTAGTAAGGCATGGCTTGGAAAAGGTAATGCGTCGCATGGCGCATGACATGTATGGCGCCCGCTAGCTCATGCACGCGTGTAAGGCGTTGCCTTTTAGTGCGCAGATATATACTTGCAGTACGGGACACACGCACAGAACCGACCAGAGCGTCCAGTAGCGGACTGTACGCCATGAACAATTTCCAGCGGGGTAGTCTTTCGCCCTAGCTGATAACATAAAGTAGCGGGAAAGCGTCACGTTACATCAGGCATTTAGCCTATCAGTACTGTGCACGCTATATCGGTGAACGGGAAAGGGACGCCCGAGCTGGGATCAAGAGGGATGGCCCCTGGACTCGGAGGTCGCGAGCGTCACGTTACGCCAAGCAGTGAAGTACCTAGGTCTGCAAGCTAACACTGGGGGCCCTTGGAAAACTTGAGGCGCCGAAAACTTAAGGCGGAGGCGGCTCAAAGGAGCACTCCTTCCATACAGAGGGGGAGCCCATTAATATGTATCCTACGCGAAGGGGGGCAACCGCCTGTTCCTGAGACCTACATAAGCCCAACATAAGCTGTATCGGCGTCTGCCGCGTCGCAATGCACGTGAGGCCCGTCTACCCAGGGCTCTGAAGTTTTGTTACACGGCCCCAATCACACCCGCGGATCGCTAACGCACTGTCGTCGTCCCTTTGTACATACCCGCTTCCTAACTAATTACAGGCTTAGGCGCGTTCCGAGACACCTTCAAACAGGCAAAAGTAACGTCATTGGCTTTGTCCCAAAGAGCCCAAAAGCACCGTACATTTCTTTCGACCTTCCCAACAAGAGACACCGCGACTAAGCGCCCCAATCCCACGGAACTGCGCTAACCTGCGCTAACTAACGCTACATCACATACAGGGTCGCAAAAAGGTAGAAACAAAACAGGAAAGTATCCTGAAGTATAGGAAAAGAAGGGGGAGGAGGCTACCGAAGTGCATCACTTAACGGATTTGACACACCGTGAGAGGCTTCAGCTACGACACGTGCCGTACTACAAACTGCCGCTAGCCAAACTGCCCACTGCCCGCAGCCGCTAGCCTAGTGCCCAGCCTGCTGCATACTGCCTAAGCCACACGCCTCAGCGCCTCACCTAGCATGCAACTGCAACTGCACACACGTACGCATGCAAAATACGAACGTTTAAAAACGTCACAGTCTGCCGGACACACTCTTTTTGCCTTATCGTTGCTTACCGTTACTCAACTTCCATTCGCGTTCGTCCTCGAAACACTGTGTTTCCCAGGCAACCGCAGCGGCCCCTCTAGAAAGCGAAAGAGCTGCTAGGCATATCTCCCCAAACAGCGCACCCCCGCGCGTGCTGCTCACCGCACGTGCTTCGTTCTGCATGCTATTGGCTACGTACCGTTACGCAACCGGAGTCGCTGCTGAAAGGTTCCTCCAGGACACTGAAGAGGCATCTTTCCTTAACGCCTTAAACGCCCTACACCGCAACATTCCTACACCACATTACTACGTTACGAAGTACACCGCAAGACGACGTTACTGAGTACACCGCAAGACTACCGGTACGTTATGTTACTGAGGGAGTTTAAGATATAAGAGCGATACGACCACTACCATAGCCTGCTCCTGCTTCTCTGCCTCCGCCCATACAGATATCACCTCTCGCCAAAGCTCGTCATGGCCTTTGCTGCAGGCCCTTCCAAACAGCACGCCTAACCGTGCACGCACAAGTGCAAGGTCACACGCCCCTCATGCACACACACTCTACGTCCCTCACACAGCGCTACCAGCGACTTCCCTCCTGACACCGCCACCGCCGCCGCTGCTACGCCCGCCCGCGCCCCCGTTTGACCCCTCCGGCGCCACCGACAATCCCTTAGCCAGCTGCCTCAGCCGCTGGAAATACGCATCCGGCAAGTGGTCGGTGACACACGAGGGAATAAGCACCAACCGCTCAAATACCTCCCGATCAGCCTCCACAAGGTACAGCCACTGACCCTGACATGACTCCCCACCGCCGCCGCCGCCGCCGCTCTCACACCGCTCCGCCGCGTCTCCGCCGCTGCTGCTGCATCCCCCGCCGCCAGCTGAGCCGCCCGACGATACGTCTTCCGCCGTCGCCGCGGCGCCAGCTGCCGCTGCAGCAGCGGCGGCCGCCATGCCAGGTAGGAAGGGCACCGAAGGCACTGACGGCAGCGGCGCCTGACGCAACATGGTCTCCACACCCGACTTGAACCGCTTCAGCCCTTCACGCACTCGCACGGAGAAGGGCGTTGCGCCAGGCGCCGCGGCGGCGGTGACGGAGGCGGCGGCCATGCATGCGTCCAAGGCATCTGTCGCCATCGGTAAGCCTCCGCCTCCGCTGCTGCTGCTGTCTATGGTCTTCCCGGCACTGCCGCCGCCGGCGCCGCCGCCGCTGCTGTTGCCGCCGATGTCCCAGTTATGTACCAGGAAAGGCGAAATACCGGAAGCGGCACGGGGGGCCGGAATCGCCTCCGCCCGCCCGTGCTGCCCAACCTCCTGGCCAGCCCAGCTGACACGCTGCCGCTTCCCAGCAGATCCCCCTCCGCACCCGCCGGGTGAGGAATTGACCTCGGTACGGCACGGGGAGCTCTCTGTTGCTGTGGCTGCAGCCGCTGCTGCAGCCCCGGCGCTGTTACCCGCCATTCGTATCTGCGCCTCCGCATCCCCCGCAGCGCCCTCCGCTGCGCCGTCCCCTGCGCCCTCGTCGGAGGCTCGAGAGGCTTGCAGCGGTGTGGGAGCCTCAACAACACCGCGGTGTGTCCGGAGCGGAGCAGTGGATGGGGCAGGAGAAGAGATGCAGCCGCAGTCGTTGTTGCCGTCAGCACTCCTCTGGCAGCTGGTCTGTGCTTGGGTAGCGGCGGCAGCGGCACCAGCGGTGGTGGCTGCGGTGGTGATGGGTTTGTTGGGTGTGGAGGAGTTCCCTCCGTCCTGCAGGACCAGACCCTTCACTAGGTCCGTTACAAGGGACGGGTTCAGCAGCCCATACGTCTCCTCGGCTCCTGATGATGATGATGATGGTGCAGGGGATGCCCAGCAATCTGCCTGCTGCTGCTCCTGCTCGGAGCTATCCTCCCGCTCCAGGCTCTCCGTCCCAGTTTGAGAGTCCACGAGCCCAGAAGGCTGCCGCCGCCGCTGCCCCCTAGCACCCCCACTACCTGCATCACCCTCAGCACCCGCCTTCCCGGCGTCATCACCTCCCACACCGTCTATCACCTGCACAGCAGCGCTGCCGGCACTGCCTCCACAGTCACCGCCGGCTGCTGCTGCCGCCTCATCCCGGCCGCATGTGTAGTACCCCGCAGCCAGCGCCGTACGACGACAGCGCGACGGCAGCGCATCCGCCTCCTCCGCAACAATCCACAGCAGCCGCCCCGGCGGGTAGAGCTCCTTGTGAACGGAGTGGAGGTAGTGCGGTTCGGCACCGCTGGCGCTGCCGCCTACTGCCGTACCGCCGCCGCCGCCGCAGCTAATGTTGTTGGCACCTTCCCCAACACCGCTGTCGCCTGCCGCTGCTCCGATTGCCGGTACCTCTTCCGATACATCCGGAATGTCCTGCGCGGGCGCGCTGCGACTGGGTCGGTGTCGCAGCCTCGGACCCCCCGCCCCAGCTCCTCCGAGCGTAGCAGCAACCGCCGCCGCCGCCGCGGGTTCAGTTGCATGGTGGCTTGCAGGGTGTCGTACCGACGCCGCCTCCGCTTCCGCCGACCCGCGGGTCTGCGCGGTGCCATCCCGGGGGGTGCTCGAGGACGTAGCCGCCGGCCTGGGGTGCGGCCATGGGGGCTGCTGGGCCTCCAGGGGGGTCGCGCCGTACTTACCGCGGAGGGCTGCACCAGCCGCATGCGGCCCGGGGGGCGCCTGAGGAGGAGCGGGCGGCGTGGGAGGGCGGAGCGGTGTTGGGAGGTGTTTGGGCGGCAGTGTGCGAGGTAGGGACATGTTGCGATGGGCCTGGTACTGCGGATTGGGGCTTGCAGGGGTGCTCATGAGGCGTCGGAAGTGAACGCCCTAAGCTGTGCTGTAATCATGATTGCTGCCGTCAACCACGCTCGAAAAGGCGGCATACCACGAACCATATACCCATTAGCGCCAGCAGCCCAAGAAAGAAGCTGGGTCCTTACCTCCAGTCCGGGCCAGCAAGACGTCATGCCGCTGGCACCGCCGTCGTTACCGCCGCCGTCCTCTCGCATCCGTGTTGACGTCGCCGCAGCCGTCGTCGTCGTCGTCGTCGCCGTCCCACCGCCACCCGTCATAGCCGACAACCAAGCTCCAAAACCACCACCACCGCCGCCACCGCTGCCTCCTTCATCCTCTGCCGCCTCCGTCGCCTCCGCCTCCGCATCTCCCTCCTCGTCTTCATCCTCAAAGAACCCCTGTCCGAACCAAGAAGTCATCAGCTTCTGACTCAGAGCCTCCCAGCTAAGCAGCCCATCCCCGCCGTCAGCGGGCCCCCGCCCGCCCGCGGAACGCCCCCGCGACCGGGACCGAGCCCTCCGCTGCACCGCCGGTCCTGACCCCCCGCCGGCGGCGGCTGCGACTCGCCCTGCCATGCGTGTTAGTTCCTCCGCCGCCTCGACTTCTCGGTACAAGGGTCCGCGGCCTGATAGGGGATCGCTGCTGCGCCGTACCTCTAGCGGCGGCGCCGACGGCGGTGCCGCCACGGATCCCGCCGGGGGTGTGCCGCCGCCGGTCAAGAAGCTCAGTCCCCAGCCTTGCAGCGCGGATGCCGCTGCGAGCAGACCGCCGTCGCCGTCGCCAGCGGGTGACGTCAGCGGCGGCGTCATCGCGGCGTAGCGACTGTCAGCGGCGGCGGCAGCGGCGCCGTCAGCAGCGGCGGCGCCGCTAGAGCGGCCGCGGACCGGCTGGGGAATGGCCCTGGCGGAGGAAAGCGTACGATGGTTCTCACCCGACCCCGATTCCGAAACCTGACCATTGGAATGCTGCTGCTGTTGCTGCTGTTGCTGTTGCTGCTGCGGGGCGTACGGCAAACCGCCGGCGGCGGCAGCTGCCGCCACCGCCATGCCGGCGGCGACACTTTGGTATCGCCCCTCTCCGCTCCCTTGTAACCCTGCATGGTTGGCGCCCTCCAGCGGATGCCGTACGGCACCCGACGGCGCCGCCGCCGTCAGACCCTGCCGTCGCTGCCCTGAACCTTCGTCGTCCGCCTCCGCCTCGGAGTAAGACACTGACGGCAGCCGCCGCCCATGTGGCCCCGGTGACGGCGCCGCCGCCACCGTTGCATGCTCCGACGGCGGGTGTACTGCACGGTAAAGGAAGGCCGCCTCCGCCAGCGCGTCGTCAAACGCGGTGGCGGCGGCGCCGGCGCGGCTGTGGGGGCTGCTGGCGGCGCTCAGGTACGACTCCGTCGCGGAATAGTACGACACGGAATGGTACGACAGCGATTCCTCCTCCGTCAGGCTACTGCTCCGGGCGCTGACGATACTGTAATTGTCGTCATCACCTGCTCCCCCGTCGGCGCCGCCGACGGCGGAGGCTGACGGCAACCGCGGTAGGAAACCCGGATCCGGAACCAAACCGCCGCCACCTCCTCCAGGGTTATCCAGCACAATGCAGCCGCTCGGTCTCCGTCTGCCTGCTGCTGCTGCCGCATCGTAGCTTGCGACACACCGCTGCTGCTGCTGCCCAAAGTGGTATGTGTGCGAATGCGGGATGTGCTGGTGATGATGGCTGTTGTGGTGGAGGTGGCTGCGACCCGCGTGAAGCGGATGGTGGTAGCTGTGTCGCTGATGGAGCGAATGGTGCCCCAGGGGCCGGTGCGCCGCCGCCGCCGCTGCCGCCGTTGTCGCCGCCGTCGCGGCGTCTCCTGCCACCGCCGCCACCGCCGCCGCTGCAGCATTAGCGGCAGCTGCAGCCGCATCAGACAGCGGCTGTCCTAGCCGGGAGGCAACCTGCCCCGCTCGTTGATGCTGCTGGTGATGCGAATGCGTGTGGTGGTGGTGCTGGTGGTGCTCGCCGCCGTCCGGTCTGTGTAGGCTGTAGGCTGCATGCGGGTGCGGGTGGGGGTGGCGGAAGCGGGGACTAGCTGCTGCTGTGGGTGCGGGTGCAGCAGGTGCTGTCGTTGCCACGCATGGGGGCGCGGTGAGGAGGGGTATGTCCTTGAGACCGGCGCATGGGGGCCCGCTGGCCGCGTGAGCCAGCTGCTGCGGGTGGTGGTGGTGCGGGTGGGGGTGGTGCGCTGCCGCCCGGCTGCCGCTGCCACCGTTGATAGCCGCCACCATCTCCACCTCCAGGCCGCGAAGGTTCTGAGAAGGGGGGGCGTAACGAGAGTGATTAGGGTGGTGGTGAGTGGTGAGGGGGTTGGGGAGTGGGGTTCGCAGGTTTGTTTGTCCGGGGCAAGCTGACATCGCACCCCCTGACCCCCATTCCTCCTTCCTGCTTTCACACTCCGCTCATGTACCCCTACTAGCACCCCCACCTGCCCTCTCCTCCTTCGAGAAGCTTCACAGAGTCCCGACAACTACACCCATGCACCCCAGCCCCCGCTTCATGCGCTCACTGCATGAGTCGGGATTTGGGATTGGCACTTATCGTCTATTTTTTTCCCTTCCCCTTCCCTCACCCCACACCCGCACCCACCGGCGCCGACCGCTCGCCCTCCGCCGCCCCTCCTCCCCCTCCCGCTCGCCCCAGCAACCCCGCCGCAGCTCCACCAAACCCCCCAATGCCGCCGATCCCCACTCCCAGCCCTCCCAACCCCCCCAGCCCTCCCAACCCCCCAATGCCCCCCAGCCCCGCCCCAATGCCCCCGATGCTGCCCCCCAGCCCGCTGCCCGCTGCCGCCGCCGCCCCCCCCAGTGCCGCCAGCCGCTGCTGTATGGCGGCCCAGGTGGCCCCGGTGGACTGCAGCAGCGTGTCAGCCATCTGGGCGGCGGGGCTGGCCTGGGGAGGGGGGGGGCATACCAGAACCACAGGTTAAGACTTGTTTGGGATATGGGATGGGTACAGCTGGATGCTGGAGGGGCTGCGGCAGGGCGACACGAGGACATGAAGCACCTAGCGGCCCGCACGCACAAACCCTACGCATGCCGTATCACATTACCCCTCGCCCTCCCCCCCCCGCCCCCCCCACCTGCACCAGCTCCAGCAGCGCCCGGTCCACCGAGTAGCAGCTCAGCCGCGCCACGAAGTCGCCCGCGTTCACCACACTCACGCAGTAGCCCCGCGCCGCCTCCGCCAGCCGCGCACTGAGCACCGCGGGAGGCGCGATGGCCAGGCAGTGCACCACCGGGATGGCGGGCGGCGCGGACATGGGTCGGCCTGGCTGGCGGAGCAGCAGCGTGAGCAGCGCCGCCACACCCGCGCCCAGGGAGTGGCCTGCGGGCGGAGGGGTGTGCGGAGGGGGAGGGGTGCGAGGGTTTGGGAAGGATGGTTTGCATTTGCGGTTTGCAGGCGGACAGCCCTCCTTCCCACCTCACACATCGCCACACGAGCACCTAGGCTTATGCCAATAACTCCACAGCCCAAAAACTCCCCAATCCCAAATTTTCTCTGCCCACCCCCCTCCCTCACCCGTCACCAGCAGCGGCCAGCCCGGGAAGCGCTCCGCCGCCGCCCGCAGCGCCGCCGCCGTGTTGAGTTGCACGTAGGAGGCGGCGGACATGAGCCCCTGGTGCACCCACCCCGTCAGCCCGCAACCAAAATCAAACTCCACAGGCCTGGTGGGGCGGAGGGGGTGAGGGTGGGGAGGAGAGGGTGGGGCGGAGGGGGTGGGGAGGTGGCGGCAGGGTATTGAATTCCGTTCACGGAGCCGTAACTTACCAAACTCCTGAACATCAAACTCCCGACCACTGCCGTTGTCCTCATTGCCCGCATTGCGGGTTTCCCAGGGTCTACCTTCCACGCCCCCCCCCGCCCCCTCCCCCCCACCTCGCCGTCAGGTCTGTTGCAATGTCCGCCAGCTCCAGGCTGCCCCGCACCGCCAGCACCAGCCGCCTCCTCCTCCGGTCCACCGCCAGGTAGTGGCAGGGGCGGAACACGGAGGAGCGCCACTCGGCCATCACAACGTCCTCAACGGGGATGCCTGGGTGGGGGGGAGGGGGAGGAGCGGGGTGAGGTGGGGGGAGGGAGGAGAAGGTGGGGTGCGGATCTGACAAAGGAAAACCGATGTGGGACCTGACGTGGTGGGCGGCGCTGGAAGAGTGACGTGGCGGCCCCTGCTCCGCCCCCCCCCACCCGCTGCCACTCCACTTCGCCACCCGCCACACCCTCCGCCCTCCCTCCCTCCCTCTCACCCGTGAACAGGTGTATGGCCTCCAGGTTGGCCTCCGCGGAGGCTCCCGTGATGGGGTTGAAGTGCGCCGAGGAGCCGAACATCGTGAGCAACTTGGTCAGGGAGGTAAGGTGGCCTGGGGGGGGGAAGAAGCGGTGGAGAGGGACAGCAGGAGAGGGATGGGTGCGCAGATGGATGCACGGGGGAAGCACATGCTGTACTGCTGTACTGCTGTTGCAGGGCAGGGCAGGTCACGCAGGGCTCAGCCGTTTGCAGCCCTCCCCACCGCTCCCCTACCTGCCGCCATGGCATATCCGTACGCCGCCCGCGCGTAGTTGGTGGCGGTCAACAGCTCCCCCAGCAGCGTGGCGGGGTCCGACAGGTCGGGCAGAAGACCCTGGTCCGCAGACAACTCCACATCGCCACTGCCGCAGCTGCTCACGCGACCGCCAGCCGTGGCACCACCGCCGCCGCCGGTGATAATGGTGGCGGCGCCGCTGGCTCCATGATGGTGTATGGTCGCCGGTTGCGGCGCCGCCGGCTGAGTGATCGCCGCTCCAGTCGGCGTCTCGCCGACCGTTGGCGAGCGGTGTTGCGCCGCCTGCGCCGCCGCCGTGGCGGCGGCAGCCGCCATTGCCGCCTGCGCCGCTTGCTGCGACCCCGCCGCCGCTCCCGTCGCCCCTGTCGCCGCCGCCGCCGCTTCCTGCTGCTGTTGCGCGTCTTGCTGTCCGTCAAGGATATCCGGCTCCACCTCCGTCGCCAGCGGCACCGCCGCCACCAGCCGCCGCACAGCCAACTGCTCCCGCCGCAGCCGCGTCAGCAGCTCCCAGTGACGTCGCGCCGCGACGTACAGCCCCAAGGGGTCCAGCGGAACCAACCGCCGCATGCCGTGACGCGCGCATGCGTCATTCCAGAGCTCCATGAAGATCTGCCAGAGCTTGAACAGGCTGGGCTTGGGCAGCGCGCCGCCTCCGCCGGTCCCGCCGCCGCCGCCGCGGCCTCCGCCACCGCCGCTACGCGCGGCGCTGATGCCGGCGGCGGCGACAGCACTCATGAGGATCCGCTCCGCCTCGGGCTGCAAACGAGCCCGGGGGCGGGTTCCAGATCCCCTGGCGGAGGCGGAGGCTGCCGCCGCTGCCACCGCGGCGGAGGCGCCTGCGGCGCCCCCTGTTGCCACCGCCGGCAGGTCCCCCGCCCCGGGGGGGTCCTTGTTGCTGCCGCCGGGTGCTGCAGAGCCGCCTGACAGGGTGGCGGACAGCCCGCCGGCATCTAGCCCACCCGCTGCTGCTGCTCTGGTGGTGGTGGTGGTGGCTGACTGCTCCGAGGGGTGGAAGAGCGCCTGCAGCTCCAGATCTGACTCCTGTACAACAAACAGGGTCACATGCAACATGGGGCAACAGTATGGATTGGGAGGGTCCCGAGAAACACATGTAAGATAACATCATTCTGACATTGAGGAAGCGGGGAAGTGGGCAGCAGCACCGGTACCTAGAGCTGCTGGCCTGCATTTCCCCGTGCCCACCCCTCCCGGCTCCCTCAAGGCCCAGGCCTTACCTCCACCACCGCGGGTTCCGCCGCTAACTTCCTCCACACCCGGCTGCGCACATAGTCGGAGGAGCGCTTGGAGGAGCGGCCGCCCGGGCGCGGAGTGGTGAGCTTGGAGAACACCGTGCTGTAGCGCCAGCCCTCCTCGTCGGTTCCCAGCGTGCGCACGATGAACCAGCCGCGCTCGCCCTCGCGCTCGGGAGGCCGCGTGAGCTGTACGGCGTTGCCCTGGGCATCGCTGAAGGCAGGCCAGTCGAATGGCAGCAGCGGCACGCCCCTGGTATGGAATACGCGCGTGGTTTGGGAAAGTAAGGAAAAGAGATGGGCGAGGATTGCAGAATGGCACTTGAGGAGGCACGGAAATGGCACCGCTCAGCCCAACATGAAGGTGTGAGATGACAACGGACATGCCTAAGAAACGAAAGTAAGGGGCGCTCCAAGGCTGAGATCTAGGCAAGTAGCCCTCGCTGTTATAGTTGCATGGTTGCGATGCAGCCGGAAGTGCGATTTCCGATCGTTCTAGACACAACACTATACAGCCGCCGAAGGTTGCGTTTTATCGAGTTCCCCAGGGCTTTGGGCCCTGCTCTTGCATAGTACTGAACGAACGCATTTGACTTACCAGGTCAAGCCCCAGTAGCGCTGGTTCTCCCAAAACTCCACAATTCCATCGTCACAATACATCTTCGCGGTCTGCGACCCTAGTCCTGCCTGCCCGTCATGAGTAAACCAGCTTCCCGCGCCACGACGGACTACCACGAACGAGGTCTTGACATAAAGCCGCTAGTAGCAAAAAGAGGTTGTAATGAAGCTCATTGGTGCAAGCCTTCCTAGCGCATTCCAAAGCTGCTCCAAGCGTCGCGAAGTTGCTGTGAGGCTGTTACGTTTAGCAAGTTAGCCTAGATTCCTTTGGTGTCAGCTTCAAAACCGACAAAGGACAGCCATTACATGTCTCCTTGGATTGCCAAAGTTGCCAGGTCACCTCGCCTGCGCGAGCCATGCATGTACGAGCAGGGCTTCGTTCTTACCTTGTATCTTGTATCTCAGGGATCGACAGGTAACGACAGCGCTATGCCAGTAACGGCAGTAAGCTATTTATACGAACTATGACATGTCCTATGACCCAGCGTTAAAAGTTATGTGTTAAAGCTGTTGAGGAACAAGCGCGATGCAAGTCACTTGACAACTGCTGCACAACAAGCTCCGGTGGTCAGCGAAGCCCTGACTCGGATACCCTAAACACCAGTTAACGTAATCCTAGGGCCAGGACGCCTTCTCAATGTCCATCTATCACCTTTCACGCCAACTTCGCAGGGCTTCGTCCCTTGGGTCAACTGCAGACAGCCGGTGATTGCTCTCACAGTCTCGCCGAACTCCCGTGTCCTACATGACGATACAAAAGAACCGCGGATTAGCCAGTTCCCGGTGCCGAGGAGGTTGGGTCCACCCCAAGCGTCACCCATGTGGCAGATGCCACATGGGACACTTCCGTCACCGAGTCTATCCATAGAGTCATGCAGCTGCTAATGTGCCAGCATCTAATGGATGCACACATGCATTGACGCAACGTACTGGTCCTGCCAGTACCGACGCCAGTATGACCTCGGCTTTAGGCCCATGGAGATGTGTATGTAATCGGATCGGGGGCTCTTCTCCAGCAGCCCCTTGTTAATCCCCATGCGACAGAAAAAATGTGTGGGCTAGACCGTGCTGAAGCTCCTTTGCTTGTACGCTCTCGGCATCCAGCAGGGTACGGCTGGAGTTGCCATGGGCCAGGTTCAGACGGCATGTTGAAGTCTCGGCAGATCGTAAAGTCATACGCTTAATGTAGTGCGTGAAACAGAGGTCTGCTCTTCGCGTGTAGAACTCACTAACTGACACAGGAATTGCTTGTCTACAGTGGAGACAGGAAACAGCGACTTGTCATATACATGCTAATTGGAGGTATAGAATTTGGAAGATAATAACTTTTTTAATTCCTACTGTCTGCTGATCGCGGCCTTCGATCGCCAGCGTCCAGTAGATCTCTGCGAAGCACCGACGAGCACACCGTTCTACGTCGAAATGGATTATTCGGGAGGCCTTGAACTTGTGCCCCAAGCAGCGTTGCAGCTGGCGCCGCAGGTAAAAGTGCAAGCCGTTTAGCATGCGCCCCCTTGCTAACTTGGTCTGCACTACCAAGAAATGCAATGGCGTCAATCTCATGCCTTGCCCCTACCACGGGTTCTGTAGGTGGTTATTGGGGGCGTGGACGTTGCTGCCGTCGGGTAAGCACCAAAAGGCTCTGCAACATCTCGCAATCCCCACCTTGCCTGTGGACCCCACGTTGTACATGGCTCCCGACCTACTCTTTCCTGCCTTACCTCCATCGGGCACTCAGACCTCCTCCCTGTGTATTCAGGGCCCGAGCGCTGCTGTCCTTGCAGCCTCCTGAGGGATGGACCGTGCGAGATGTTGCCGTTGACATCCGCGGCCTGCAGCTCCCGCAGCAGCCACAACAGCAGCCGCAAGCCGAAAGCAGTTCAGACCAGCAACAGCAACAAGGACATGCTGCTGCTGCTGCTGCTGCCGGTACAAACAGCGGCCTGAGGCCAGTGCTGCAAGCGGAGGCTGCTGCGGAGGGCGGGGCAGGGTCGTCAGGGTCGCAGCTGCCGGCGCTGTTCGTACGGAACATGTACGGCCCCGGGACGGAGGGAGCTGCAGCGGCTACTCCGCAGGTGGGGAGCTGCTGCTGCTGCTGCTACTGCTGCTGCTGCTGCTGTTTCCGTTTACTTTCGCGGGGTCATAACTCGGGCTTCAGGGGTGCGGTTGGACACCAGAAACTCCCCGCACGCTACCTGCCGCGTTGGCACTGCAACACCCACAACACCGCCACCAACACCCTCTACCCTCCACATCCTCTCCCCCTCTTGTTCCCTCTCCCCTCCTCCTCCCCCCCAGCTCTCCCTGCTGGTCCTCAACGCGGCGCTGCCCGAGGCCGACCAGGGGCCGGTGGCGGCGGCGCTGATGCAGCTGGCGGGAGCAGTAGGGGGGGCAGCAGGGGGGCCACCGGTGATGCTGGTTGCTGGTCTGCTGCTGCAGCACCTGAGCAAGCCGGCGGGTGGGTCGGCGAGGGTGGCGGGTGGCAGGAGGGCTGACGAGGTGGCTTAGCGCCCTTTGCGGCCTTACCCACCACTGCTGCCAGTGCTGCCCTGCCCCTACCAGGAACACCTCCCTCACTACAACCCATCACCCTGCATCCCTGTCCCCATGGGCTGAGGATCCCAGTGCCCCAATGCTTCGCTTTTGCTTTTCACCCCTCTCCACTTCCCTCCCTCCCTCCCTCCCTCCCTCCCTCCCCGCCCCCCCCCCCCCGCAGCCCTCTACCACCATCTGCTCAACGGCGCCTCCCTGCCGCCGCCCCTCGCCTCCATCCCGCCGCTCTCCGCACCCCCCTCCTCCGCCGCCTCCCCCGCCTCCTCCCGTGTGGTGCTCCGCGACGGTCAGCTGGCGGCGCTGCTGCACGTGGCGGCGGTGGCTGGCGGCGCAGTGACCTGCCTGCTAGCGCCAGGTGGGCGGGGCGGGGCGGGGAGAGGGGGAAAGAAGGATTCCCAATGCGGTGATTAGGAGAGGAAGGAGACAGGGGGAAGGGGGCAGCTTGGGGTTGGGGTTACGGGGGTGAGGGGTACTGCCCGCCTGGAGGGGTGCTGCAACGCGGCGGCCCTATAGCCTCCGCACACGGGGCTGGCTAGGGTGTGTCACTGTTACACTGTTACACTGCTGACGTCCTGAGCTGTGCCTGCCTCACCCTTTTTTCCCCATCTCCTCCTCCCCTCCTCCCCTCCCTGCACAGCCCACAAGCCGCCCGCCGCCACCCCACTCGACCTGCCCGACTCGGCAGCTGCTTGCGACGCACTGGGGTCGGCGCTGGCGGCGACGCTGGGGTTGCAGTACGACAGCGGCAAGTGCCGTACACTGCGTGCGTCGTACAAGTGGTTCGTGCCTGAGAAGGCTGCGGGCAGTGATGTCATGTACCTGTGATGCGGTGTGCATATTCGTGTATGGAGGAGGGGAGGATTGAGGCGGAGCGGAGGGGAGGAGCGGGCGCAACCCGCTGTGGAAGCGGGCAGTGATGAGTCTCTCGGGCAAGTGCAGGATTTGCGTTTTGGTGATGGGCAGCATGCGTGGTCGGGTGCGCATGGCATGTCGCCATTCAGGAACAAGCTGCTACTCATTTCTCTCGGGTTGTACTCTTCTCGGAGTGTTTAACTTACTCGGATGCTTTCTATATCACTATTATTACTGTAAAGGGCTTGCGCTTTGAATTCGGCAAATCGGCAGAACATAGCCTCGTCAGCAACTCCCAACGGAATGGCTGCAGGATCAAACATCGGCTCATTTGAGTCGCAGATAGCTTGTGGAAACACGACAACACCTACGCTTTCTATTCAGTGAAGTCAAGCTGCATAGGCTTTTACAATTTGTTCACCTTCACTCTGTAATAGCCGAGCCCCGTCTTTCCTACGAAGCAGCAGCTCCAACCCTTCCCTTCGAAGACCGAACAAATTTGCTACAATGGCGAAGCCAGACGCTGAGACGCCGCTCCTTCGGAACCAACTGCCGGGATATACCTCCATTGTGGCAGGACATCTTGCCAAAGCACCTGGAGTAGCGTACTTGGAGCTGGCGCGACCGCATCGCCATAACAGCTTTCACCAGGAGCTCTGGGAGGAATTCCCAAGGGTGGGGCTCGGGGCTGGCCATTGACCTTACAGCATGGGCTCGCTCCCTTGCTGCCGCATGGAATACAGCTTTTTAGTTCTACTGGTCTAGCATGGAGGCGTTGATAGCCTTACACAAATGTTGCTTGCGCCCCGTATTTCTGTCAGTCTCTGTGCCTGGGGTGTTGCGCGAACCATGTTAATGAGCTCGCCGCACCCTGGCTAATGTCCCCCACTAAGCTACATCCACCCAATCGCAGGCGCTTCGAGAGCTAGATGCGGACGAGTCCACCCGTGTGGTACGTTGCTGGGGCCCAACAGCAGACAACGGGCAGATGGCCTACCTTACTCGCACACCTCATCACATCTCTCGGCCCCCGTTAACCGAGGCAATCGCATGCTGCTCCTCACGTCGCCTCTCTCTCACGTCGCCTCTCCTCACGTGCAACATGCTCCCTCCCTCCCTTCCTCCCTCCCTCCCTCCTTCTCCTTCCTTAAAAAAGATCGTGCTGGCGGCCCAGGGCAAGAACTTCTGCGCCGGCATCGATGTGGCCTACCTGCAACGCAACTTCCTGACCCTCCTCACACCACCACCGCCACCCGCAGCAGCAGCAGGAGGGGGCAGTACGGCAGCAGCCCCCGGCCCCGCCCCCGCCCCCGCCTGCCCCGGCTCCCAGCGCGCCGCCATGCGCCGGGGCATCCTGGCGCTGCAGGCCGCCTACTCGCAGCTGGAGGGGTGCCGGGTGCCGGTGCTGGCGGCGGTGCAGGGTGAGGGGGGGATGGGGGGGAGATGGAGGGGGGGAAGGTAACAGTGGTGGGTAAAGAGGAAACAACTAACTGACCGTGTGATAAGGCATCCTCACACGGGGTAATAGTTAGGGGGTTAGCCCGTTTGGGGTGAATGTACAAGCTCTATAGCTCCCGGCTGCCCGCCTGCGCTGCCTGCCTACCGGTATGCTGGCTGCCTGCCTGGCCCCCCCTGCCCCCCCCAAGGTCGCTGCATCGGCGGCGGGGTGGACCTCATCACCGCGTGCGACTTGCGGCTGTGCAGCTCGGGGGCGAGCTTCTGTGTCAAGGTAGGGGGGGAGGGGGAGGGGGGGGAGGGGAGGGGGGAAGTAAATGATGAGTGCAGCAAGGTAGGGGGGGAGGGGGTAGAGGGGGCAGGGTAAGGGTACGAGTAGGGTGGAGGGTGGTTTCGCGGCATGGCATGGTTTCCCCCATCCTCTTCCCCCCTAGTCAATAAACACAGTGGGTATTCTTCCGATCTCCCCCTCCCACCCTCCAGGAGGTGGACCTAGCCATCACGGCGGACCTGGGCACCCTGCAGCGCCTGCCGCACCTCGTGGGGCATGGTGGGGGGGGGAGGGTGCATGGTGGGGGTGTGTGGTGGGGGTATCGCCTGTCCTCCTCCAAAGATCACCCCCCCTGCCCCTCCCTGCCCCCATGACCCCCCCCCCCCCTCCCCCCGCCGCCCAGGTGTTGCCATGGACCTGGCCCTCACCGCCCGCACGGTGGGAGCGGAGGAGGCGCGCAGGATAGGACTGGTCAGCACGGTCGTGCCGGACAACAACAACGGTGGCAGCGGGGGCGGTGGTGGTAGCGGCAGCAGCAGCAGTAATGGTCGCGGGGCGGTGGTGGCCGCGGCGGTGGCGCTGGCCGCGTCCATCGCCGCCAAGCCAGCGCTGGCGGTGCAGGGGACCAAGCGGGTGCTGCTGCACAGCCGGTGAGGGGGGCGGGGGGGCGGGGCGGGTACTACCATTGAGCCGCGCAATGTGGTGAGCATGTGGGGTGGGGGGGGGGGGTAAACAAAGAAATGAGACGTGATGCGCTCGGGGCGGAGTGAGGAGCAAGCTGAGAAGCCCAAGTGACCCACATCGCACCTTCCAATGCTCAGTTCGTTCCCCCCTTCGTTCCCGGCCCCCCTCCCGCACCCGCCCCAGCGACCACCCGCCCGTGTCCGCCGGTCTGGACTACGTGGCTACGTGGAACAGCGGGCAGCTGCTGAGCGCCGACCTGGGGGCGGTGATGGCGGCGGGGGCGGGGGTGCGAGCGCGGCTGTAGAGGAGGGGGCAATTAAGAGTGCGTGAGTGCTGTGGGCACAAACCGTGCATGGGCGTGTGGGCTGTTCAGGCGCATGCGTGGGCGCTTGGGCTGACCCTTGGGTCGCCGTGCAATGCGGTGGCGTGCATGCAAGTGGATCGTGAGGTGGGATGCCGGTGGTCTCGGTGCCTGCTTGGCGGTTGGCGGTTGGCTGCTGCACGGTAGGCAAGAGGCTCATGCAACACCCCCACCACCCAGCCTGTAGCGAGGGTGCTGGGCGGTGGAGGCGGGCTGTCCTCGACTCTGGGGGCTATGGGGTGGCGGCTGCGATGGTGCCCGGCCGGAGCATGTGTCAGCACGTGACATGCGGTTACCGGTATTGCACTGCACACGGCTTCACAGCATTAGATGTGTAGAAGCGATGTTACAAGGTATTAAGCCAGCCCCCCTGGTTAAGCCGTGATTGTACAAAAGACCAGACCCCCCCTACCTACATTGATGGCAGCCAGACACAGCCCTCCTCCCAGCCCTCCGCCCTCCCCCGTTTCGTCTGTGACCCTCCCCCGCTACCCACCCTAACCATACACACGTGAACATGACCCCACCGCGAAGACATTACACACACACCGATACACATGACACGTGTCAGTGTCAGTGGGCCACAGAGTCCGTTCACCAGTTCCCAGCACTGGTGGTGAAAGGGTTCACGTCGTACAGGAACGCATACACGTTTCTCCTCGCGGCATGTACACATAGTACGCTACGCCCCAGCGTACTAAGTCCGCCAGCCGCCCGCACCACGCCTTCCCCCCCAACAGCTCATTCCTCCCCGCCTCAAGGCACACCATGTCACCATCTCCTCCCATTCCTCCACAGCAAGCTCCCCCCCTGGTCTCCTTCTCTCCCCTCACGTTTCCTGCCTTTGTCGCCCCTCCTCCTCCCTCCTCCCCCTCATCCCACTCCCCTCACTCCTCACTTTTCCTCTCCCTCCTCCCCCACCAGCTCCCAGTCCGGCGGCGCCTCCCAGCTCCGCCCCCGCCACGTCAGCCGCCACGCATGCAGCCCGATGGGGTGCTCCAGCCCCGGCAGCCCCTCCACCAGTGACACCAGGGAGGGGTCCGCGAGCACCCCCGACTCCCCCACCAGCACCCCCGACAGGGGTCCGTACATGTAGTCCCCCACCAGCGGACTCCCCACTGCCGACAGTTGGGCTCGGATCTGGTGGGTCCGACCCGTCATGAGCTCGATGGTGCTCTCGAAGAGGGTGGTGGGCGGGGAGGAGGGAGGAGGAGCGGGTGGGGTGGAGGTGGAGGTGGGGGAAGAGGGAGGGAGGGGCGTGCGGGCGGCAGCGGGGGTTGGAGGGGAGGGGAGGGGAGCTGACGGGTGTTGCGGGTGGTGCTGGGGTGTGCTGGAGTGGTGTGGCAGCTGCGGCGGCAGTTCCGGGTGAAGAGGAGGAGGAGGAGGTGATGAGAGTGACAGTGCACGTAGGTGTTGGTGCAGCTGTTGGTGTTGTTGCTGCTGCGCGTCGTCTTGTTGTTGTTGTCCCTGTTGCGGCTCCTGTTGTAGCAGCCCCCGCGCCTGCTGCTCCTGCTCCTGCTGCCCCACCTCCTGCCGCTGCCCTGCTGCCTGCTGCCCCTCCTGCTCCTCGCCCTGCCGCCGCTGCGTGTTGAATGTCCGGTGGTACCAGGACAGGGCTCCCGGGTGCTCCTGAGGCGGGGAGGGAGGGAGGGAGGGAGCGGGAGAGAAGAGGGTGGGGAAGCGCCTCCGTTGCACGGCTTGGTTCCCCTCTGCCACCCCCTTTCCTGCCCACTCCCCTCTTGCAAACCCCCTTTCCTCCCCCCCCCCTTTCCTACCCCCATTGCTTTGCCCTAACTTGTGGTCTCCTATGTGTTATTTTGGACCCCCTCCCGCTTAATGCGGAATTAATGAGGAATCAGCTCACCCGACCCTCCCGCCCCCTCGCCCCCCCCCCTTCCCGCTCCCCTCACCCCCCCTCCGAATGCGCTCACTGCATGAGTCGGGATTCGGAATTGGGATTGTGTTGTTGCACTTATTTATAATTTCCCCCTCCCGCCCCCTCACCCTGCACTCCCGCACCACCAGCCGACACAGCCGCCACCGCTCGTGCGCGCAGGCGCTCAGCAGCCGGGGCCCCCGCGGCGGCAGGTTGCCCCCCGGACCCAGCACGGTTGCCGCCTCGTTGAAGGGGCCGTCGTACATGTGATGCTGCAGGGGGCCGGGCGGGGGGGCGCAATACGACAGGGCCTTGTAGGTCTTGGTGAGGCCGGGTTCGCGGTCCTGCAGGGCGCGCTTGAAGGCGGTGTTGGCGGCCTTGTGGCGCGAGAGGACCACCAGGCCCGTGGTCCACTGGTCCAGGCGGTGGCACACCTGCGGAGGGGGAAGGGAGGGAGGGTGGGTTTAAAGCCCTTCAAGAACAACCCAAGTTAAGGGGGTTGTGAGGAGGAGCTAAGCTCCTGCTCACCGCATCCGTCCCCCTGCTCCCCATTTCCAGCCCCTGCACTCCACCTTCTCCGCCCCCACCCCACCTCCAGCCGCCCATCTTCCAACCCCCCCACCCCCCGCTCCCCCTCCCCCCACCTCCAGCCCCGCCAGCCCCAGCGCCCGCCCCACGCAAGCCGCCAGCTCCTCCGCCGCGTTGCTCTCGTGCCGCATGCAGGGCAGCCCGGCGGGCTTGTTGATAAGCAGGTAGTCCTCGTCGCAGTGGAGCACCCGGGAGGGCCTGGGAGGCAGGAGGGGGAGGGGGGTGCGGGAGGGAAGTGCGGGAGGGAGGGGGCTGAGAGGTTGAGGTAGGGGCGGGTAGGCGAGGCAAGCAGGGATTCCTTCTCATTCCTTCTCAGGATATGGGAGGCATGGAAGCACATGGCCGCACTGCCAAGCCCCTAGCAGGTCCTATAGGAGCCCAGCAGCGGTCCGGCAGCAAGAGGAGTCATCAACAGAATCACCAGCAACAGCAACAGCCGCACGCACCAGTCTTTGCAGTAACAGGCGGGGTAGCGCTTGGGCCGGGGGTGCACCCGCACGTAGTTGCCGACCGGTACGGAAGCCGCGGTCACAGCCACGGGCAGGTCGGTGGACCGCACCCAGTTGATGTGGTCGAGCCCCTTCTGCGGGAACCCCACGTACACGGCGCCGAGCTGGAGGAGCTCCAGAGCGCGAGTTCGGTTCGCGGTTGGGTCATCTTCGGGCTTATCTGCTGTGGTGGATGGATGGACGTACGTTGTAAGGGTTTGGAAGGAACCAGGATGCGAAGTATGTTTCTATGTAGTTTCATGCTAATTGAGAAAAGAGATGTAGTTGCCTGGAGTTAGGGGTGCATAATTGCGCCTTGGAGATGGCGAGCTACAAGGGAGGCATCGCATAAAGCTTACCGCCAGCATTTGACAAGATGTGTTCGACCACAGGCAGTAGCTGGACGTCCTGTAAGACCTTGAACCGAATGCTGTGCTCCTGGAAAGCAAGGATAGAGCAAGTCCGAGTGAGGAAGTCCGAGTTCTAGTGTTCGTAAGGAGTCGTAAATTGACGCCTTACATTGCTCTCTAACGGCTCTAGCTTCATAGCTTGCGTTCGGCGGGAGCGGTTTGCCTGTGAGGCTAGAACAGTGCGCCGCAGCGGCGCGTGGGTGCGAGTGACAGGCTGCCGTTGCAGCCTTCGTAGGTTAACTTGATTCATCTAGACAACGTCGAAAGCGGGAAAGCCAGCAGGCTTGGGGAAATCCGATTGACTTCATAACCTGCATGCGGCCAACGGCTTCGTTGGTTGGTACCGGTAAGCAACTCCCGAACCTTGACGTGCCAGGGCAGCTCTTAAAGGCGAGGGGGGTCAGGCGGTCTGTGGTCAGCACTCCAAGCGATAGCAGCAGTGTACATCCGCGGCCGTAAGGGCCTGCCTTAAGCCACGGACTTGGCGTCATGCCGTGAACATTGCAAGGTGGTAACGCGACGGTACAGTAGACGTACCGGTACAGTACGGTACAGTAGACGTACTGTAGACGTACCGGCAAGACATGCCGGGTACACGCCAGCTGTCGTGCAGGAGGGCTTGGGTTTACATCTTTACAAGCATCAAGCAAGCTACAGCCGCCGTGCAGGGTTCCCTGGCGGATGCTGTGCCTGCAGCGATGTCGAATAAGCCGCAACGCAACAACAACCAGCTACTCAACCTGCAACACCACAACGAGCGCTACCGGTATATCCTAGTAGCATCCTACGCAACTGACCGCTGTCATCCATCCCTAACCCGGCCACCACACCACGCCCTCCACCGCAGTCCACCTCTCAGCCACCCAACGTCAACCCCCAGACACCTCTAGATGGGGCTGCTAATGAAATTAGGCTTTCAGGAAAGGGACAACGGCAGCAGCACCAACACAGGTTCAAGAGACCCAGGCAAGAACTCATACGGCGCCAACTGCCGTACCAACCGCAATGGGGACACACACCCTACCGACACACAAAAAGAAGATCAAAGTCGTCCACGGAGAAATAGGAAGGAAGAAACGTACAACGCTACGACACATTTTGCCCTCATGACGATACCCTGACGCGGCATCACCCAGCTTTCACCCGAAGGAGGCTGACACAACTTCAAAGACAGTGCTGCACCTCGCGTTCTCCACCCAAATCAATAGATATCCCAATGCAGGCAACGTGCTGCGGAAACCTCATTAACCTCATGGTTGAACGAGGGAAGCGGGACAACGCAGGCACAACATAGACAACGTGAATCAAACCATATCCAACGCCCGGGGCAAAAGAGCCGCCCATGCACCGCCCACTCCAACGCAAACCTGTGCGCAAACAACTCGCAGGATCCCAAACTTGTGCGGAGCAACTCCGGATGAAGTACAACGGACCAACAAATAACTGTTGCTTTGAACAACCATACCCTGGGAAGCGAAATGCGTGGTAGGACCTCCGCCGCACGACACATTGAGATGGCCAGGTGGTGACGAAACGGGAAACACCCCCCGTGTGCCAGTCCCGGAATTCCCGGGATGCAACCTTATTTCCTCAACCTCAACCTCAATCGAACAGGGTTCAGCTTAAATCATGTTTCTTCTTTCTTGGCACCTTCTTCACGACAAACACTCCTCGGTAGGTTTCGGAGTGTCTTTAGCAATCCGCATAGCGGGTTCGACCAATGGCTAAAGTACGACGGCGTTCACCTCAACCGTCACTTGTACGACACGTCTCCAGTCTCCACGAAATAATCAACCGGCAGGATTCGTTTTCAAATCAGATGCTACATCAGCCATTGGGCGCGCAACAAGCCTTAAACAAACGACCAGAGAACTGACCCGAATAAAAACGATAGCGGGCCCCCAACCTCTCCATCCTTTATTTCTCCTTTCATAGGCATTTGATGAAAGGATACGGACAGTCCAGGATACAATGATACCATCTGGACGCTTTTCGTGCATTGTACCCATCTTGGCATGCATCTCTGCAAGAATGCGCATGAAGCACGCGTGTGCGCATACTACTACTGCTGCCTGACCTGACTTGTCCTGCACTACCTGCACTGTGTTGAAAACCTGCGTCGCACGTTCTTAGATACAAGCACCAACGTTCAGCTACCAGTTACCAAAAAATGTTCGCAACGACTGAAACCAGCAAAATAGGTGAAGCATAACCCTCCGTTCCCTCACGACTTTACCATTGCAACGACATCCTCCCAAGACCTGAGCTGCCTCGCACATCCTGCAGTTTCGGCCAGCGGTCCTACACCAACTGGTCCAACTTCAACCATCCAACCAGGTGTGGGCGTCACTTGAGCAAACATACACCTCACATGCACCGCAAGCCCCTTCCAAGCGCCACATGCACGCAAGCAGCTCGGGAGCAACAGGACGCCCCACTCAACTCGCCCAAAACAGCTTCTCCCTCTCCCTCCTACTTGCCGCTGCTCGTCATCTCGCCACTTCCGTACAAGCAGTTGCCCCCGCCCCCGCTGCCCAGGCTGCAGCCGCATGACTCCTCCGCCAACACCGCTGCCAGCTCGGCCTCCAAAGCAGCACGATCGCACGCCAACATGCCAGCACCGGGACCGCCGCCTCGGGGCGGCTCCTCCGCAAGCCCAGGCACCGGCGCTGCTGCTGCCCTCGCAGGCATTGCGGCCGGCATTGCATGCAATGCTGCTGCTACCCCTGCAGGCACTGCTGCAGCTGCGGCAGGTGCCGTCGCCCATCCGAAGCCCACCAGCACCCTAGCCGCAGCGGCGAGGGGCACCCCCAGGGCCACCGAGGTGGGGAAGAGCTGGCGCGCAAACACAGCGGGTGCCGCCACTGCTGGGGGGGTATTCACGTATGGCGCCATGTCGGACAAATCCGAGTCGTCGTGGGTGATGGTCCCGGCCGCTGTGGTGCAGGTGGTGGTGTCGTCGTCGGCAGCGGATGTGACGTCAGCGCCTTTGGGGCGCGGTTGGAGGCGGGTGCCGCGGCCGGGAGGGGCCGGGAAGGACCCATGGGTCGCCCGGTGCAGCAGCTGACGAACGGGCTGCAAGACATATCGTAAAGGAGTCATCGGGATTCCGTCATAACCCTTGTAAAGAGCACGATCATGATGCAGGGAAGGACCTAAAAAAACAGCGCTATGAAGTACCAGTACGCCCTGCATACCCTTCGGTGGGTCGCCATGCAACGGCAGCGGAAAAAAGGGTAAGCCGTGGCCCATGGAATCACCCCAATGCATCGCCAGCGGAACCCACGTCAATGTGGCATCCGCAGCCAGCGGCCCACCTTGTGGCTGCAGGGTGTGGCCGCGGTGACGGCCAGGCAGTTCTGACGGTCCCGCTGCCGGCGGCGGCGCAGGATGGCCGGGTAGCGCCTCGCATCCACCCACATCAGCTCCCCCGTGGGGGCCCTCAGCGGCATGCGGGGCCGGCCGCCTGCCAGCGGGCAGCAGTTGCCGCAGGCGGCACCAGCAGCTGGCGGCATGCCCGCAGCGCTGCTGGCAACTGGAGAGGCAGCTATGGAGGCAAACACGGGTGCAGGTCCCAGCGCGAGGGAGGATAGCGGGTTGCTTGACGTGGCAGCCAGCGGAGCCGCGGAAGCGACGGGGCTGTGGCCAGTCCCGGCGATACCGCCCGCGGGAACGTCGCTGAGCCTGGAGGCAGGTGCGGTCGGGTCCATACAGGGTACGGGTCGTCGGGTGCCTGCAGCCGCCCCGGCTGAGGCCGCTGCGGTATCGTGTGGGGGTAGCGACATGCCCAAGGAGCCTGCATGCTGCCCAAGAAGGGCCGCATCATGAGGGGAAGGTTGCTGCTTGGCGGCGGCCGGTTTGTCAGCTCCGCAGGCCGCTAGGTGGCGGGGGTCTCGGTGGCCTGTGGGAAGCGGCACTGGAGGGCTGCCCGCATCGCTGGCTGGTCGCATGGCGTCCTGTGCGGCGGTGGGTTCCTGCAAGACGGCGGTGCAGTCGCTGCGTCCGGAGGCTGGTACGGCAGCCGCAGCTGTGGGAGCTGGCGAGACGTCCGCCTTGCGACCCCGGCTGCACGACTGCAGGGAGCTCCTAGAGCTGCTGTCGCCGCGGTAGAAGCGGGCGGATTTGCTGGGCTGCAGCCTTGCGGTGTTTTGGCGGGGTCGTGGGTTGTCCGTGGAGTCGCAGCCCTCACATGGAGGCCATGCGGGGCAAAGGCCGAAGGGATCTGGATACGCTTGGGGGATTAGGCCGCCGGGCATGTGGTGGTAGAGGAAGACGGGAAGCGGGGCCATGTTTGGGAGGAGCGATGGGTAGCCCGTCATGGCGCAGGCGATGCCCGCGGAATGAGCAAACGCCGGTATCATCGCGGGCTGTCCAACTAGCGATGGAAGCCTAGTATTTACGTTTTGGATCTCGGCCATGCGGCGAGCCGAAAATATCGTAGTGTCGCATTGCTTAGCAAGGTTACTAGCTGTGAAGAACGGTGCCGCCATAGAACCTGCCGTGTGAGCGTAAAGTGGTGAATGGGACTACTCGCCTGGCAAAAGCAGTTGAACGAAACTTCTCGCTGCGATGTTCACTATAGCAAGAACGCGCGGGAAGCATTCGACAGCCCAGTTCAGAACTTACCGCATGATGAGTCCACCACTTTCACCTCATGCAGGTTCCACAGGGTAGTGCTCAAGGAAACGCTTCGAAATCTTTCAGCTCTGCGGTTGTTAGTCCTAGGCGGTCACGACGACCCTCGCCGAAATCCTACGATGGAGGATTACCCCACAGCGGCCGGCTGGATACAGCTTTAGCCACTGAAGTATGCTGCCGTCTTTAGAGGTGTTGCGACACAGTTGTTTGCTCCAAGGATACGCTCCTATGTCCCGATCACCAAAGTATACATGAAGTTGGTGTATGTGCCTCCTGAGCAGTCCCATAACGCAGGGCCGTGCTGGGCGAGAGCGCTCAGTCCGTAATCAGAGGATGTACGACAACGCCTTCCTGGAGCGCAACTCTAAAGAAACATTCTCTGGAGAAATGCGAAGGTGCATGCAAAGGAAAGTATCGCAGAGCAACAGAAAGCATAACTAGGTTACTTCGGAATTACCAAACCCCGTTCTCCCTTGCGTCCCTATCACGTATTTCTACCAGCGCACGCCTGGCTATACTTTGTGAGAACGTATAGGTAGTGTACTTGCCCTTTAATTATATGCATCTCCGGCTTTGTCTACCGCTCCTGGCCCCATCCTGCTTTCCTTGCCGGGGTGCCTCTACTGGGCGCCCCGGTAACAGCGTTGCACGACAATGGCTTCCAATGAAAATAGTAGTGTACCTGCCCGCCTAAAGGATCTAAAGGACTCGGTCAAGGAGCGGTTCCTCGGTCTATTGGGCCTTCGCCAGCCGAAAGTTCTACTAGAGGACGAGCAGGAGGTTTACCTCCAAGTGGGCCGCACTGTATGGCACGCTCCAAGGCAGCTGCGAATTGGTGAGCGCGGACTCAGCCTGTTGCGTTGGTTGGCGCGCATGTTCCCTGAGCCACAGTAAATTGCGCTCGTCTTTACATTTCCTTTGTTACCAAAAGTTTGCCGCCTGCTACAACACTGTTACGCAGAGCTCTGGCTTTCGTCGCTTGCACGACGGCACTCCCTCGTCAGCGAGTACCAAACGTACCTCGCACAGGTGAATTTACAGCTTTGCCTTTTACGACAGCCATTCTCGCGGCGTGTTTGCTCTTAGTCATCCGGGTAGCGTGTTTCTGCAGTCTCCAGTGACACTGTGTCGGTCCAGTAATCCTTTCACTTGCTGGCTTGCACGCTGTGTAGGAAATTGCCCGAGAAGCAGCCGTGGATATTGAAAAGGATGTACAACGTACTTTTCCTAACACACGGCGCTTTCACGCGGAGGAGGGTCAGGTGCAGCTGCGCAATGTCCTGCGCGCCTACGCTGCCTACGACCCCGAGGTGGCATACTGCCAGGGGATGAACTTCCTAACAGGTCTTCTACTTATGTACCTGCCCTCGGAAGCCCACGCGTTTGCTGCGCTTGTCGTACTTATGGAGGACCGCAAGCTCCGCAGCTTCTACCACCGCAGCATGTCACTCCTACAGGTGCGGCAAGGTCCGGGTGCGGAAGCTGCCGCGTTGGCTGCACCCACACAGCTTACGGAGGGATGCTACATGATGTAACATGATATTTAAGCACTGGGTGTCGCCCCAGCCCCTGTCCCGCGGGGTTTCACGCTCCCGTAATCACGGCGCATTGCACCTGCGACATCCTTTCTGGCATGCCGGCTTGTGAATCCTTCACACCAGGGCTCAGGGCAACCCTAACGCCCTGCAAGCTTGGTAGCGGCCCTGGTGACCCAATTCACGTCACCGCCCCTCTCAGCCTCGTGCTTCCTCGCGGCTCATTCCACCTGATCCCGATCTCAAGCCTTGACCCTCCCTTCCTGCCCCCTTTGCTCGCTCTCTCTCTGCCCCCGCAGGTCCAGCTGTGGCAGCTGAGCCGGCTGATCAGCCCCTCCCTGAACCAGCACCTGGAGGCGCTGGGGGTGGTGCCCATGCTGTACGGCGCCTCCTGGCTCATGACGGCGTTCTCGGCGGACTTCCCCATTCCCTTCTCAGCGAGGTGGGGGGGGTGCGGCGAGGATGCAGCAAATGCACAGGTTCTTGGGCTGCCTTGGCTGGACGCGCTACGGCCGACGGAGGCTCCCATGGCTTTGCCCTGGTCTGTGTCCGCTGTTGCTTGTTGCGCGTCCTTTCCCCCGGCGCTAGATCCCCTGTGACGCCCCTGCTGCCCTGCTGTGTAGGATCATGGACGTGCTGCTGGCGGACCAGTGCGAGTGCGCGCTGCTCAAGGTGGCGGCCGCCATCATGCGGGCGGTGGAGCACCGGCTGCACGCCATGGTGGACCTGGAGGACGTGCTGGGGTACCTCAAGATAGAGGTGCCGGGTGAGGCGAGAGGAAGGAGGGGGGAGGGGAGGAAGCGGGGGCTGGAGGGTTGGGAAGCGGGGCGGGTGTGGGAGGAGCATGGAGCGGGTGCGGATTGGGTCACTCTAGGCTTGCACGACACTGCGATCCAGGCGTACCTATCTACACTGGGGGAGAAAGTGCAACCAGCATGCAACCCATGACCCGTTGCTCACCGTCATCATGTTTCTTCTCACACGGTTCCCCGCCCCGCAACCCGCCGCCCGCTCCTCACAGCCTGGGAGGAGGACGACCTGTACGACGTGCTCACCGCCGCCTTCACCAAGCCCTGGACGGCGCGGCAGCTGTCCGTCCTGCGCTCTACGGAGGGCGCGGAGACGGTGGCGCAGGCCATGGACCGAGTCATGACAATGAACGAGCAGCAGCTGGGGGGCGGACATGTGGGTTGGAGGGCGGGAGGGGGGAGATGGGTTGGGTGTGGGTGTTACGTGCTGCATGTGGGCATGATGGGTTGTTACGTATGGCATGATGTGATGTTGCATGGTGGGGGCCCATCAGGGCTATCACAGACCATGTATTACGTATCGATTGCGATCTGGGTAACTCATTGCATGATTGCAGTTTACCGCCATTCCCTTCTCTCACCTTCGCGCTGCACACCTGTGTCTCATCACGCACATCTCTTGTCACCCGCATGCAGGCTGCCGACGACGATGACGCGGCGGAGGATGCCGAGGTTGCGGACGCCCGAGTGGCCGTCACCGTCCCCCGCCTGCTGCCCCCGCCGCAGCCCCCCAACAGCTTCGCCGCCAGCCCCGCCTGCGGCACACCTATCAGCGGCGGCAGCGGGCCGCTGCTGGGGTCGCGGACCGGGGAGCCAGCCGTCAGCGGCGGCGGGGCTCTGGCGGTGGGTGGCGCGGGGAGCTCGCCGCCGCCTCATGGTGTGCCTGTGAAGTGCGGCAGCCTGGGGGCTGGTGGCAGCACGGGCGGCGGCATTGGCGTCGCTGGCGGCAGCAGCAGCAGCAGCGGAGGCGCTGCGGGGACGCTGCTGCTGCATGGCACTGGGGCGGCGGCGGGGTCGCCGGCGGTGTGGGGCATTCCCAGCATTCATCCTAATGTGATGGCCAGTCCTGCCATCCAGGCGTTCAGGTAAGAATTCAGGTCTCTTGCAGCTTGGAGGACTGGCGCTACTGTGCCGCTATGCTCGATTGTTTAAGGAGGGGCTTCGCGATCCATTCTGCTGTGCCGCTATAAGCCTCTGGTAACCCGCTCACGTCTGATGAATGCTTCACCGCTCAACCCCACCACCACCCCAGGCGCGCCCACCTGCCGAGCCTCCAGGCGGCCGCTGTCGTGGGCGCCCTCTCCTCCACCCACAGCAACCACAGCAGCCACGGCCCCCAGGCGCGCCTCAGCCGCAGCAGCATGCCGGCGGACCTGGGCTCACACCTGGGGACGCACCTGGAGGAGCCACAGCAGGAGGCAGCCGCCGAGGGAGCCACCGCGGCGGCGGTCACAACACCGGCACCACCACCTGGGGCGGCGGTAGCGACACCCGTGCCAGCCGTCCCGGCGCCGGCAGCGGCTGCAACGGCCACCCCGATGCAGGCGCTGACGCCCCCACCGTTGCAGCTGCCGGAGGGGCCGGAGCTGGGTCCGTGTCCCGAGCAGCAGTCGGGCTTCGAGGGGTGTTCCACGGAGGAGGAGTGGGGGGAGTTCAGCGCTGCGGTGGCTCGACAGCACTGGCGGAGCTTGGCTCGGTCGGGTGCAGGCAGCCTGCCGGGCAGCATGAGGGACCTATCACGCATTGATGTGGGTGCTGCGGTGGGTGGTGAGGGTGAGTCGGGGCAGGAGGCGCTGCTGGCTTCCTATGCGTCTGCGGGCCAGCAGCTGCCGCACCCGCTGCCGCCGCTAGGAGAGGCGCTGATCCAACCGCCTCCAACGCCGCACGAGCCTTGCCGAGGCCTTACTCCCGGTTTCGGTGCAAGCCAGCCCATTCCCGTGCCAGGAATGGGCTCCAGCTCAAACGGCAGCAGGAGCGGAAGCAGCGGCGGCGGTGCCGCCATCAGCGCCTTTGCTGCTGCTGCCTCCGGTTGCGGCCGGCCGCCGCTCCCGCCCCGCTGCTCCTCCCTGGACAAGTCCTGCCAGCAGGTGGGCTCCGGCTCGCGGCTGTCAGTCGTGGCGGAGGACCCCCCCTGTGTGCTCATGGGCCCGGCGGCCCCCGCGCCGTCGCCCCGCGGCTCCATGGACCTTCACATGCTGGGTCGCAGCGGCAGCCACCAACTGCAGCTGCACCTGGACCAGTGCAGCGAGCACTTTGGAAACATGCTGTACGGCAGCGCCTCAGCGGTGCTTGGCAGCGGTGGCGGCGGCGGGGTGAGTGGCGGCGGCGCCGGCAGCGTCGACTGCGCGTCGGGCACGGCGTCAGCGGCCACTGGCGGCGTGTTGTTGTCGCCGTCCGGCGTCAGCGGCGCTGTTTCGCCGCATGTGTTGTCCCCGCGGTTGACGTCGGGCTGGAGCGCCTCCGCCGGCTGCGGCAGCGGTGGCGGCGCCGGCAGCGACACGCCGACCGCTGGCTACACGCCGCTCCTCGGCCTGGGTGTGGGCGCCATGGACCGGGCGACCTCGGGGACCCTCCTGCTGGAGTCCGCACCTGGCCTGCTCGGCACCAGCAACGGCAGCTTCAGTATCGCGGCGGCAGCGCCCCTGGCGATGGCGGCAGCTGCGGCGGCAGCAGCAGCGGCTGATGAACAGCGGCCGCCGCAGCTGCCGCCTCCGCCGCCGCCTGCGCCGCTGCATCTGCCGCCGCTGCAGACGGCGCGGCCCTCCACCGACATGGCGACGGACATTGCAGGGGACATCCTGCGGATGCTGACGGCCGTGGATACGGGTACCGCGCATGCGGCCTACGACACTCGTACGGTGCTGGGTGAGTCAATGTACGCGGACTCGCCCAAGGAGAAGCTGGAGCTTGTGCAGCATGCCTCGGACCCGCTGCGCAACCCGCCCTCGGCGTCAGTGGATCTCCAAGTGGCGCAGGTGGGAGGGCTTGAAGGGCGTTCATGCGGGCGCGAACCGCGAGTAGTAGAGTAACGTACTTGCGTTGCTTGTTGTGGCATTTGGCGATGCTGCCTCTGTTGGTGGCGCATGCTGAGAGGGGCGCGGCGTTATTTGATGTGAAGCCATGCTGAAGCCGAATGGCGGTGATTGACTACATGTTCGTACCGCTTGCAGGACTTGGCGAAGGCGCAGGAGGAGGCGGAACGTCTGCGAATAGAACTGGACGTAAGTGGGGTTGTGTTCAGGCAGAAGGCGCTCACATTCCTACTCCGCATGCCCACCTCCTAACTCGCTGTACGCCATGCACCCGCTCCTAACCCTGTTTGTCCTTCCTACCCCGTTGCAGGCGAAGCTCCATCTCCAACGGATAGCCTCCCAGACCGCCCAGGCAACCGCGGCAACAGGCGCAGCTGCCGCATCCATGGCGGCAGCGGTCGCCGCTGCTGCTGACGCCGCGGCAGCTGCAGCCGTCGCCGTCGCCGGGAGCCTCGCTGCCGAGGTCGCCGCCTCGAGCTTGACGGAGAAGGAGCAGGAGAAGGAGGCCGAGGCGACGCACGTGACGGTGGTTGAGGTAACGGCAACCGCCGCTACGATGGACGTGGCGCCGTTGACGGAGGCGGCGGAGGTGGCGCCGGCGGCCGTGACAACGCCTGAAGACCGACCAGTGCCCCCAACCTCTGCTGCTGCGAGCAGCACCGGGGCGAATACGAGCACTGCTGCTGCTCAGGGTACGGTTCCTGCTGGCGGTCCGACAGCTGCTGCTTCTGCCAGCGGAGGAAGCAGCGAGGAGTTTGTCCTGAAGCGACCCATGCTGTATGTGTAAGTACTGCGTAGGTCGTAGCTTCAGGTCGGGTCTTGGCCCTGGCCGGCGCCTTGTATTGCAACAAGTAGTTACGTGCCTCATGTTTCTACACCTGTCAGTATCGCTGTGAACCCGTGGTGCCGGCTGGTGTTCAGATCTTCACCAACCTCCCATCGGTGCTGCTCCGCTTCCTCCCCCTTCCCGCGCAGCGACGGCATCCCCATGTTCGACCCTAAGAGCCTCATGGCGGATGCGCATGAGGCCCAGGTGAGGACGCTTGCGCTTGCACTTGCTGCTGTCTTTCGCCTGCCATGTGGAATCGCGAGGGATAGACTACCTAGCTGTGCCGACGAGGCTAAGACCTGTCATCGTCGGCTCCAGTTTGCTCCAGTTTGTCTTCCCCGCGATTGAGAGACAAGTGTGCGCCGGAGGGGCTCCCTACCCGACCGCGCGCAGACGATGGATGCTTACAAATGTTACAATGCATCTATGTCTGCCGCTGACTGCCATCTCGCCCCTCTTGCCCTCAGGTGATGTTCACACCCACCGTGTCACCCGGGGCATCGGCCTTTGCGGATTCCCTGCCAACGGTGGCCACCCCCAACAACGAAGCCACTCCCAACAACGAAGCCACTCCAGCCACGGAGCCTGAACCGGCCGTGAACAGCACTCAGAGTGCTGGCGCAACGCTGTCTCCTGCCGGCGGCGATGCCACCGATGCGATGGGGTCGTCCTGCGGAACTGAAGCGACTGCTGAAACGGTGACGTCAGCGGCGCCGCCGCAGCCTTACGAACCCGTCGCGGAAGAAGCAACCATTGAAGCGGAGCCCTCGGCCTCCCAGTTGGTCGCGTCAAGCGCCAACAGCAGTGCCGGCGGCAGCAGCAGCGACGCGGGGGGCGCTGTGCGGCCTGCCCCTCTATTGGTGCATTCGCCTTCGTCATCTGAATGGGTGGACTGGTCTCAGGCGCCGCCCATCCAGACGCCGCAAGCTGTGATGGCTTCAACCACCACCACGACTCCCGACTCGGTTGCTGCGACCGCAGTGGCGGCGGCAGCAGCAACCGCTCTTGGAAGCGCATCAGCCGGGGGGCCTGTAGACGCTGGGCAGCATGCGGAGCTAGCAAGCTCCACAGCTGCTTGCACATCGCCGTCAGATCTCCAGGAGGCGACGGGCGAAGATAGGCTGTCGGGCGAAGCGGCACGTGCGGCTCCCGTCCTGCTCCCAGCAGATGTGAACTTGATCGACATGACCTCGCCCGCTGCGACCGTGCAACGTGGTGGGGCCGCGCAGATGGGTGAGGTGTTTGGCACGTCCGCCGCCATGTCGGGTCAGCCCAACATGCCATCAGGCGCGGACACGGCGTTCGCAACATTGCACCAACAACCACTCGTTCGCGATCAGCGGGTGGTTTCGGTAAGCTCGGTGGAGAGTGTTCACGAGCCCGACGCGAGCGCGATCGGGCAGCAGATGCCGTACGGCCTGCTGCCGGCCGCGAGCATGGCTCTGCCCCCGCAGCAGCCCTCCTCCTCGTGCCTCTCCACCTACAACTCCAACGTTGCCGCCATCGCTGCTGCCCCCGCCAGTGGAGCCTTCCCCAGCTACCTCTTCAGTCAGCTGCGGGGCGAGCCCTCGACCAGTTCCAGCAACGGAGGTGCCGCAGCTGGCGCCAGCGCTGCCCGCAGGGCCACAGACAGCGACGCGGTTCGCTGGGATAGTTCCGGCGGTGCCGCTTGTGACACGGACGGCGAGACCACTCCACGTTGCGGCGGTGCTATGGGGCACCCCTTGCAGTTCCCAGCAGCTGCGCGGCTGTACGGCGCAGCCCGCCGGCAGCCTAGCAAGCTGGGACCGGCTGTGTCGTTGCCCCAGCCGGCGCTTGCGGACACCGCCTCCGAAGCCCTGACGTCGGAGGACTTCACTGAGGGGATCTGTGGCATGGTGGATTGCCGGGAGCCGTCTGTCACTGCGTTGGGCCGTGGGGCTTCCCAGGAGATCGACACAGGAGCTGCTGCTGCGGAGGCAGCGGCAGCGGGGCCCATGCAGGCCGACGGGGGCGGTGTTGCGGTGGTGAGTCAGGTGGATTTGGTGCCTGTGCCGGCGGGCATGACGGTTAGAGTCGAGGCAGTGGCTGCGTTGGGGTCGGAGGGCGGCGTGTCGGCGACGGATGGCACGTCGACGCCGACTGCGCAGCTGGAGCGCCACGAGACGGCGGAGGGCCTGGAGGGCGAGGAGGCTGAGGGCTCACCGTTCCGAGCGGCGCTGAGTCCCTCCCTGGCGCACCACATCATGAACGCCTACCTCCGCAGCGCGCAGCACCAGCAGGAGCAGGAGCAGCGGGAGCTGGAGCAGCGCATGCAGCAGCAACTGCAGCAGCTGCAACAGCAGCAGCAGCAGGTGGAGTTGCATCCCGCCGCCCAATGCGGAATGACGACTGCGGACCCCGTAGTGGTGCTGGCAGAGGCAGCTGCGCCGTCTTCGCTACCTGCGGCAGCGGCAGCAGCAGCCTCAACAGCAGCAGCGCATGCCGTATTGCCGGCTGCTGCGATTTCAACCTGCGCGGCGGCGAGCGGCTCACATGCGGTACCTGCACAGCAGCCCTTCCTGGGTCCTCCGCTGGGGTCGCTGGAGCTGGGTGGTGCTGGCTCGGCCTCCACTAGGCATGGATCTGCGCTGCCCTCCCCGGGGTTGCTGTCCCCCGTGGTCGGGTCCCCGAGCCGAGTGTTGATGGCTCCCGCATCCGCGCTGGGGCTGGCAGCAGGTGCCTCAGGCACACCTGCGGTGGGTGCGGCCGCCTGCCAACACGCAAAGGCAGTGACGCCGTTTGCGGTGTCGCTGGACGATCCAACCACCTGTCGCCTGTCCGTGGAGGTGATGATGGCGCTGCCCACCACGATTCCGCCTCTGGTGCTGTCGCCGGACGCCACCACGTCAGCCATGCTGCTGCACTCCGCAACGGACGGTCGCGCGCCGGCGTCGAACCGGGGATCGCTGCGTTGCACCGGCAGCGGTGAGGGAGAAGGCGAGGCTGCGGTAGCCGCTGGTTGCACGGGTAGCCTGGGTAGTCTGGGTCGGCTTTCGGTGGGCATGCATGGCAGCAGCCTGTGCAGCAGCACTGGGGGCGCAGCACCGCAGCTGACGTCTAGCATGGGCTCCCATGACGTGATGCATGCAGCAGCAGGGCTTGTGGGAAGCGCCGTGCCCGGTGCGCCCCGGACAGCGGCGCTTGGCAGCAGCGGTGGCGCCATTCCGCCGCTGCTGCCGCCGCCGCCGCCACCGCAGCTGCCGCTGTGCCAGACTGCGCGACAGGAGCTGCCAGCTCCCCGCGCACCCTCGGTCGTCCTGCCCTCCACGGCAGCTCCTGTCCTCCCAGCTGCTCCCGTGCTGGGCGCCGGCGCTGCAACACCGGTCCTCAGCGCCCTGAACACTACCTCTGTCGTCGCGCCAACTGCTGCTGCACCGCCGCCGCCAGGGCCACCGCCGCCGGCGACCCCCTCTTGGACCGCCACGTTTGATGGCGTTGATGATGCACCCGTGGCCGTGGCGGCCGTGGCGGGGTCCCCGCAGTCCCCAACGCCTGCAGCGGTGGCTGCGGGAGCTCCAAGGGAGAGTGAGGTTGGTCCGAACTCGCCGGTGTTGGCGCCCAAGGCAACTGCGGAAGCACTGGAGCTGGGCAGGTCGCCTCAATAATGGAACAGGCTGGCAGTAGCAGCGCTGTGGGCTTGTAGGTGTAGGAAAGGGTCAAAGGGTGTCATAGGCTCACAGGCGGGCAGCTCAAGGCAATAATGCTTTCACGGCTTTGAGAGGGTTCGTGAATGACGAAGGTGCGCAGCTGCCAACAGGCGAGGCGGCTCGAGGCGTGCGCTGGCGTGGTGCTCGCTGTGCACCCCGACTTGTGCTTGCGGTGATGGAAGGGGCATTTGGCGTGCTGCGGGCTTGTATCCGGGCTTTTTGTAACTTTTGGATTTGTACATTCACAAGTGTCTTTTGTGCATTCGCATGTGTGGGGGACGTGACGGGAGAAGCGTGATGTATTATCAAGGGAATGAGGCTGAGCGTGCGCGCTTGCTTCAGACGTGGTGGTAAAGTGGAAAGCTGGCGCGTGAACGTGTGAGAGTTACGTGGCGCAGTTCTACTCAAGGTAGGGTGTTCCCGGCAACGGTTGCAATGGGTCAGATATTCTCCTGTGGCCGTGATCTGGGCTTTGGGGCTCTTCTTGGGCGCCTCGTGGTTGCATTTGCATGTGTGCTGTGTACGTTATAAGTGCGAACTTTCAAGGCCTGCAACTCTTGCGCAGCATCATTCCATGGCGCAGAGCCCGTACGTTTTCTTTGTGGCTTCAGCCTGGGTCGGTGCACTCTTTGGATGGTGGTTGTTTCCCCGTGACGGTGATATATAGTATGTGTGTACGCGGGTGGGCGCCTGGGGAGCGGTAAGGGATCAAGGAAACAGGGCCGCCGCTGTGCAAAACCATGTACTTTCTTTTACACCAGTCAGTTCCTACATGCGCCTACACAACCCGTGCCGAACCTAAGGCCCTGTGTGGGTAGACAGACAGCGCACGGGAGGGCCCTGTGAGGAGTCTGTTGGCTGTGTGTGTGCAAAACCCGGTATCGGGGCCGAGCGCTTGCTTTTTGAACGACTTAGGATTGTTGGATGTCTGTTATGCTCGTTTTTTTGCAACAAACAAACAAACAACCTCACTGATTGACTTTTTGTGTCTGTGGCACGGTGTTTTGGTGCCCTGTGGGCAACGTGTGTGCATTGCTGTCATGTGCGCGCGGGAAATCCTGCGCTGTTAGGCGGTTAAGCTAGGTCAAGTATGATGTTCGCATGTTGACAATATAGAAACGTATACAGGGGCAGAGGCGAGGGGGCGGCATTTGCGGGCCTTGGGCGGGTCCCTGTGATTGCGTTCCACGAGTGCGGGTCCTCATCTTGTGGGTCCTGCCGGGGCCACGCAGAGGCATGGAACTACGCACTCAGGCAAGAGGGGGCCCAACACTGCGGGCGGTTTGTGACAGCTTGCGAGGTTTATAGGAGTCGGGGTTATGGCCAGCTGCTATCTACAGTGGTGTATGAGCAAGGTTGGGGCCGGAGTGTGGGGTAGTTTATCCATTTGTCGTGCAATCGGTGCTCATGTGTTTTGACAGCTTGGCGCGCGTGCAGCGTGCCTCGGAGTTAACAGCAGATTGGGGCGTTGCGTGGGGCTGTGCATTGGAAGCATTCGGACAGGGGAAGCGCTTGCGGTGGGGTGCTTGCTTAGCCCATCGGCCTCCTCGTGTCTTACATCGTACATGGTATGCTGGAACACATTTAGGGATTGAGGGGTTTCCTCACTGGGCGATGAGGGGCTGGGGCTTTTGCCAACATGTTGGACTGTTTGCGGTGGAGGAGGGTGTGGCATTGCGCCTCGCCGCCTTTTTAAAGGGGGTTGCAGGTTGCTGGTCCACTCGGGGTGTGTGTGGGTACTACACGGCTCAGCGGGCACAGCAGCACCGATTCCTGGATAGCGCCTCTCCCCAGACAGGAGGTGGGTGTTACGTCCCAGACGGCCAAGAGGGCTAGCTGACTTCACATTTGAGTGCGACAGAACTGTAAGGGCTTCCCTTTCTTTGCTGAGCTCAGTCCTCCGGTAAGTAACGACCATGGCTCGAGATGCATGCGTTCCGATGCAAGAATCGGAGAAGGGTGATGCCTCCGACAGGTATACAAGATGCATGCCGCAAAAGTCGCCTGCTAGTAGCGCAGGAGGCAAAGCTAGGTCCGGCGCCAGGGCGCCCTAGTCTTGAGCATCAAATAACAACGGCAACGGTTGATAAGAAACGGACAGCTCCGGATTTGCACAGCCGTGATGATGAATACTGCGGGCGTTTTACACCAGCTCTTTCCCAAGTATGCATGCTGTATTTATAGCTCTTTCAGCTCCCTTCGTGACGCGATTACGAACCGTTGGTTGCATGCCAACTTGTTTGACAGGTGAGGGGTGGTTGGACTCCTCCTTGGACCCAGCACGGCTGCTGGCCTGCCATTTAGAATGACACTCCTCGCAAACCTCACTTTTGTAACACTGCTTACGGGCATGCAACAAAGCCAACTAACGCCAGAAGCTAGGTTAGCAACCCAACCGACTGACCCACGGAGCTTTCAGCGCGACCCGCGCCCACGACCCAAGTCCGCCATTCCCAGGGCTGTGTGTGCCCCTTGTCAGCAGCCCTACATGTCCTAGCGTAATCGACATCGGGCGTGGTGTGGGCCGCAGGGCCCGATTGCAAGCACAACTCTAGTCTCTCCTCCTCCTTCACGATACACCCTTGCAGGCCGCTTCGCGCGCCTTGACCTTAAGCCGCCCTCCGCTGTGCAACCTCCTCCTGTAGTCTGCGGATAGAAGCAGCTTAGTACACGACGCCTTCGCTTCCGCCTGCAAGCACTCCCACCAGGATCCCTGTTTATCACTAAGGCGAGGTCTCCTCTGCAATCTCCTCTCACTTGCTGCTGTTGACGTAAGGGAGGCTGGCTGCATCCCTGGCGGGTCCCAGAAGACGAAGCGAGCCAACATGCCGCGCGGCACTCATGCGCTCAACACAGCTCCCACCACCAGTCGAGGCGCTTCCAGTGCACCTAGCTGCGTCGCCGGCCTGACTCCTGGTCAGCTGCATCGAGCCGGTTCAGTCGCCCTGCTCTCCAACCAGCGCCCGCCACCCTCCTTGGCACACCAGGCTCTCAGATCCGCCGCACTTCGGGCGCTGCTGTTGCCAGAGACCCAAGCGCCCGACTCCTCAACGCCCGCCGCTCTTGCCAACGGTGACGAACACAAACCCTCCTTCAACGCCTGCTGTAAAGCCAGCTGTGACTACGCTGGAGGTACGCTGGAGACAGCCGCCGCCATTTCCTCTCCCCCTTCTGCTGAAGGAGTCGCTTTCCTGAAGTCAAGTCGCGCAGTTGAGCTGCAGAAATGGGCGCGCACAGCGGCAGCTGCGGCCTCAGCAAGTGAGCTACACACGGCTTTCAGTTCTGCTGCCCGCAGCAACAGCAACAAGGGCAAGATGGCAAACGGCTTCACAAGGGGCGGCTCCGCAGCGGCGCTGTCCTCGTGCTGCAACGGCGTTATTGGCGGCCTGGATGGTGATGGTGATGGTGGCGGCGGCGGTGGTGGTGGCTGCAAGGGCGGCGCGAGCGTGCTTCGGTATCTGTTGTCGCTGTCACTGTGCGGGGAGCCGCCGCCCGATCAAGACGGCACTGCTGGGAGGGAAGCCGCGATGAGGGGTGCGGGCAGCGGGGGTCTCAACAAGGAGATGGATGCAACGGCGGCGGCGGCGACGGCGGTTGAGGCAACTGGATCGGCGGCTTTCATGTGCGCCTATGCCGCGGTGGGTCGGGGGACTTACCGGTACACCGCAGGCGACAGCGGAAAGAATAATATATATGATGGTGTTGTGTTCTTCGTTCGGCCGCGTAACTCCCAGGCATCTCCGACCCACGGGTCCGTCACTCCCCTTATCCAGCCTTACCCCGCATCCTCTTGCCACCTCATTCTGTTTTTAAACCCTTAAATCACCTCCCGGCTGGTAGCTACCGCGTCGCCTTCTATTCATCCCACCTAACCCCCACGATCCTTCTTTAATCCTTTAACGCCCTTGCCCTGCCTCCCCGCCTCACCCCTTCTGCCGGCCCTTCAGGAACTCGCCCGTGTCCGCAGCTTCACTTGTGGCTCGTTGGAGGGCCTGGTGCTGCGACTAGCACACGCGGCGGAACGACTGACCGCAGCCCATCACATCGCACCCCAGCATCAGCATCAGCAGCCGCAGCAGGGGCACCAGGAAGGGCAGCATGGTGCGGAGGGCAGTGCTGCTTCAAGGGGCTCGGAGGGTGTGGAGCAGCTGAGGGCGCTGTGCATCGAGCTGCGGCGGGAGTGCGACGACATAGGTGCGGTGTCTAGCGCATGCAAGCCATGGTCTGAGGGTTTCCTAGACAGCTTTGGGTGACGTGGGTTTGATGGTAAAGGCCCTAAGTGCTTGCCGTACCATGCAAGAGCATAGGGCCTTTCGATCGCGCACCGGGTAGCGCCATACCTTTTAGGATTTCCACATCCATTTCTGACCGCTCTCCGCTCTGTCCACCCTGGTTCCATGCGCCTGGCTGCGGCAGGCTCAAGCCTCGTTGAGCTAGAGGCCTTCGAGCGTTACAACTCAGCAGGTGGGGAGTTGCAATGTTTGGGACATGCAGCACTACTGGACATTCGATTCAACAGTGGGTTACAGTCGTCCTACAGCTGCCTCCTTTACTGCCCTTCATCATGCGTCCCCTCCCTAACCTCTTCTCCCTTCCCTCCCTCATCGCTATTCTGCTCAGGGTTCGCCGACCTGGGACTTCTCCACGACAAGCTCGTCTCAGGCACTGCGGCCAGCGCTGTACCGACTGCCACCACCGCCGCCGCCCCCGCTGCCCCTGCTGCCGGTGCCCGCGGCTCGCCCGCCTCCGCGGCGCCTCGCGGCAACCCCGCAGGAGGCGAATGCGCCGTCAACTGCACACTGTTGCAGCTGGAGACACGCCACGTGTACGAGCGCTGTGTGCAGGCGGGTGCTGGCGGGGTCGAGGGTGACGCGGCATAATGCTTTAACGGTGTTTTGTGAAAAGCCCTGCCATGGTCCTGTCCTTCCTGCGGCTTGCTTCCCATGCGGCTAGGATTGCGGTTACGGTGCTGACGAACAACCTCCCATCCATCTTTTACTAACCGCCACGTGTATATGATTATGACCCCTGATTATGACCCCTGACCCGCCCAACCCGCCCAACCCCCCATCCATCCAGGAGTACCTGCTGGGCGGCTTCACGTACGACATGGTCCTGGTGGCGTTGTCGGACGTGTACGAGGGAATACGACATGTGGTCCGCAACACGGTCGCCGACCCCGCGGACTCCGCGGCGCAGGCCTGGGTGCCCCCGGACCAGTTCAAGAGGTATGTGCGGGCGCGTGAGGAGAGTACGGTAGCTGGGGAACAGGGGCGGGAACAGGATTGTTGGTGGGCGTCGTAACGATGATGCTGCACGCTTCGTTCATGTTTGGTGTTTCCCCCATTGTTCCCAGACTGCCGGCGCTACAGTCAGCTATACCGGTATACCGGTCGTTGTACCCAACCCACCTAACAATTGGCACCAAAAGTTGCTGCCGCCGTGCACATGAACCGCATACACACACGTCGTAACGATCATTCATACACACCCATACACCCACACGCAGGAGCACCACCAAGTTCTGGGTGGACCCGCGGGACGTACTGCGAGTCAAGGCGGCCATCGTACGGCACCTGCCCGTACTCATCTTTGGCCGCAAGTGAGGATGGGCATGCCCGCGGGTGGTCATCGATTGAGCATTCATGGACAACGTATCGCAGTTTGGCGGCAGCTTTGACCCTCGCACGAAACGCAACGCCCTTCATGATACGGTAGATCTGCATGCATGGTGCTTGCATGAACTACCGTTACCTCTGCGACTACGGCGTGCATACCGCCCCACACCTTTCTTCCTCCCGGCGCAGGTCCAACCCGCTCTTCCCAGCTGACGCCAAGACCCTCCCAGCAGCCCCCAGCAACCTCCCGCCCCAGCCCGCTCCCGCCTCGCTCTCCCCACCTCCCCCGCCAACCATACCCAATGGAACCCAACCTCTGCCGTTCACATTCGCCCCGCTGGCCAACGGTGCATGTCACCCCCCGCTACCTGCATCTCCATCCCCACCTGCATCGCCATCACCGCCCTCCTCACCCTCAAAGATTACGTCAGCACAGCAGCAGCGGCGCCCCGCGGCCCTGTCGTACGGCCCCCTCACACCCGCCATGTACGACAGTTCCAAGATCTCATCTGTGTATTTCGACAACCAGCAACTGGATGTGTACCATGAGCGGTTGGTGCGCAGCGACGGAGCTAGTCTGGTGCGCATCAGGTGCGGGGGTATGGGAGGTGGGGAGCGTGTGTGTAGGGTTATGGGTAAGCGGGTGCACTGGTGTGCGGGTACGGGAGGAAGCGTGTGAGGAAAAACAAATGGAGGACGACCATGCAAGGAATAACGGGCGCACAAGTCGCACTGGCATGCGTTACTGAGCCCTGCACGGCCCAACCGGAAGTAAGCCCTGTGTTTACGTCTCGTGTGTCTCCCGCTCGTACCCCCTACCTGCTGCTCCCACCCATCCCGCACCCCCCACCCCCTCCAGGTGGTACGGCACGGAGAGTCCCGGACCCGAGCAGGGGGTGTTTGTGGAGCGCAAGCGGCACCGGGACGCCTGGACGGGAGAGTGCAGCCTCAAGGTGTGTTAAGGAAACTGGCACATGCGTGTGTGAACGCATGCATGCATGTGCGGCGGCGGCGCGACTGATCCTGATGTGACGCAGCATTTCTTTCAAGTCAGGGACGGGCCTCTGCAACGTTGCGGCCCCATCACTCCATGCAATCTTTTAGAGCTCTATCTAGAGTCCCACCCTTTCTATCTCCTCTGCGAACCTAACGACCATACGTCGCTACCCGCTTTACCCCATTTCTTTCCCCCCACCACCCCGGAGCAGGAGCGAGCCCAGATGCCACACCGCGAGGTCCCCGCCTTCCTGTC